TCCTATCCCAGTGGTAGATTTCTCTCACTTCCTGTTGTCTCACTCCCATTCTTAACTATGGGTTTACATCCATTTGTAACTCGGAGACTGCCTATGTGTACTAGCTGCAATTTTTTAATACCAGAAGTTTCTGATACGGGCCATAATAAAAGTTATTTGTCTGTATTTATTGTCTCAGTTCATCTCACTGCATTTTAGTTGGACCCATCGAATCCGGGGAGAGGCGGATGAGCTCCCTCTATCAGCTCCAGCTCCTCATGCGGGGACAAGAGAGAAGCCTCCCACAAGGAGGATAAAAACATCAAATCATCAGGGCGTCCCCTGGGCAACGTCCTAGCAGACGGCCAATTCTCTCACAACAGGAGCGACTCCTGACACGACAAAAAAAAAAAATGTTGGACCCATGTAATGTGCTAATGAGGTTGTTTTCTGATGACCTCTTATTATATTTCTAACCAGGCTGAATATGTTCCCTTTATTTCTTCTTTCTACACTTATAATGCTAAAGTAGTATGGCATTCTATCACTTTAGAGTTATGATGACTACAATAATTAAAAAATTACATGTGTAACACAGAGAATGTGCATATTTTTAGAGAACCAAGAGTTAAGACAGAGGGAAACTACACACACATTATTTAACCACACCTCAGGTGGGTGAAAAACGCATTGACAAAGAAATATATAGGGCAGGAGTAGCACTAAAATCTGCTACAAAATTCGCAGCAAACCAGGGATAGCCCCCCCCCCCCAACTATATTTAGTGCACAGCGGAATACAGCTGGGGACGCGGCTGTGACAAGGCATTCCTAGGTGTAAATTTTCAACATTTAATAGAACAATTGGACAGCCCATAACAGTCCACAAAAGTGACTGACTTATTATGTTATGATAAGTTTTGTGAAGCAACCCGGCTTATGATGAACTAATTAAGGGTGCATCTACACTGTAGAATTAATGCAGTTTGATCTGGCTGTAACTGCCATGGCTCAATGTTATGGAATCCTGGGATTTGCTGCTTGTTGAGGCACCAGCACTCTGGCAGAGAAGGCCAAAGAGCCTGTGAAACTACAGCTCCTCTGGTTCCATACCACTGAGCCATGGCAGTTAAAGTGATATCAAACTGCATTAATTCTACAGTGTAGATCCACCTTAAAATAGTTCATAAAATAAGAGACCACATGGGCCATCTAGTCCAACCCACTGCCATGCAGGAAAAGCACAATCAAAGCTATCGCAATGTAATTTTACAAGCTTTTAAAAGATTTGAGTCCTAAGCAATTTTCACCTAGCTAGTGACTGAAGTTTTGAGATGAAAATACCAGATATATCCCTCTGAAATGAACTTTCAGTCAATGAACACCACTAACTAAAAAAAAAACACCTCTGTTTCCAGCTATAACCCACTTCATTTATTTATTTACATCTAATTAATGTTTCCGAATAATGTAACCTCATGGAGGAATTTTGCAAGAAACCACAATTCTCTGGAGAAAGGAAGTACATGACTCATCAAGAGAACAGATTTTATACGAACCCTTTCACAGTCAGAGGACAATGTCAGCTACCACGGTTGGGCCCTTTCCATCTTGGAGGTGAAAGTGACTATGACAGAGGTCCAATGCAGGGGACATTAGTGGTTGCTGAGCAGGACCGTAGCCAGAAAAAAATTCGGGAGGGGTTGAAATTTTCGGGGGGGGGGGGGTTTGAACCCCTAAAACCACCTCCTTGCTACAGGGCTGTTGCTGAGCGCTCCCATGTCAGCAGTAAAGATTGATAGAAACATTTTCAGTTGCCAAATTTGTTTTGAGGATGTGATTAGCCCTATAGGTGATTTGAGTGGGATATTTCCCAATGCTGAGCACACCAACCCACACAAACACATACACCTCTTCTAGGCAAAAGGAAAGCCTTCCAAAAGGAAATACTTGATCAATTATCAGTATAGGTGCAAGATTCCTTCTTCTGCTAGCAAATAGAAGCAAGAAAAGACAGAGGTGATTCTGCTACCAGTCATTGCACACAAGGAGTGTATAATACTTGTTACTGCAGGTGCTTGGAGTGACTGTAACTTGGGAACCATAACGCCTGCTTATTGAGATTCTACATCAGGCTCACATAGCATAAATCTTCCCATGTAGAGTCACATATTGGTTGAATTGTGTGACTTTTGCACTGAATGCTAATCTTACAAAATCAAATGCATATTCTTATGAGCATCTGACTTTATTATTTATTTATTTATTTCATACATTGCTACCCCACCCTTCTCCCCACAAAGAGGGACTCAGGGCGGCTTCACATAAGCATCATAGGATGCTATCAACACATACACCACAAGAATTACAATTAAAACAATAAAAATCATTTTAAAACATTATACAAATTCATTCTTGGCAGGGGGTTGGACTGGATGGCCCATGAGGTCTCTTCCAACTCTTTGATTCTATGATTCTAATAAATTCATTCAACAATAAATTAACATGCCATTTAAAACCAAGATCAAGTCAGGTAAATCCAATGCCGCAAATGTCCAAAATGTCCTTCCGATTGCCGCTGTCCTGTAGTCGAACACCTGGTCCTAAAGCCAAGTCTTCAGTTGTGTTCTAAAGGACAGGAGGGAGGTGGCCAACTTGATGTCCTTAGGGAGGGAGTTCCACAGACGGGGGGGGGGGGGGGGGGGGGGGGACTGCCGAGAAAGCCCCATCTGTCATCCCCACCAACCGCGTTTGTGAAAGTGGTGGGGTCGAGAGCAGGGCCTCGCCTGACGATCTTAAGCTTTGTGATGGTTCATAGCAGGAGATATGTTCAGACAGGTAATCTGGGCCAGAACCATTCAGGGCTTTAAAGGTTAAAACCAGCACTTTGAATTGTGCTTGGAAGCTGATTGGTAGCCAGTGGAGCTGGCGCAGCAAAGGAGTAGTACACTCCTTGTATTCTGCTCCAGTTAACAACTTGCCTGCTGACCATTGGACTAATTGAAGCTTGCAAGACATTTTCAAAGGCAGCCCCACGTAGAGAGCGTTGCAATAATCTATTCGGGATGTAACCAGAGCATGGACCACTGTGGCCAAGTCAGACTTCCCAAGGAACGGGCGCAGCTGTTCCTTGGGAAGTTTTAATTGTGCAAAAGCTCTCCTGGCCACCGCTGAGACCTGGGGTTCCAGGCTCAGTGATGAATCCAGTGTCTTCAGGGGGGTGTAACCCCGTCTAACACAGGCTGCAACCCTATCCCCTGTTCGGCCTTTCAACTGACCAGGAGTACCTCTGTCTTGTCTGGATTGAGTTTCAATCTGTTCGCCCTCATCCAGGCTGACACAACAGCCAAGCACCAAGTTCAGGACCTGCACAACCTCCTTAGTGACAGGTGGGAAGGAGTGATAGAACTGAACATCATCTGCGCACAGATGACATCTGACCCCAAAACTCTGGATGATCTCTCCCAGCGGCTTCATGTAAACGTTAAACAGCATAGGGGACAGTATAGAACCCTGCGGGACCCCAAAAGTCAATGGTTGTGAGGATGAGCAGGTGTCCCCCAGCAACACCTTCTGGGAACGACCCTCAAGGAAGGACTGGAGTCACTGCAAAACAGTACCCCCAAGTCCCATATCCCTGAGGCGTCCCAGAAGGATACTGTGGCCGACGGTATCGAAGGCCACTGAGAGCTCCAGCAGAACCAACTTTAGCTTTTACTTTTGAATATGTGCTGTGTGCTTTTAGATCACTCTCTGCTTGTGTGTCAGAGAGATGTAGTGCATGATATTTCCCCTCTCTTGAAACCTTAGAAGAGATGGGCGTTAGAGTAGCTTAGACTCAATTCTTTACCATGAAGAAATGTAGTTAGTTCTTTATTATAGTAAATAAATCTTTTGTGATTTTTAAGATTGGACTCTGCCTCTTTGTCTACCTAAGCTCTAAATGCTTTATAGCCACAACCAATGGCACTTCATGCTCTGCTCGCTAATGAGCTGAATGCTCAATTTTTAGTATCTTGTTTATTTTTGGATGCTCTCCTATATTTTAGGGTAGTTTTCCCTAACAGTACTTGAGAGCCATGCGTGACTTAGGGCCCTTTACTCTAGCACTTAAGACCTGGCTTTTCAGTAGAGTATTTGATCTATGTAATTATTAATTTTTGTATGTATGTATTTTTATCTTTTACAATTTAGCTTGTAAATCACCTAGAGCATCTCAGATGGAGGGTGATTAATAAATAATTAATGATGATGATGATGGAAACCAGGGAAGTGAAGTTTATATATCTGTGCAATGTCCAGGGTGGGAGAAAGAACTCTTGTCTGTTGGAGACAAGAGTTTGAAGCTGCAAGGCTATTCAATGCTAATCAAGGAGGCCAACTGCAACCGTCATACTTGCCTCCAACAAACAAGAGTTCTTTCTCCCACCCTAAACATTCACAGACATATAAACTCCACTTGCCTAGTTTCCAACGGACCTCCCAACCTCTGAGGATGCCTAACATAGATGTGGGCAAACTATCAGGAGAGAATGCTTCTGGAACATGGCAATCCAGCCCAGAAAGCTCACAGCAACCCTATCCTAGAAATGAAAACAAGACAATATTTCAGGCTGTGTGTATAAGATGTATATGAAACAGATGGATTTAATGTTTAGATTTGAGTTCCATTTCCAAGATATCTCTGTATATGGAAATATTCCAACTTTAAAACAATCCAAAACACTTCTGGTAACAAGCATTTCCTGTGAGGTATACTCACCCTGTACAATACAATAAAGAGCATTATAAAAACAAACCCAACGTAATCAAGAAAAATATACCTAGACACTTATAAAATCAAAACATGTCAGGGGCCATTCAAAAGAATGCTGAACGTCACTTACAAGTGGGTTTACCACTCAGCAAATTTATTTGTAAGGACACTCTGTGAATCAGTGTGTTCACTTCACACAAAGATTTCCAAGAACTTTAATATGGAAGTGACAGCCATATGCTCTGAATATAAAAGAGGAAGTTTGGATGCGTGTGCACATTTCCTTCTGGTTAAAAGGTCCCAGGAGCTGGAGAAGATATCAAAGCAATTGTGAGGAGCAACTCGCTGAGACGGCAAGAATGGCACCGGGAGGCATCTACAGGAAGTGTGAGGAGCCTGACCATGCTGAGATCAACGAGTCCACAATCCCAGGGAAGGCAGGTAAATGCCCATGCCAGCCAGGATCCCAGAAAGGGCAACTCTTGGCCTCAATGAAAAGAAGCCCTGAGCCATCGAAGTCCACTGGAGAGCTGGTTGTGAGCTTCCTCTCTTTCAGAAAAGAGAGAAACAGAGAGGGAAGGAGGGAGAGTGAAAATTTTGCTATGGGGTAATGACATCATTCTGGACATGAGCTATAGTGTTGTCAAGGGCAATTGAACTCAGCTTTTGACTACCAGAAGATTGATATTGTACATAACAAAAGGGGCTGCTTGCAACTTCTAGAGTTGGATGAAATATGAAAAGTCATCCAAAGAGGAATGAGAACTCTTCAGCTAATTATATGAAATACTTTGCAACTCTTATTCTATCCTTGTGTCAGCTTAGTTTGTGTGCCTCTCCAAACTGCAGCTGAGCCTCACATAACTAAATTCTCTATTACAAAAAACAGTATGAGGGCCCTTCCACACAGCCATATAACCCAGAATATCAAGGCAGATAATCCACAATATCTGCTTTAAACTGGATTATCTGAGTCCTCACTGTCATATAATCCAGTTCAATATGGATTTTATGCAGCTGTGTGGAAGGGGTCCAAAATGGCCCACCTGCACAGAGCTAAAGGTCAAGGGGTTTGGCTTACAGCATCCTGCCAGCCACATTAGCTCCTAAAAATAAGAACAGAGAATTTTCCATCCCTCCCTTGTGTCCCTCAACTCAGAAGAACAGCACGTGCTTCATGGTCCCAGGTTTGGATTCCTGGAGAGAGTAACAGTACACTCCTGCCAAAACCTGGCACCATTACTATGAATGAAAGCATTATAGATCAAAACATACAGAGGGAACCAGAATAGGAAGGAGTATTATAGACATTATGAAGCCTAATGAACCCAGTGTCTGATTTGGCAAGTTCCTGTGCAGTTGACTTGGAGCCCCCGGTGGTGCAGTGGGTTAAACCCTTGTGCCCACAGAACTGAAGACTTACAGGTCATAGGTTCAAACCGAAGAGAGCACGGATGAACTTCCTCTGTCATCTCCAGCTTCCCATGCAGGGACATCCCACAAGGATGATAAAACATCAAAACATCCGGGTGTCCCCTGGCAACGTCCTTGCAGATGGTCAATTCTCTCACACCAGAAGCGACTTGCAGTTTCTCAAGTTGCTTCTAATACGAAAGGGAAAAAAAAGCTGAGTTGGTAAAACCCAGCCATATATTTTCTAGTTCTGCATGAACTAGGACTCTAGCTCTGTTTGATGGGCTAAGGAGGGATACAGGATCTTTCCCACATCCAGAAAGTGGGTGGTGGAGCTTTATAGAGATTTCAACTTGGGTTATAACTTTATCCACAATTTAACTTTTTAGTAATTTTTATATTTAAGCATTTTATTTATTTTATATAGTTTATAATGTTTTAATATTTATATAGTTTTACAACACCTAGAAAGCCATCTTTAGTTCCATTATTGGGAAATAGGAGAGATGATTATGATGTTGATATAATGAGCATCATTATATGCTCTGCTGATTATCATTTGGGTGTTCACTACATCTACGCTGTGCCTTATGACACTCCCCCCCCCCCCCACCATCATTGTCCATTTTGTGATACTTGGAAGTTGGTTTGAAGATATGTGTACTCATCTCACAAAGGACTCACCACGATGAATCATTAGAGCTAAATGAGTTGTTTTCATTGAAAAGTGTTGCGACAGGGGAAACAGGAAATTGCTGCTACTCTTTTTGATTAGGGGCAGAACTTGGACTAGTTGTTGTTTGGAAGACAACTTCCTGAATCCCACTTGCTGGTGGATTTTTAGGGGCTGTCTTTCAAAAAGAATTTGTCCATTTACAACTCGAATAACGACCTCATCATAAAGCCCTGGTGAAGTGTCCCACTTCTGGGGAGAAAAGGGGGAGCAGCGGGGCAAATCTGTTGCCCCATATGCAGCTCCCTCTCGGCAGTGTTTTCCCCATCACATGGGAAAAGCATTGCCATTGCAGGGAAGCCCCATGCACGCTCCATTGGAGGCAGCATAACACAGGAAGCCTCCTGTGTAGGGGTGAAAGCGTTCAGCGACACTTTCACCCCAGTTGGGGGCGGGACTTCCACAGGAAGTTCCCTTGCATCATCTGATGGGAGGTGAGCCCATCAGCCCTCCAGATGGGGTGGAAGTGTCCTAGGATGCTAAAATCACCCTGTTTGATGAGGTGATTGATGAGGTGAATGTCTTGTGCCTCTCCAAACTGCAGTTGAGCCATGTGTAACTAAGGTCTCTTGGCTCATGGGTAGGGGAAACCAACCTTCCCTCTTCAGGTTAGGTGATAGATCCTTCACATCTGCAAATCAAGACTGAGAGACAGAACCACAAACTGACAGCCATGCTAGTGTAAACAAGGTCAAAATTCTGTATGGTCAGCAGGACTCAGTATGTAGTAGTAAGGTAAGTATCCCAGTCTCTGCTATGCCATTCCAGTCGTGGAATACCTTCTCCTCGGAAGCCCAATTGGTACCACTGCTGGTAGTGTACCGACATCAATTTGCACATGTGTTATGGTTGACATCGTTTCAAATTGCACTAACTAGTTTTGAATTGTAGATGAGATGTTATGGACCACATTTTTTTTGGACTGATTTGAAGGACATTTTAAACCTGGTGAACTGTTTTTAAATGTATATTTATTATCATTTTATGTAATTGTGTATTTTATTAATGCTTTTATATTGTTGGAAGCCACCCTGAGACCCTCTTCGGAAGTCGAGAATAGGACGGGATACAAATGTTCTAAATAAATAAATAAATAAATAAAAGCCCAGGGCCTCTTTCATATTGCACAGTTATAGTGGTATGATTCCATTCCAGCTGCCATGGCAAAATTCTATGGAATCCTAGCATTGGCAATGGAGAGAGGGGCCACTGTAATCCTCCAGAGCCTCAAATTAAATATCCTAGGATTCCAAAGACAGAACCATGGCAATTAAATTAGAATCATAGTGCTATGATTGTACAGTTTTATGAGATCTCTAATCCTACCTTTCTGATCACCACAGTCACAAGATGCATGTTGGAGCTCTCTAGAAGTTTTATGCTTAGGAAAATTAGAGAAAGCATTATTGATCTAAATTGGTAAACATTTGGATAGCTCCTGGATGGACAGCTCCTAACACTACTAGACAAAAGCAGTCATATGTCTGCCAGTTTTACATTGCACAATTGCAGTACCTATGAACTCACTTTAACTGCTAAAGTACTGCATCTTAGGGAATGCTGGGATTTGTGGTTTAAACAGAGCCATCAGGGAGGTCTCTGCTAGCAAACCTGAAACTGCCCATCCTAGGATTCCTTAAGCCAGTGATTCTCAACCTGTGGGTCCCCAGGAGTTTTGGCCTACAACTCCTAGAAATCCCAGCCAGTTTGCCAGCTGTTAGAATTTCTGGAAGTTGAAGGCCAAAACATTTGGTGACCTACAGGTTGGGAACCACTGGCTTAAGCTGTTGCCACAGCAGCTAAAGTGAAATCATAGCACTATAACTGTGCAATGTAAAAGAGTTCCTTAATGAGTTGTCTGTGGTAAGAAGTGATGGCATTGGCAGTGGATCCACCACCAACATGTGGGCCATGAATCCACTCTTGATTTTGCTATTGTTCTTCCTGCAGTTGTTCTGAGCTTGAAAGGGGTTCTGTGGGTGCTGAACCTGTCAAGGGATAAGATTAACCTAGCTTCTGTTCAACTCATGTTGAGAAAAGCCATAAGAAACTTAGCAATGGGACAACATGGAAGAACTACTAAAGGCAATGACATCTAAACTGTACAAATGTGAATGGGGCAAGACGAATGCATAGCAAAAGCCTTCTTTGGAAGACATATCCATAGTATGATCCCAGCCTGTGTTCTTGTGTCTACTGCAGCATTTTGGGAATGATGTCAGAAGCGCTAGTTATTACTCAGTGAGTTAGGGAACAACAAGTTCCCTTCCTTAGAACAAGCCTTTTGCTGGATTAACAGCTGACTTTGTAGTCTCTCCTTCTCTTTTAAGAGAGGGTCATCTCAGGGGTACAGTTCCTGATCCTGGCTTTCATCAGCCTGAAGCTCAAGTACCAGAGGTCAGGAAGCTCTTTTGTTGGGCTCAGCAAGAGTCAGCACCTCTGGTGCTGAACACTGGGAGCGTCAGAAGGCTGCTAATAAAGGCTGCTAATAAGCAATTTAGACCAGCATGGGTGAATTCTTCAAATGAATCCTGGAAAAAGCTTGATATGGTGGGGCAGGGCTGTGGGAGGATGTTAAGAATAACTCATTGAATCTCATTTGCCTTGGAGAACTCACTGAGAAATGCCCTGATAATTCTTACCTGAGGGCAACAGGAACTTTTTCTTTCTCAAAGTATTAATTGTCTGGACAGGAAGAGAACCAGTGCTTGAGATATCCAAGGGCAGAAAAGGAAATATCCCCCACCACCAATATGATTATCAGTTGTATGGCATGAATCAGGCACATAGGAACGATGGCATTCCAATCACAACACATCAGGTATCTCCAATTAAAGTAAAGAGTTAAGACATGAAGAGGTTACAAAATGAGATGTCATTATAAAAGACAATACACCATTAAGATAGATGAAGTAGCACTTCCTAGCAGAAAATTGGATGCAGTCATGGCCTACAAGATCCAGTGAATTTTGGATTTATGTCCCTTTTACCATGCAGATGCTCAGAACCATCTGCTTTCAGGATGTCAAAGGTTATATTTTCAAATATCTTCAGCTGAGAAAAAAAATGGTCTGAAAAGCCAGGCTACAGTAAAGGATTTGGTCTTTCTTGTGCTGTAGTATTATCTGTTGCTATAGATAAGGGGTCTTCAAACTTTTTAAACAGAGGGCCAGGTCACAGCCCCTCAAACTGTTGGAGGGCCGGATTATAATTTTAAAAAGCATGAATGAATTCCTATGCACACTGCACATATCTTATGTGTAGTGCAAAAAACAGTTAAAAACAATACAATAATTAAAATGAAGAACAATCTTAACAAATATAAATTTATTAGTATTTCAATGGGAAGTGTGGGGCTGCTTTTAGCTGATGAGATAGGATTGTTTTTGTTGTGTGCTTTCAAGTCACTTCAGACTTTGGGTTGACCCTGAGTGAGGGCCGGGTAAATGATCTTAGAGGGCCATATCCAGCCCTTGGGCCTTAGTTTGAGGACCTCTGCTATACATAAACTCTTTTAAACGAAGTCTTCTCAAATTAAAGACGTGCCTGTTAATGTAAAGTATTACATGGCTAACTTGTGATCTCCTAATTGCTATAATGTTTCCGTTGTTATGAGTTTGCATTCTGAAGAGTTCTGCATCTCTACCTAGCTCCTCGACTGCTCACTTCCCACTGTGCCAGGTATTCCATGTTATGTGTTTTTGTTGTCCACAGATAGTTTCCTCTTGAAGTACCGCACATGTGTTTCAGGAAGAACATCCCTGCCGATCCTGTACGCTGTGAATGCTGTCTTAGTTCTGCTATGGATCATAATTTTCGCTGTTACAGTTTCAAAATGTAAGGATTCTGGAGTCTGTTTCGCATGTCTATCCTAAGAGGGAAGACATAAGAGGCGGGGTGGAGGGAAGAGTAGTGAAGAAAAGTAGTGGGGAAACACATTGAAATAAATTGAAACTTGGAAGCCAAATCGGATTTGTAATCATACATTTTTCATCAGATTACCAAATTTTTAGAGCCAATTTTCACATATTTAGACTGAAATTTTCAGTCAGTTTCAGGTTGGCTAAAGCCCTTCTTCCCTGATATATTGATATGTCTGAAAGCCTTTTATCCTATACAGATTATACTATAATAATATAAGGAAAGAAATGTTATTTGACTCCTATTCTTGCTATGCTATGTGAGGCGAACAGTAAATGGATTCTGGTAACATCTGAGACTAAGGACCTCATCACATGAGCTGTGGGAGGCAGGCTGAATAATCTGAAATCGTATCATTCCATCCTGAAACAGATTGTTATATCCAAAGACTTTCTATCATGGATATGTTTCCCAGCCTTGCCCCCACTGTGTCCTGCATTTGTACCCACCACACGGACAAGTTCTGTCCCTGCCCATTCCATAATCCTTTTATTTAAAAATGTGGAAGTTTTCAGAATCGTGAAACTCTGAAACTCCATGGTACTTTAAAGAGGGATTTCTGAACTCTACAGCCACCAGTCTACCACAACTCCGCAAGTCCTTCATTTTTCCTTCTTTAGTTAAATATTTAAATTTCCAGTAATGGAAAAATTATTTTTAGTAGTCATGGCCACAGAGATTCTCTATCTCCTCTTCAGAGTTGAAATTGGAAGACTGAAAAGGAGAAATCACATCCTTTTAATAAATCCTTCTAACAATCTAGTAATAGTAATAATAATAGTAATAATAATAACTTTATTCTTATATCCCACCACTAGGGACTCGGGGTGGTTTACATGGGGACTATGCCCAGCAATAAACTACAGCATAATTAATATACATAGCATTTCAAGAATTAAAACAATAAAACTGAATAAAAAGAAGACCTTTACTATTTAGGCAAGGAGATTATTAGTAATATAGCATAAAACATTAATACTGGCCAATATAAGGAATATATACATTAAATGTCTAATGCATGAAAAAAATGTATTTATCTATTTTCAAATAATAGTTTAAAGCACCTAGACAAAAAGAACACTCCTAAGTTCTGAAATATATGGTTGTGAATAATGACTGATGAACTTTGAAGTGGCAGCAATAGGTTTAAAAAAATAACAAGTTTAAAATAGTGGCATTGTGAAAGCACAGCATCCTGCATAGGAAGGAAATAAAGCTATCACATTGCGCAATTTCTGTCAGTGACATTAAAAAGAAAAAGGAACCAGTCTCAAACAGAAGGATTTGGGACAAGAATTGGAGCATCCATGCTCACCAGAAGACCACCCATAGGAACGTCTATTGCTCCATGTCACTGAAACAAAACAACATGGATAAATCTGCTAGATCCCATCCCATGTGTTTTTGAGCACTTTCTCCCATTTTTGAGTGCTTCGGTGGCTCAGACAATGATTTCTCCCTATCTCCTCTTCTCCCCCATTTCTACACACTTCAGTCACATTTCGACAATGAAATGCTACAGATGACACCAGCAAGCCAAGGAATGTCATGTGATTGTGCTCTATGGAACGTAGTCCTCAAAATGGATTAGAAGTGTATAGAAATGTGGAGAGGACTGCGTTTGATGAGGTCCTAATACTGTTTCCCACCAATGATATGATGTAACCAGATGTGATGAGTCTGTGGATATATCGACACCACTTAGGTCAGTGTAAAGCCAGATCAAGCTGTGGTAGTCAAATGCCTCACAGATCTGATCCAGAGTAATGCAGAGCAAGGACGCCTTAACATGGCCTTTCCCTGTATTAACTACGATTGGGGGAGGTCCAAATCTGGCATAAAATTCAGACTATCCTCTGACTTTGCCCCCCCCCCTCCGAAAAGTTTGCGTTGGTTTTGCAACAGAACTTTCCTTGGTGCCATCCTGTGTTTCTATGGTCTATCCTTCCCTTTGAAAAGAGGGTCATCTCAGGGGCACAGTTCCTGATTCTGGCTTTCACCAGCCTGGGGATTAAGTGCCAGGAGACAGCAAACTCTTTTGTTGGGCTCTGCAAGAGTCAGAACCCCTGGTGCTGACTTCAAAATGGCATATATATATATATATATATATATATATATATATATATATATATATTATATATATATTATTACAGCTTTTATATTCCGCCCTTCTCACCCCGCAGGAGACTCAGGGCGGATTACAGTGTACACATATGGCAAACATTCAATGCCAATTTTGACATACAAACATATACAGACATACACAGAGGCTATTTAACTTTTTCTGGCCGCCAGGGGAGCTGTCGCTTTCATCGTCCATCTGCGACGCTGATGAAGTACTTCCGCATTCCTCGCATGCTTCCCCGCTGGAATGCTTTGCTGGAGTCTTCTTTATGGCCTCATAAATCAGTTAATTTAGCCTCCCCACACTTTAAGGTGGTACCTAATTTTCCTACTTGACAGATGCAACTGTCTTTCGGGTTGCAAAGGTCAACAACAGGCTACACAATTGGTTGGAAACCCACTCCAACCCGGGCTGGCTTCGAACTCATGACCTTTTGGTCAGAGTGATCTTAATGCAGCTGACACTCAGCCAGCTGCACAATCCCGATGCTATATATATATATATATATATAGAGAGAGAGAGAGAAACATTGTTATATATATATATATATATATAGAGAGAGAGAGAGAGAGAGAGAGAAACATTTCAATCTGTGTTTTCGAGAACCTCTTCTCCTTGTGATCCTTAGGAAGCATTCAACTCAAATTGCCAAGTGGCTAAAATGTCAAAATCAAGACTGTTCCTTGAACAGATTTTGTGTTGTTTCAGATTCTGAATTGGCCAGGAAATTAGAACAACTGAATGACCATCAGGCTGTGTTGACAGCAAATGGTAAGAATTGAGCTTTGCCATCTCCTACTTCTGTCTTATTTCTGTCCCTGGGTATGAATCTCTTTTATAGGTTAAGTAATTATACATAAGGAGACTGTGAAGAACCTTTACCTTTAGCAGCCAGAATGTGGGCCTAGTGAAGGCTGACGGCCCAAACAGTTAGAATGTGGGCCTAGCAAAGCCCTGGCGGCCATCTTAGGATAGGGAAACAGGGAGAATGCCATTTTAGGTCAGGTTTTCTTAGAGGGGGCGTGTCCTAGTCCAATAAGCAAAGAGTAGATGGCCAGGATTGGTTAGGAATAGGGGGCAGAGCCTAACATTCAAATAGAGGAAAAAAGAGTACTTTTTGAATTTGAGGCTTGAGTTTTGGCAGTTGGGATTTGTCAGTTGGGAGTTAGGTAGTCGGTTAGTGTTCACAGTTGGATAGTACTAGATAGGAGAACTAGGTTAATCTTTTGTAGTATTCAAGGGCTAGAGGAATTAGCCAGGAATACTGACAGTGGGAACAGGGCCTTGCTTATGGTCTGTTTCTTTTATTCCTGAGGAAGGCTAGGCCAAGGTTGTTTGGCTAAATTCCAGAAAGTGGGAATTTGGTTTGGAATTAGCACCAGAGATTAGTTTCCTGAGATAATCTCCTGTTTGTTATCTCTAGATTTGAACCCAGTACCCATCTAAGAATTGTACATCAAATGTAACCAATAGTTTTGTGCCATTAACTTACAGAAACCATTATGCATTTGGACCAGAAGAGTTAAAGCCTGTTAAATAAATGTTTTATTATAGTTAACACATCACAACAGCCTGTTTGTGAACATCATTGGTATTTAAATCCTCTGAGGACAATAAACACTATAGTAACACAGAAGGGCATTACTAAGTATCCTCTCCACACATATAACTCAGCCTGAATGCTAAGCAATAAGGTGGCAGCGTACCCAATTGAAGAGCCCTTTTAAAATCCTCACAGTTCAGATGTCATTCAAATATATCTTTCCCTGTTTTATCAATTTCCCTCCTGGGATATTCCTTATAAGGGTTGGTAGCTTGTGGGATTCACTATTTCAGAATTCCCTGTTCCCTCTCCCTGCTAAAAGAAGATCCTGAATGTGAAGCCTTCGTTATATTAAACATGTTAAACACAGGGTTAACTCATCAGCTGGTTTAATAAAATAAGTTCATGATGGAAATAGCAACATTGGGGAGAGGGTGTGTGTGTGTGTATGTATGTATATGTATATATGTATGTATATATATGTGTGTGTGTGTGTGTGTGTGTATATATATCTATATATATAAAATCCGAAGTGGCGTCGTATGAGGAAGCAAAACTCAAAAACCCCCCAACAGAAATTAACCAAAATTCCCATGCACATACCTCAACCCACTAGGTACAAACAAACCCAATCAAAATCAAAAACAACACAACACCACACTCACAAAACGGCAAAACAACTGAGCATGCGCATTGGCACCCAGCCGCAAGTTCCCTGGCACGCGCACATGGCCTGGCGGCCAACGTTCCCTCCGCGCAAGCCACGCCCCCATCCTCACGCCGCGCCGCTTCCCGCCCTGTCAAAACCATCGCAACTCACCCTCCTTCATCTTACCCTGCTCACGCCGCCACACACACACACTCACGCCGGTAAGACACGCCCCCTCCCTCCCTCCCTTCCCCCCACCCCTTCCCTCCCTGTCTCACTCTTTCCCTCCTCCCACCCTCCGCCAGTAAGACATGCCCCCTCCCTTCGCCGCGGCGGGCCCAAGCACACTCACGCCGGTAAGACACGCCCCCTTCCTTTCCCCCCACCCCTTCCCTCCCTGACTCACTCCTCCCCGTCGCAAACACACACACACACACACACACACACACACACAACGCTCCTTCACTCCTCCCCCCGCCGCCCACACACACCTTCCGCCACACACACACACATTCACGCCAGTAAGACATGCCCCCTTCCTTCCGGCACACACACACACACCCTCACCCCCCCCCCCCCGCGCGGCACACACACACACAGGCTCCCTCACTACCTGTTGGGAAAGCAGCAGCAATGGCAGCAGCAACGGAGCATCCACGCAAGGAAGAAGGGGAGGGGGGGGAGGGGGAGGAGGAAGGTCCACGGTGCTTGAATGAAGGACCTTCCTTCTCTCCCTCCCCACACTTCTTTCCTCCCTTTCTTTCCTTTTCTTCCTTCCTTCTTCCTTTCCTTCTTTCCCTCCTTCCCTTCCTTCCTTCCTTCTTCCTTTCCTTCTTTTCCTCCCTCCCTCCCTTTCCTCCTTCTTTCCCTTGCTTCATTTCCTTCCCCTTCATTTCCTTCCCTCCCTCCTTTCTTCATCCCCTCCTTTCTTTCCCTCCTTCCTTCCTCTTCTTCCTTCTTCCTTCCCTCCTTTCCTCTCTTTTTCTCTTCCTTCTTCATTTCCTTCCCTCCCTCCTTTCTTCACCCCCTCCTTTCTTTCCCTCCTTCCTCCCTCCCTTCCTGTCCCTCCTTTTTCCCTTCCTTCCCTTCTTTCCCTCCCTCGCTTTTTCCTTCCTTCCTGTCCCTCCTTCCTTCTTCATTTCCTTCTTTTCCTCCCTCCCTTTCCTCCTTCTTTCCCTTTCATTTCCTTCCACCCTTATTTCCTTCCCTCCCTCCTTTCTTCATCCCCCTCCTTCCTTCCACCTTCCTTCTCCTCCCTCCCTTCATGTCCCTCCTTTTTTCCCCTTCCTTCCCTTCTTTCCCCCCTCCTTTTTTCCTTCCTTCCTGTCCCTCCTTCCTTTCCTCCTTCTTTCCCATTCTTCATTTCCTTCCCCTTCATTTCCTTATTAAATGGAAGGGACAGTCAAGAAGTAATGAGAGGAGGGAAAAAGGGAAGGAAGAAAGGAGAGAAGCAGGGAGGAAAGAAACAGGTAGAGATGGAAGAAAGATGAGACATAGGGAAAGAAAAAGAAGAAAGGAAGGAAAGAGAGAAAGAAGGAGAGAAAGAGGGAGGGAAGGTTGGCCACAGCAACGCGTGGCAGGGCACAGCTAGTATATATATATATATATATATATATATATATATATATATATATATAATCTGTTGTTTTTATCTCACTATGATTTCTACATTTTGTGTCAAAGAGTATTTTTAGGGAAAATACAAGAAGCAGAGCTTTAGAATCACTGTATTAGTTCATTTCACTTTTCTGAAGTGTCACAATTAGCAAGCTGCCAGCTTTAAACTTAACATTATTTGACATCAGAAATGTAGCTCAGTTCCAGAAAGAGATTGGTAGTTAGTATATTCAATTGTATCAAATCATTGAGTGAGAGTACATGAATGTGTGCACCAGACAGAACTTCTAGGGATTAAAATCAATGGTTAGAACTTCCAATCTGATTTTGGTTCTTCTGATGCAGTGGTGCCCTACCCTAGATAGGAACATGCTTGGATTTGTGCCAATATTTACAGGTTGCTGTCCATATGGACTTATTTTACTACCTGAACATGGACTGAAGTGTTCCTGATTAAGTGGTTGAATCTACCCATCTGTAATATAATCTTCCTCTTTTCCTACTTTTTTCTTCATTGCTCAGCATAATTGTTCATTCTAGTGAGTCATGTCTTCTCATGACATATCCATAGTACAATAGTTTCCATTTAGTCATTTTGGATTCTAGAAAGAGTTCAGGCTTGATTTGCCCCAGTGATCATTTATTCCAATGATGGGGTAAATCAATTTCTTTAAGAATTTGCCACATTATTTGATTATGCAAACATTTATTATTCTTTTCAATAAATGGGCTTTGAACCACATAAGCCTTGCTAACTGAAATCTGTCATTTCTAGGCTCCAGGATGGAAAAGCAATTGGAGGAACTCCGTTCCAACCACTCCATTTTGGGTACGAGATGACTTTGCCATGATTCTCAACTGCTGTTCATGTTCTGCCTCCAAGCCTCTATTAAATACTGCTAAAGCTGCTGTATGACTATCTTGGTTAGACTGGTTGTGTTTTATAATTATCTGTTATGATTAGTGGGAAAGGGATCCTGATGAAAGGGAGGACATATGTTCCTAAAACAGTAACGAGGCACTGAGTCTTGGTTTTGGGCAAAAAGACTGTTTGTAAACAAGGCAGCAATTAATAAATAAGCAAATAACACATTCACTCATAGATAGTGAATATAGTACAACCCCTATATCCATAAGACCTATCCACATCTGACAAAATACATCCTTTCTAGGAATTTTCTAGGTCCTCCACACTATTTTATGCTATGCTTCTGCCAGAAGTTACCATAGAGTCACACTAGCAAATTCTGAGAGAGGATCGCTCTCTAGTAATTTTCTAGGTCCTGCAGTGAGACTCTATGATACATTCTAGCAGAAGCCATACATTTCAGTAGGGTTGCTATTATCTTCACTTTTCTGCTTCTATCATAGGTTTATGAATGTATCCCCCATGTATTATCTGTACTGTGTTATCTCAGCATGCTCTTGTTGAGTGGAAAATGAAATTGTATTTTGGGAGAGAATAGATGTGAGATCAGCGCTCTGTAGTCAGTAAAGAGTAGGCTGCTGGCAGTTTTGAGTTTGGGATGAAAGTGTCAATGCTGCTGCTTTGGGATGCCTGAAGCTGCTTGCCAATTTATTTCCATTATTCTCTGCTTTTTGTGATTGCGAGTAGTAATATTGAGTTGGATAACTAGAAGAGACTCATTGACACCAGTGGGAGGGTCAGTAAACATAACTAGGGGAGACTCATTAACTTCAGTAGGAGGGATAGTAAGCATGACTGTTAGATCCTCTCAATCTCAGTGGGCCTACTCTTGATATGACTAGGAAATTCAACCTTATCACATGGCCACCATCGAGGGGCATGAGGAATCTGGCGCCCCACACCCCACATCACCTGGCTCCAGCTGAGGGCAATCCAGGGGGGGGGGGAGTGTATAAGCATGTGTGGAGCATGCACCTTCCCCCCATGGGTTTCTGTGACAACACAGGGGTCCGTGGAGCCATACCGGCAGTCTCTGTGGGTGACCTGGTTAAACTAGTGCATGCAGCTGATTTTAGCCCCATGTAGCAGTTTGAAACCACATTAACTGCCATGGTTCAATGCTATAAAATTCTGAGATTTGTAGTTTTGTGACATTTTTACCCTTCTTTGTCAAAGAAAGTTCCCACACAAAATACAATTCCAGGATTCCATAGGATGGAGCCATGACAGGTAAAGTGGTTTCAAACTGCTATAAATCTGCAGTGTAGATAGTCTGTAGGTTGGCATCTGGGATTGTTATTAGAATATCTCTGTAATTTCTTAGTGTTCCTTCATAGAAAGGATGCTAATCCAATAGAACAGCCCTTGGGCCACTTCTTGCTCAGGAAAGTATAGAGGATTCACACATATATTTGCTGTGATCTGTGATTTTCTTCCAGGATCAAGGCTAACTGAAGAGCTGAAAAAGCAAGAGAGTCAGCAAGAAACGAGGAAAAAGGAGGGTAAGGTTTTTAAAAATTTAAAAATATTTTTGGTAGGCAGTTGGTTATCTATGGAGAAAGAGCTGTTTGTAGGGGGTCTCAAGTTCATTACAGATTCAACTCTGCATGAGATCAAGTTCATATTCCATTAAACTCTTTCCCTTAATATTTTATTACTAGTGGACAAACATCTGGCTAATTTAGATGCTGCAGAAGAAAGGATCCAAGCAGATACTCTTAAGATGCTGGAAGCACTACATAAGATTAATGGTAAGATGTGAGACTTTATTGGCAGTAATCCTACTTTTCCTCTGCCTTAAACCCATAGCATGCCATTACAGAGTTCTCATGCCTATGCTCTTTAGAACTGCACTTTAGAAAGTCAGTATGAGGCGATAAACAAATTGTTATGGGAAAACTGACCTTACTAGTCAAAACCAGACAGCTGATTTGCAAGTCTAGTAATATGAACTCTGGGTTGTAGGTTTTTTCGGGCTATATGGCCATGTTCTAGAGGCATTCTCTCCTGACGTTTTGCCTGCATCTATGTCAAGCATCCTCAGAGTTTGTGATTCTTTGTCCAGGCTTTTTTTTGTATCTAAACTTGGTGGGACACTCTTGACAAGAGTTAAAGCAAAATCATTATGAGTGTTTGCCTCCAAGAGGTGTTTTCAACTTCTTGAGTAACTAAAAAATTAAAATCAAAAGTTCTGACCATGCAAAGAGGCCAGACTGTGAGTGCCAGTCAGAGAAACAGTACAGATGCTTTAAAAAAGTACTGTGACATATATAAAATCTTAGATTTAACTGCCTTTTCAGTGAATCAAGTCAGAGATACAGATACAAATATTAGAAATGCAAACACAAAGGTAGGCTATGGGCTGAAGCCTTTCTCAATTGAACTGCATTCCTGCTAATGAATTGCTCTGGAATTTGTGTGTGATTTTAAAATCTCTGCATTATCTTTGTAGACTCAGCCTGCCAAGTTTGTCCAGAGGGATGGCTGCTGAACAGAGGACACTGCTACCATTTCCAAGAAAAGCAGAACCACTGGTCTCTTGCCAAAACATTATGTGAGCAGCAAGAGAGCTCTTTGGTTATCATCAATGATTATGAAGAGCAGGTAAGGCAAGACTCCCTTTTAACAATCTGCTTTCTATTTATCAAGTCCATAATATCTTCCCTCAAGGTGTCACTTTCATAACAAAACATTATAATTCTTGAGTACTCAGGAGTACATCCAGCATTTGAGGAATATTGATTTTTTTTGTTGAGGTGATTGTGTACAAAACTATGAGGTAAGTGATGTGCCATCACACCCAGACACTATAAAGTTAAAACTAAGATGTGCTTTTCTCTTTATCCGGGTGAACTGCGGGTGCCTTACTTAGAAGCTTAGGATTCCTAGCAACTGAGGCCAGTCCAGATTTGAACATCAAACAGAACATTTATTTCTCAAAGTCCTTGACAGACTTGGCACAGCTTGTTGAAGTTACAAACACAGTCAACCTGTGAAATTATATAGATGTTCCTTCCTTCCTTTTTTTCCCTTCAGCTGCTGAGTTAACTTCCCCCAATGGCAGAGAAATCCTGATATATTCTCTGCCCCAGCACTGAGTTGCTATCTTTAGAAAGAGCAGGTCTTCCCCTATCTGAGCTCAGCACTAGTTTCAAAGGCAAGAGGGTAAGTACTCACGATGGCCTGTCCGAGCTACCTAGCTAGACCACAAGCACATCTGAGGCTTTTTCTAAACTGAAGAAAGCAGGAGATCTTCTCCAAAATGGAGATCTCATCCCCAGGAAAAAGGGCGGTCTCTGGACCAAAGAGATACTTTTTAAGCTAATAACAGCAAAAGGCTTTGCAGGCTGGCTTTAAGCCCCTGGCAATGGTTAACTTTCAGGGTGCTGCTGAGACTGTAGCAACCCTGGGGGAAATGCAAAAGGATGCTATTTCATGCAACTAAGGGGCAATGCAAACCAAGCTCCTGGAAGATGGAACAAGTGATGAATATTTTTGGTAATGTCAACCATCTTTTTCAGCCACCTTTCCTTGTAAATGAAGAAACAAACAGTTGTTGATTAAACCCACCAAGCTCATGTTGCCTCATTGATTGTCGTAAAAGGACAATGCCAGCTGCAACTCAGGCCCCATCTATGCTGTCCATATAATACAATTTCATAATGTAGTTTAACTGCACTGAACTGCATTTTATGAGTCTACACTGCCAGATAATCTGGGATAAACAGATAATCTTGGGATGAGATCCTGGGATATAGGGCAGTGTAGATCTGGCCTTAGTTCATAAACTCCCCTTGCCGCTGCTGTGACCTCTGAGGAGGAGAAGAGTAGCCAGGCACTGCTCCATTGGCGAGAAGAAGCTTTCCTTTCATGTTGCAATTGCCATTGCTTTGCTTTCTGAGTGAAAGAAAAGCAGCCAGCTCTTGCTGGTCTTACTCCCTTTCTGCACTGCCACCCCACTTTGTGTCTCATTTACATTTTGAATTTGACAAATTAATGGTTTGTAAACTGTTCTACAAGCTTTTTTGGCTAATTGGCAAAGTATAAATACTATATCTATATTTCTCTCTCTCTCTCTCTATATATATATATATCCTTTGAACATGGAAGGTGCATGTTTATCTAATAGCTTTTGATGAATTCATCTTCCACAATTTTGTCTATCACATGGACTAGAACTGTTTTATTTCAAGTTATGTCCTAGGTTCACGTAGGCCTTATAACTAACATTTGAATTCATTCAGTGAGAGCTGCCGGGTATGGTAAACATGCATTTCACCAGGATGAATAGCACTTGTGAGTCTGGCATTGTGCGCCTGGTACTGCAACTAAGATGACGCATCTTAATCATAAAAGGTTATTTGGTTATCTGTCCAGCTCAGCTTTTGTGCAATTAAATATGGTTTCTGTTTCAGAAATTTCTCACATCTCATTCAAAAGACAAAGTCTTGTGGATTGGTCTCAGTGATTTAAACACGGAGAACACATTTGTATGGGTGGACCAAAGTCCTGCATCATTCACGTAAGTCTAGTTACATGCAATCTGTTCTTCTGTCCTTTTAAAAGTAAAAACCCTTTCAAATTGAAAACAAAACCCTCGGCAGAGAACCCATCTAGTTGCATTATGAAGAATACTTAGGTCTCACAAGGAAGATATAACTCAGAGATAAAATAAATAATACATCACTTTCAGCTGGTCTATGGATTCATCCTAGGTTAAAGCACAGCAAGATTAACCATTTGTATTTTGTAGCTTCTATTTTTCTGAAGCCCAGATTTTTTATCGTGTCAGGAGCAACTTGAGAAACTGCAAGTCGCTTCTGGTGTGAGAGAATTGGCCGTCTGCAAGAACGTTGCCCAAAGGACGCCAGGATGTTTTGATGTTTTACCATCCTTGTGGGAGGCTTCTCTCATGTCCCTGCATGGGGAGCCGGAGCTGACAGAGGGAGCTCATCATTGCCAATTTAAAACAAGCCAAAAAGTGATTGAGATCAGTAAGGAATAGCCGAAAGTTATCATTGGGATCAAGGATCTTTTTTCATTTAACTGCTTGGTATAAAAGAGTGTTTACTATGACCTTGCTTAGCTCATGGCTGGCAAGCAACTGGATTCATATTGGTGTCCTGTAGGACTTTAGATGACACCTCCCCTCATCTTGGTGGACATTTTCAGGGTAATTTTTTTAACCTTAAACAAAATCAATATTGGAAATGCCCCACGTTGTCTTTTCTTCTGGATCAGTTGCTAATTTGAAGGACTTCTCTCTTGAACTTAGAGGAGGTACCAAAATTTGATAGTTCGCCTCCCAAGCCCCTTCAGAGTTATGAGGTCATTTTTAGTGATGTTCATCAAAAATATTTGTGGAACAAATATTTTTGCAACCTCAAAAATGGCTTTGACAGGCTATATTTCTGTACTCCTATAATCAACTGTATAAACAAAACCTTTCCTATTATGCCTTATTAACTCCACCATGTATTCATTCACTAAACTTCCATCTGCAGCTATTGGAATCCACGGGAACCCAACAATGCTGGCCACGGGCAGGACTGTGTCGCGATGACCAAGTGGGGCAGGTGGGATGATCGTGAGTGCGGAAGCAATGCTGATGGGTGGATTTGTGAAAAGGCCTGGAGATGCTAATTCTGTGGCCAGCAGGAACACAACTGAAAACCATTCTGACTCAGCTTGGGACTTTGTTGTCACAGACTGTCAGTAATGCAAACATTGGGTTTCTTCTGGATGAAAGGTTTTAACCATAACTTTGAAATCTGTGATTAAACTGGGTCAATGGAGCATCAGTGTCTCTGAAGAAAGCTATGATTTGATTATAACTCTTTTCTACTTGATATCTCTCCATTTCTTGAGCTGGAGGTAAATTTAGAGAAGTCAGTTTCAGTCCCAGAATCTTCTGATTTACCAGTGAGATTAAGTTGGTTCACAATCAACTGTATATGTTTGTGTATTAGTCAATCCATGTATGTCGAGGACAGGTCTTGCAAGCATTTTTAAAAAATCTGTACATTTTTCCATAACACATTCTGTACTATGGTATGTATGTCAATAAACATATTTTTAAAGCTTTCTTTATGTGGAGTCTACTTATTCATTCAATTTTTCATTTTATATACAGGCTTTATCAAAACATATCAGGATAGTGAACAATAGATATGCAATAAAAACAATAAATTGGCATTATGGTAAAATAATAAACTGGGTAGCTTAAAATGCCCAGGCAAATGAAAAATTTATTATCTAGACTGCTATTTTTAAATGAAAAAGGCAGTTCACACAAGGAGTGAACAGTTGAAGGTGACAGAGAATTCTAATACACAGAGTGATTTGATTGATTACATGTAGCCTCCACAGTATGCTTGACGAAGGTTAAGAAGGGACATGATGGCCATATTTTAAGGATAAGGAGAAAACCAGCTTGTTTTCTGCTGTTCCAGAGACTTCAGATACAGAGCAATATATCCAAACTGCAGGGAAACATATTCCACCTTGGAGTATGGGGGAGTCTTCTTCTCTGGAGGTTTTTAAGCAGAGGCTGGATGGCCTCTTTTGATCTTTGTGTTTTTCCTGCAGATCAGAATGGGGTTGGACTGGATGGCCCTTGGAGACTGTTACAACTTTATGTTTATATGATTCAGTGACTCTCTTGGGCAGGCATGTAGCCGGGGGGGGGGGGGGGGGGGGGGCTTGAGGGGCTTCAGCCCCCCCCCCCCAAATTCTTAGGGTGATTCGCGAGAAGGCCTTACTGGTACATTATTTAAACTTATGTTTATTCATATCATGATCTGATCACCATGCTCAATATATCCCATATACATGGGGGTATTGGGATAACAATACAAAAGGTTTGCTAGGGTAGATCCTCAGCCCCCCCCCCCCGAATCAAACTTAGCACCCCCCGAATCAAAATCCTGGCTACGAGCCTGGGCCTTCTTGGGCCCTAAAAAGTGCAGGCCCAGACTATTTGCAGAATTGCCCCGAGCTTTGCTACCCATGGAAGAGGCCCTGCTCTCAGTCCCAGCCCCGTCTCAAGCACGGCTGGTGTGAACGAGACAGGACCTTCTCTGTGATTGCTCCCCGCCTTTTGAACTCCCTCCCAAAAGAATTAAAAACTCCTCCCTCTCTCTTTGTTTTTTAAAAAACTCCATATGCACTGTTTTTTAAAAAACTCCATATGCATATACACTGTGGCATATGAAAAGGAGGAAGACTAATATGCTGACTCTCACCTAGACATGTTAAACCTTGTATAAAGACTGAACTGACTTCAGCCCACTGGGAGTTATATAACATGTCATCTTTTTATAATGGTTTTAGCCAATGTTCTGAGTTCTTTTTATTTAATGTCAAATGTATATTAATTGTTACTTGTTTCGGTTAAGTTCTTACTGTATTTTGTCTGTTATTAAGTTTAGAGTTAGGTTGCTTTAATATTGTTTAATATGATTTGTCCTGGTGTAATTTGTCTGAATGTAGTTCCCTTTTTGGCGTTGAATGTTTGCCATACATGTTGGAAACCGCCCTGAGTTAGGGCAGTCTATAAATAAAGCTTTATTATTATATTACTATTATTATATATTATTACTATGCCAGTGTGATTCAACACAACTTTGATATTCTCAATGGATTTATGAATGCTGGCCCTAATTCAGATAACCAGAAATAAAAATGCACCTTTCTTCTTTCTTTCTTTCTTTCTTTCTTTCTTTCTTTCTTTCTTTCTTTCTTTCTTTCTTTCACATTCAACTTAATGAATTAAGAGTTTAGTGTTTTGCAATGCAAGAGATAAGAATGCAACTGCAGGGTGCTGTATACACACACCAGCATGTATTTCTGCTAGGCTGACAAAGTACAGGGACCTAATTGGCTCTGTTCACGTCTGACTGAGTGATCAAATGTATTAGTAACCAATTACCAATAATATAAGACTGTTTTTTCAAATATGTCTCACAGGGTCCTGTCTCCACCACAGTCATTGATCTGCCCACAAAGTATAAATCTATATGCTGTATTGTTCTAAAAATGACAGAAAGCATAGAGAGAATCAGGAGGAGACCTACAGTTCGTGACAAATACTTGAATGTGTTTTATTATAAGAATGATTCATCTCAAGGGCGGCCTAAACATAATATTTGACATATTCTCCTCGATCTAGCTAATTTTAAAAAACAGCAAGCAAAAGAAGGCGAAGAAACCAAATTGCAGAAGTAACACGGAAAGAGGAAAACATTAACCCTTCTGCTCCACCATGAACCCAACTGGAACTAAATATTCCTCCTATCTTTGCTTCCCATCCCCCTCTATCTTTAGTCACTACTTCTGAGACATGAGTTGTTCCTTGCAGCAGCCCATCCCTTAACATGAGCACATGCTTCTACTTGATCAAACCCAGCTTTTAAACACATCAACCATCTCCAGTTAGATAGGCTCTTGGCCCCTTACTGATAATGATGCACTTAACTTTGAAAAGGCTACTTTTTTGTAGCTTTGACCCTTTAAACAAGATGTTATTTCCCTCCTCCCAAGTAGCAAGGCAGTCAGGGTGGTGCACGTGACTGACTTTTCTGTGTGGCTTGTTAGATAGAAGCTGATAATGATTTTAGAGATATCACCAGTATCTGTTTCCTGGGGAGCATCTGCCCTGAAAATTACTGTTGATGCAGCCTTTCCTCACCATGGGTGATGAGTACCAGAATGAAGACTACCACAGGGGAAAAAAATTGGAGGAACTATCCCACACCTCAGAGATTTGCTCAGAACTCAGAAAATCAGGTAAACATAAAATAGAGGGTCAAGGAGAGGGAAAGAAAGGGGATTTTCTAGAGAGTTCCTTTAGATCTACCGAAATTGAAAGTCTTGGAGAGAGTGTAGACATTGTACTTGGTATTAGCTTCATTTTCCTAACTGCAGTCCTATGTCTTTCTACTGTGTATGTCTGTATATGTTTGTATGTCAAAAACTGGCATTTAATGTTTGCCATATATGTGTACACTGTAATCCGCCTTGAGTCCCCTGTGGGGTGAGAAGGGCGGAATATAAAAGCTGTAAATAAATAGATAGATAGATAGATAGATAGATAGATAGATAGATAGATAGTTCAGATTATGCTGTTGGTGTCACAGGTTGAAATCACATTTTATTAGTGCTGTTGTTTATGCTGACATGTTCCCAGGGTGTGTATTTCAAAGCATGTGCTTTACTCAAATGACTTTGAAAATCGTTCTCATAAGATATCTGGCAGATTGAAGTGGTAACTGACTAGTAAAGTAGATTAATGGAAGGCTTCAGCCTTCCCTATTTATAAGCCCAGTCTTATATTTTAAGTGGCTTGTCCAAATTGGTTTGAGAAGAGTAGATTCAGTTTCCCAAGTTATGAAGGCCAGTGACCCAACATAGCAGCCTCTTCACCTAGAAGGACAGACCTTTCTCAGGTTCAGATCTAATTTGGTGAGGGTGTTGTGTGCAGAGCTAAAAGCATAGGGTAAGGCCAAATTGAAGCAGGTGAAGCCAGATCTAAATCTGACCAGTTTCTTCTGGAGCGACAGCTGAAAAGCAGGAGTGCAAAATCTTGAAAGACCAGAAATCACATCTCATTTTACTGTGAGACATCCGCCATTTGAATAGCTGGTTAGCTCTGGTCACTGGCAACAGATAACAATGGAAGTCTCTATGTGGATGCAAGGATGGGTTGGATTAGTCCATTGGGGAGGGCTGCCCTCTTCCCCCACACAAAAACAGGAATGCCCATTCCTCTAACATTTTTTAAAATTAGATGCTACATATGCCGGATTCCTAGTTTTGTCAGCCTTTGAGAAGATATCAAGTGATTTCTGCTACCAAGGGTTTGGAAACCTGACATGACCAGCTATTCCAGAAAGCCAATATAGACACAAATGGGTTAGAAGGCAAAAAAGTGTATTCTCACTGGGCAGAGGGACTGACATAATACAATTGACTGACATACTGCAGTTATTAATACATGACATTTTTATTACATTTGACCACTTTTCGAGAAACTTGTGCCAGCTCCTAATTGGTTGAAATCTGTCCAGCTAGGATCCATGTTCTGTGTGGCTCAAGATTACATCAGAGGTCTTTGCTGGTGGACTCTTTGTAATGGCAGGAAATTCAATAAACTGTCATTGGATCATTTGAGGTGTCAGTCTATTTAATGGTCTGCCTCTGAAAGGGACGTGATTGAAAGGAATGTGGTGTGACAATATGCAAAAGAGTAATTTATAAGTTTAATGGGTTAGCTCTGGTTGGCACAATAGGATTGGTCCAGTGTACATAATGGATATTTGGAAATAAAAATCATTTCAATAAATAGAACTAGCTTCAGGCATGGGAGCTGGAGATAGCCCAGATAGCAGGAAACGGGTCCAGGGCCCTCTTGTGAGGGTTGGTAAATGTGAATAAGCAGAATAAGTAGAAGCTTTACCACAGTATTTAAACCAAGGTATATCCTGCTGTATAATAAAATGTCACTCAGGCTTGTGAAACAAAATAACAGTATCTTCAGTTCAAAGGTTCAAACTTAGTAACAATATAAACATTGGTCTCTTTGAATTCAGGCAGAGATAAGAGGAATAAAATAGTCTGTTTAGATAGTCTTTGAAATATGCCTCATGCCATAAAATGATCAGTCCTTAAGATAGTTGGCAGGCCAGCACTTTCTCTTCACCGTCCAAAATGAGAATAATGGCAGAATAACAGTTAGAACCATTGGCCTCAGCAGCTAGCCAGAGGCAGCAGCCAATCAGAACCCCGGCCCCTGGCACACTCAGCCAATTGGCTGCTGACACATCTCTCCACAGTTAACCCACCATATCATGGTGTTCTTTTTCAAATCTTCACATCTCAGATGTACATCCATTGACTTATCACACACCACCCACCTCCCTCCAGTCTCCCAGTTCATCGTAAAAGTGATTATGGAAATGAAGGGCAAAAAAGTTGTGACTTGCTTGGTTTTTCAGAGCCGTGATTGCCATTTCATATAATTTTATATAATTCATTCTTGGGGGGGGGGGGGGGAATTCACAATATCAAAGCTACTTGTGGTATGGAACTGTATCTTGCAAATAGCTACATGAAACTATACTCATCAAATACACACACGTGAAGAGGCAGAAAGAGAGAAAAGCTGTCTTGTAAACTTCCGTGTCAGTTGGACTATACATTCATTAAAAAAATTGAATGCCTTTAACAGGTGCTTCAAGGTGGTGAATCTTTTTGGAAATTTCCTCTTAGTCCTGGATTACCACACTGACTTGGAAACTGCCTCCCATCACTGGGGAAGAGAGGATCTTTGTGTGTCAGTATTTGAATTTGGACATGCTTTTACTTGAGTAGCCATGATAATTATGTTCTATAAGAATTAGAGGAATGGAATTGCATAGGTGAGAATGTATAGTAAGATCACCCAACCAAAATGTTCCAGCAGATTCCAAAGTACCTGAGCAAAGCCTCTTCTGTCTTTAGGATCATTGCCTGTCAGTGGTGAAGACACTCAGGAGAACTATGAATACATCCCTGATCCTGACATGCTGATGAGGAAGCTACCCAAGAGTGGGCTCAAAACAGAGCAAGGTGAGAGGCCACTGATGGCTGTGTTAAAACATATGCCAGAGAAGGGAGGTGTGATGGGGAAGAGTTCCATTCTTGGTTCCTAACAATGAATACTGGTTTGTGGGACAGGGGCATATAGTTCCCATAATGGGTATAGAACTGGTTTGAGGTATAACAAGAGAGAAATCCTGGGATAATGATTCTAGGCTACTGGGGCCAGAAAATATGGGTTGTACAGTAATTGTTCTTTTAGAATGCAGCCATTTTAGTCAAAGGGCCCTTCCACACAGCCCTATATCCCAGAATATCAACGCAAGAAATCCCACATTATTTGAGTGTGGACTCAGATAACCCAGCTCAAAGCAGATATTGTGGGATTTTCTGTCTTGATATTCTGGGATATAGGGTTGTGTGGAAAGGCCCTTGGACTGTCCTTACAGAAAGATCAGTATTTTGTTGCTAGAACTTGGGAAATTAGATCTTTTGGACTACAAAGTCCCAGAATTCCTATACAAGAAACATCACATTTCTGTGATTACCTCTCCCCCACAACTCTTTTAGCTCAGAGCCCATGGCCAGTACCTAAGTGTTGTTGAGCAATTTAGAATGGTTCTGGATAGGCCCAAGCCATTGTGGGTTGCCTGGTGAGAAAGAGAAGACAATATTACAGAATAAATCTCATCAAGTTGAAGAGAAAGCCACTACGGGTTTTTTTTATTTCATTCCAGCTGGAAAGGATGACAGTTGCAGTAATCTGCCAACAAAATCGACATGCCCACTGGGCAAAAAGATACTATATTTATAGCCTTCAGATTCAAAAGTTCCCATGCCCACCCCTCCCCACCCAAGCTGGCTTTGTTATGATTGGCTGTTACATCAGCAAACCAGCATGAGAGCCAATGGCGGCCTGAGCCCTGCTTTGGTTGCTTAGCCAATGAGGAGGAAGGGAGGCGGGCAACAGGGAAACAATGAAAGGAACAAAAAGATGACAGGATAAAAATGACTATTTGTCCAAGGAGTCAGCGACAGCTTAAACTCTCGAGCTAAGCCAAGGTTATTGTTGATATCTTTTGAATTAACATCTTGGACTTTGTTTTCTTCCTTCCTGGGTATGGGATCCTTTGATGAAGTTTGAGGCTGGTTTTGGCCATTTGCGTTGACACAATGAGAAGAAGCTGTGGTGCAATCCTAATTCCTCGCAGACAGGAAGACACCCCTTGTGTTGGGTGATTTAGATGCCTATAGGTCTTATCTCTCCAGATGGACTAGCCTTTTGCCCTCTGAGATCTGGTTGATAAGAGCCATTTATTTATTGTCCATGCAATGAGTTTCTGGTTGAGTCCTTTATCTAGGAATTTACTGGCCCAGGAAATTGGGAAATGCTTCCTGGAGCCATGAGGTGCTGGATTCATCAAGAAGAAGAAGGTGGCTTTTTCTTCATTTTTTCAAAATATAGCCATACTAACATATAGTGATATGGGGAAGGAAACATACAAGGATTTCATAGGGGATAAATCATGCAAAGTCAAAGGGGAACCTTGTCAGCCCTCTTTCCCTCTAAAGTTCATCAGGTCCATCAAATTTGGTGAAAATCAGGAGGAGATCCAAAGGGATTTGTCAACAGGGTCTCTGAGAGTTCCAAAAGCCCTTTAAAGCTGATAAAAGTTCATGAGGGGTGGGGAAAGTGTGTAAAAGTCCTAGAGAAGTCCATAAGAGTCCATGGGGAGCATACTGGAGTCAATGGGAGCACTGAGAAGTCGGAGTCCATTCATAAAACAGGAGTTTGATTCATGAAAAAGGAATCCAATTAATTAATAAATAACCAAATTGGTCAGATGCTAGTTTGGGTCACAGGGGCATTGCCATGTGGGGCCATGGAAAAAGCTTTAGGTTCTCATATGGGGAGAGATAGAGGATTATGGGATCATTCCAGCCTGGTGTCCCTGGCAAAACTATGAATTCCCTGATTTTCAACCATCTTTTACAGAGTCCTGGGGGTGGGTGGGTTTACCTTTAATCTCATAAGTTGTTCACACAGAAGGCCAGCCCTGGGTATAGCGTTTCTGAAACAACTGAAATACTTCTCCTCTTGCTACAACTTTGTCTGTGTACTTTTCTCTATTTACAGATCTGTTTGCATCTGGTATGGACAAATTGAAAGAATTGTCCAGATCTCCCATTAACTTTGCTTATGGACTGGCCTTCCTTTCTCTGATCATGGCAATTGCTGCCCTCAAATTAGCCATTCAAAGATGTAAGTTGAGTTTTGTAGCATGGAAAAGTGGATGTTTTCTCACCAGCATTATAGAACGGAGGCTATTGTCTGCCAATCTACTCCTGCAGAATTCTGGGAAATGTAGTTCAGGGCAAAGCCTTTGGAGTTCTCAGTTAGAGAGTTCCTTGGCTTCTCTAAAATACATTTCCCAGAATTCTGCAGGAGCAGATTGGACAATTGTAGGGAAGTGACTCCAAAGGGAAACGGGGTTCAACAGGGCAAACCTGAAGGCACCAAGAGGGTGAGGAGAGAGGATGAAAGGAAATCTGCTTGTGTACACATTATCATATCTGCATCAGCTCTCATAAGCATTGGCAAAATGCTTATGAAGTGCAGTGCACCTCAGAGAGTCACTGAGACAAAAATTAAAAGAAAAATTCCAGAGGATGTCCCGTACCTTTTGTAGTTCCCTTCAATCCGCATTAACCAAATCTTTCTGGATGCTGTAAGACCATTTCCCGTGACTAATGACTCAGTGTGAGGATTCTCCTTAACGTACCAGGATTTTTAATCCTTTACTCTGGATTAAGCAGGTGTCCGGAAGGGCTCTCAAACCACTATACCATGCTGGCTCTCTGCTATATGGGATGTGTATGCATGTGGTTTCACGTTGACCTATAGCGACCCAATGAATTTCTTTTTTTTTTTAGGCAAGGAATACTCAGTGGTAATGTTGCCCATTCCTTCCTCTAAAATATAGCTTACAGGAAGCTGTCAGTCATTGGCTGTCTCCCTTCTAAGTACTAGCCAGGGCTAAACATGTTTACCTTCTAAAATCAGACAGGTTTTGGTAACTTTAGGGTATTTTGTCAGGGCCATATGGGATGTAGGATCCTTGGGGAAAGAGAAACCTGGCCCTCAGTGATGACCTGTAGCGGTTTTTGGACTACGGTTCTCAGAATCCACCAACCAACTCTGAAAAGTTCATTTCACAGTGCCATGTGGATATACCAGAAGACCATGCATTGTTTGTTCCAGACTGGATTCTTTCAAGGCTCTATGTTTTGCAGGTTTCCCATCATGCCCCCATGAATGGATTATGTTCCAGGAGAAATGCTACTATTATGACCAAAACATGGCCGATTGGACAAATGCCAGGAGAACCTGCCATGACCTAGGTGCAGACTTTGTAGGGATTGACAGTGAGGAGGAAAAGGTGAGCTTTCCCTGCTTGGCTCCTATAGTAAATGGAACAAATACCAGAGGGCAACAATATTCTCTTGAGTATGTCAACTACTAAAATCCATTGCACTTCCATGCTTTTCAGAGATAATAGACTAGATGCTGCTTCAACAGGTTTTTTTTTAACAGATATTATACAGAAAAACACATTTCTACTATTTGCAATTTCTGCTATTCTTCCTCCTGGCAACAAATAGAGCAGCAGCAGTGGCACAGTGGTTAAACTGCTGAGCTGCTGAGCTTGCTGACTGAAAGGTCGTAGGTTCTAATCCAGGGAGCGGCTTGAGCTTACGCTGTCAGCCCCAGCTTCTGTCAGCCCAGCAGTTCAAAAACATGCAAATGTGAGTAGAACAATAGGTACCGCTCCGGTGGGAAGGTAACGGCACTCCATGTAGTCATGCCAGCCACATGAACTTGGAGGTGTCTACAGACAACACCGGCTCTTAGAAATGGAGATGAGCACCAACCCCCAAATTTCAGGATTCCATTGCATTGAGCCCTGGCAATGAAAGTAGTAGCAAACTGCATTAATTCCAGTGTTGATTCACTTCTAGTCCTAGTGTGAATTCAGCTATTGTCAGAAGGCACATTCAGCATGGCCAATGATAGGGGAGAATGGGAGAGCTAATGCACTGAGACGAAGGTTCCTTGATTATATCACATGTTTTGTCTCCTATATGCTTAACATAAGGGTTCTAAAATATGACTATCTTTGCAATTTTGCTCAATGTAATTTTTAAAATCTATTTATTGTTTTGTTTCCTCTTTCAACCTTTCTGTCTCTTTCCTGTTGTAGCTGTGTTAGACAACAAATGGTAGTATTGAGTCTCTTGCATGAGAAACTCCTCTTCTGTTTCCAGAAATACCCCCATCACAAGTTCCCGTGGCTCTTAGGTCTTATCTACGCTGCCATTATAATGCAGATTTAACTACATTATTTGGCCAGTGCAGATTCACATAATACACTTTAACTACAGTGAACATGATTATATGAGTCTATGTCAGTGGTTCCCAACCTTTTTATCTAACCACGGAACACTTCACCAAGGACCACTTTGACCAGGGATCACTCTCCAACATTAGTACCAAAAGGGTTATGAATCTGGTTTTGGACAACTTTAGATTCGGTTTGGTTATTTGGGGTGCTGATCCAGAAAATTGCATTGGATAGACCACATCAGCTCTAGTTTCTGATACAGAACAAATGCCATCCAATAGTCACCATCTGCTTGCTCACAAAAAAACCCCATATTTAATAAGCCTCAGCACTATAAGAGGGTTTTATGAGACCAGTCACTCTCGTTGCAATGGCATAGTAAAGTTGAGGCTGTGGATCATATTTTAGTTCTTACGGACCACAAGTTGGGAAGCACTGGTCTACACTGACCATATAGTGTAGTTCAATCTGTATTATAATGGCAGTGAAGTTGGGACCACAGTATTCAGAACAATATAAATTCAGCATAAGAGTAACATACAGGATTTCAGCTCAATGCAGTTGCATAGGTTGATCTGATTAAAATGTTATTTCATGGGTCCCAGAATTACATCCATACAGATGCATTTCTGGCCAGGAGAAACGCACACATTTTTGTGTCTACGTTGGAAGTTATAAATCTTAATCCAATTGCTAAAGCAGCTTCATACAATTAGTTGCTTAAATGCTGACTTATGCATTTAATTTATTGGGTCTCCCCTAGGCAGCTACTGCAGATTGGATTAATGGCCCTGTTAGACTATACCTTTCTGTTACTTCTTATTCCTTGGGCATGATGGGTATGACTGCAGGGATTTGCAGGGAACCCACTTCCCATCCCTGTTCTAGAATGAAACAATGGCCTCAGTCTAATTTCTAGTGCCAGCTACAACAATCCAATTGTATTTAGAGAAATGTGGAGTTACCAGACTTGTTTTAATTGGGATTAGCAATTGGTCTTAATTCTTCATCTTCTCTGTGGTCTTTTTGACTCAGTTCAGTTAAATCAGATACTCATGAGAATTAGTGGATAAATTGAAGGGGATAGAAAGTTTCTCAGATTTTGGGCCCTTCCTCCAAGGGCCCTATTCCAGCCAAAAGCATTCTGCTTAATAGCCCTCTCAGACTCAGGAGCAGCAGCACACCTTTTGGGCAATCTTTTCCTGCCACCCCATCTTTCTCCAAGGGATGCCCTTAACACTACATCTGTAAAAGGTCACCTCTTCATAAAAGTCAACATTGACACTGAAATTCAACACCGCCTGAGCTCTGTGAATGCAGCATTTTCCCGAATGAAGCAGAGAGTGTTTGAGGACCAGGACATCCGTAGGGATACCAAGGTACTTGTTTATAAAGCTATTGTCCTCCCAATCCTGCTATATGCCTGCGAGACGTGGACTGTCTACAGACATGACATGCAACTCCTAGAACGATTCCATCAGCGCTGCCTCCGAAAAATCCTGCAAATCTCCTGGGAAGAAAAGCGGACAAATGTCAGCGTGCTGGAAGAAGCAAAGACCACCAGCATTGAAGTGATGGTCCTCCACCATCAACTCCGCTGGACCAGCCACGTTGTCCGAATGCCTGACCACCGTCTCCCAAAGCAGTTGCTCTACTCCGAACTCAAGAACGGAAAACGGAATGTTGGTGGACAGGAAAAGAGATTTAAGAGATGGGCTCAAAGCCAACCTTAAAAACTCTGGCATAGACACTGAGAACTGGGAAGCCATGGCCCTTGAGTGCTTCAGTTGGATGTCAGCTGTGACCAGCAGTGCTGCAGAATTTGAAAAGGCACGAATGGAGGGCAAAAGAGAGAAACGTGCCAAGAGGAAGGCGCGTCAAGCCAACCCTGACCAGGACCCCCTTCCATCTGGAAACCAATGCCCTCACTGTGGGAGAAGATGCAGATCAAGAATAGGGCTCCACAGTCACCTACGGACCCACCGCCAGAACGCCAAACTTGGAGGACCATCATCCTCGGACTACGAGGGATCGCCTAAGTAAGTAAAAGGTCAATTCACATTGTGAGTTCCTGAGACGTTTTGGCTTCATAGGCTATGAACATGTAGCAGCAGGCAAGAGGCCATTCACCTTTTCTGTCTTCTTTTATTAGGATTTTCTTGTTTATAACATCCCAACAAAAGGCGTATACTGGATTGGCTATTATGAGGGCACATCGACAAGGGTGGATGGATCTGTTTCTCCTGACACGTGAGTAACTATTTTGAACAGACTTCCTTCTGATCTATCACAGTGCCATTCACTAAATTACTTTACAGTTTTGAGTTGGTAAATAATTCAATATATTGATATAACTTCCTTTCCCAATGGATTGCAATAGGGTTTGAATAGCACGTTATTGTTTAATATCCAATCTTTTAACACATTTTAATGTTTTTGTTTCTAACAATTATTTAATTATCTTTAAAAAATAAGTTTTGTCTATTATTATGACTATTTGTATATGTTATTTATCTGTTCTGGTTTTGGTGTTCTGTAACCATCCTGAGATGAAGAGAAAAAAGAGGAAAAAGGTGGGATATAAATAAAATATTTACACACATGCATATAGAGATCATATAGAGATCCACATGAACCTACATATGCAGTTTATATCTGTCAGGACCCAGAAGCCTTAATTAGAGCCAAACACAAGTTAAGAGTTCAAACACAGCTTTATTGTACAAAAATAGTCTCTCAAAAGCACTTAACTTCAGTGCAAATAGTCCCAGTATTAATTTGGCATTAAAAACAAAGCGATACCAGTAACAAAAATATAACCCGGATTATAGCGCTGCTTTATAATCCGGATTAAACTCAAAGTTAAGCAATTCGCTTGAAAGTTGGCACAGCACAAAAACACAGTCACAGAAGATGGAAAAACGAAGTCCCAAAATGAGGAATTGTTCAAGCACAAAGATATAAGAGTTCAAAGTCCAGAAAGCCAAAAACGATAGTCAAACCAGTCCGTGGTCAAGCTGTTGGTAAACAAACGCTGGAACGCAGGAATCTCCGAGGAACAGGAATTCAGCTGTAGCCCAAGGACCCAAATTCAAGAGTTGGCAGTACAAAGAGTTATGTCCAATAAAGATGCTTTGCCTTCTGCAAAGTATCATGCAAACAGAACCCACTTTTATCTCAAAGTTCCTCATCAGAGCTTGATGAGCTCCCCACCCTTTCTTCATCGCTCTCAGCTGCCCCCAACCCTGCAACTGAATCCGAGCGCCCATCCCTCCACCTCTGCCAGCGTCTGCTAAGACTTAGATCTTGCCAAGAGTTCCCTGGCTGCCTATCCTCAGTGAACCCCTCAAATTTCTCACTGGAGGTGGGTTGATTGCAAATGTCCCTTATCTGTTGAACACGGGTCCAATCCAATTCCTCTTCCTCTTCCATATCACTCCCAGACCCAGACAGTCTGGGTATTTTAAAACCTAACACATGGAAGCCATATTTATTTATTTATTTACTTACTTATTATATCTATTTATATACTGCTTTTTCTCTCCCAAAGGAGAGAAACAATGAATTCACATGCCTCCAAAAACCCAGAATATTGTGTAGTAGTGACCTTTAGGTCCCATATGTGTAGTGTGACTTAGTCATGTGAATTTGAGTCAGAGACTGGAAGGGGCAAATGAGAAGTGGTTTTTATTCATGTAAAGAAGGACTAAGTGAAAATTATATAGCAACAGTGATTTCTGACACTAAGTGCTTCTAAGTACTTTCTCATTATTATTTTTCTAAAGAAATCAGCCTTTCCCAGATCCAGCTAACCCAGGTCAAGAAAATTGTACAGTCATCAAAGAACCCAAGTACGAAAAGTTCAAGGAGTCGTGCACTTCTAACCATCTGTTCATTTGTGAAAAGCCCATGAAGCTTGCCTGTGTCTGGCACCTCCTTCATAATTCCTTCAATTGAAATGGTGAGTTTTGTTTCCTCAAGGAGACTAAAAAAAACAGCAGGAAGATAAAGAATACAATGAAAATGCAAAAAGGTCTGGAAGTGCATTTATCTCTATCCTGACCGTGCATAGCTTAAATAGTTCCTCCACAATTTTCTCTAGATTTGTGATACTGTTATTGTTCTTATGTGCAGTCAAGTTGACTTTGACTTATGGCAGTGGTTTTCAACCTGTGGGTCTCCAGGTGTTTTGGACCACAACTCCCAGAAATTCCGGCCAGTTTACCAGCTGTTAGGATTTCTGGGAGTTGAAGGCCAAAACATCTGAGGACCCACAGGTTGAGAACCACTGGCATATGGGGACCTTGTGAATGAGAAACCATCATGGGGTTCTGCTATCTACAGGCCTTCTCAGATCTTACAAAATTGAGGGATGTGGCTTCCATCTGTGGTGTGGCCTTTGTCTTTTGCCATTCCCTTTTGCCATTCACTCTATCATCAACATCATCATCATGATCATCATCATGATGTTTATTTATAACCCGCTTTTCCTCTCATTTCAAGGGAGTCATGTCATCTCATGATGTGGCCAAAGTATGTATCCTGTTTTGGAACTGGGCGGATTTGTAGTTTATCATGCAAAGCAGACAAATTGTAATTATATGAGGACAACAGTATCATTGCCTTGGTCCTGTATGATGTTGTTCATTTCTCACTGCTTTCCTGATAGGAAAGAGACTGAAAATCATTTCTTTTACAAATACAGATAATCCATTATTGACCTCCTTTTGTAAAAGAAATGCCTTCCAATGGTCTCCTACCAAGAGCCTGGTGGGAAAGTCTAAGCTAAGGTAATGACACTGCTGTGCTGTCATAATGGCAATTTGCCTCTTAATGTGATAAACTTCAATATTTGGTGCTGAATATTGTCACATGTTACTGCTGTTAGATAAGCTTTATTAGTGGCAAGTTATGAACATGCCAGTCTTTTTGCTAATGGAGTCCAGCTTCCACTCAAAGCCAATAGTAGAAATAGGTCGCAAAACAGCAAATTTTACCCATAATATCTCATAGCCAATAATTCAATTCTCTGTGGCTGGATAAACAGAGTCTCTGGGTTTAGGTGCAATCACTCAAGGTAGGACTGATGGAAAGAGCGCTAGATATAGTCCCCAGTTCAGAGATCTGATGATTTTTAAAAAGCAAGTGTTTAGCTTTCTAGCAATATATTCAACAACAACAATTATGTTGTAATGTGGGTGCGAGATTTTCAATCCGTCTCTCTCTCTCTGGCAAGGACTCTGTAGCTTTCAGGTCCCATGCAAACATCCTTCAATCATGACACAGCTCTGCAGCCAAATAAGCTATAAACAGCTTTATTGCAGCCGTAAAATCATTTACACTATATACAAAGTAGCCATCAATTTTACACTGCTCCAGTCAATTAGCAGTTCAGCTAACAGTTCAATAAGTAAGTCTATTCCGTTCAGCAGGCTTCTTCAGTAATGGCGATCGAAGGAAACTCTTATCAGTAAAAGCACGCCCAGTAAATTCCTAGATGTCCGTCTACATCAGAGGAAGCAGTAAACATTTGCAGTGTCCTTTCTAGGAACTGGCCACTTCCTCTGTAGCCTTTAACTCCATCCATGCAGGATAGATTTGCATACATGCAGATTGCCAGCTTCAAAACACACAATTTAAATTTCCCATTATTCACACCATTCTGACAAATTATTCATCCCAAGTCTCTTTATGTTTCCATCAAGTAATATGCTGTCATTTGCATATCTTAAATTGTTGATTCGTCCTCTCCCAATTCTCACATCTTCTTCCTCTGACTGTATTCCCGATTTCCATATTATGTTATATGTTCTGCCTATAAATTAAACAGGCTGATATGGGCGGGATATAAGTGATGTAAATAAATAAATAAATAAATAAGATACAGACTTGTTTTGACCTGCTTGTGAAATGAAAACTATTGTTTCCCCATTTTCTAACCCAACAATAACGTTTTATCTGTTTTGTAGGTTTCTCTTCAAGAGAATCAAATGTCATAACACTTCATTTCTTTTAGAATGATACATTGTTTTTGTGATCTACACAATCAAAAGCTTTTCTATAATCAATAATGTATAAGTTGATTTTCTTCTGAAATTATTTGGCATGTTCCAGTAGTTTATGTTTGGTATTAAAAAAAACGAGCCTGTGTTTGGGTCTAATATTTGCTTTGGGATTATGGTGGGTTCTCAAAACATGTTGGAGAAATGCTTTGTAACTTTACATCCTCAATATTTGTAGAAAGCATTTGCGACTTTGAGTGCCAATGAATTAATTTTTGAAAGATTTGTATTGTCATTGCGCAAGACATTTCCCCACTCCAGTCATCAACCCGGGCTTGGGATAGCATTACATAGCAAAGTGATAGAGTGCTTGGAACAACATGAGGATTCCTGAGGTCCAAGGAGGAGCTACTCCTCTTGCTCTCACATCCCCCAGCCTGCGCATAAATCCCCCAACAGATTCTCTTCCAAGGGATTGTTCTATCCACGCAGGGTCCTAGAACCACACCCCAGGAGATACCAAGGGCTCATTGTACTTACAAGCTGTCAAATTGTTGCCTATTTATGAGCTTTCCGTGGGATTGTCTGTTCACTGGGGATGCCAGGCAGTGACCCTCCAGTTGAAGAGCCTTGATCCAGAGAAAGGTTAATATAGTCCCCAATGTGTCAGAACTGGATTCTCCCACCACAGTTCACATCACATATTATGCTGTTTCTACACCAAAGAAAGCATTTTTACATAAGAAAACTATTAAATCTGCATATAGAGTATGTATGATACACACAAGCACAGGAAGATTTTCTCATAATAATCTACCATCGGCCCTCCATATTCACAGATTTTGCATTCACAGATTCAATCATCCATAGCTTGGAATTTTTTTAAAAAGTAAACTTTAATTTGGCCACTATATATAAAGAATACTATTTTACTCACACTGTGTATATAACAGGAATAAGGTTGACTGCGGGATGGGGCACCTGGTCAGGGAGATGGTGTCTTTATTGACCATTGCTACCCCACCTCCCCATCCTTCTGATCCCAGTTGGTGCTACACGGCGTAACCTGGAGGACAAAGGTCTTAGTTATGCACGCCAGGTCTGCCTGTTCTTCCAATATTAGATCGTAAATAATTGTTGTTTCCCCATTAACAGACCTGGCGTTCAACAGCACCACCCTTAATCTATAGGGACCGAATGTTTGAAATGTTCTGCTTGGTATAGCACAATAAAGAATACCCAAAAAGAATCTGACAGCTAGAGCACATTGTTCCCACAAGTCCAACATTGTTCCCACAAGTCCAACATTAATAATAGAGTTATCCATATTTGTCAAACGGTAGCTGTAGTGGAATCTACCTTTAAGATGACAAGGCCGAAGCCTGCATGACAGTAGCTGTCATCTTGGAAGGCAGGCAGAGACAGGAGGAGGAGTCAAGCTGACTCCTGATTGGGTATAGCAATTAGGGGAGGAGTCGGTTGAGAGAGGGAAATAAGCTGTCAGCTCTTGACAGAGAGAGAGAAGTGTCTTGACATCAGACAAGGAAGGTTGAAATTTTAAGATAGGAAGTTACAGTAGGGATCTGACAGGGAAGGAAAGTTTTAAGTGAGCTTTTAGAATAGGGAATAAGCGGACAGACAAGGGCTAGGGTTACTGTATTAGTAGGATCAGTAACAGAGAGACTTGTCTGTTTATACTGAGGAAAAGTATAATAGAGCTTATTTGCCTTGTGGGAGAGACAGATAGGGATCTGTTCTCAAGTGATACTGTGTCTAAAGATAGAGCAGTGTGTTGAAGGAATCTCACAGTTGATTAAAGCTTTACTGTCAGTGGAACTACTTGTTTAAGTAACTAAGTCTCAACACCTGAATTACGCTTCTGTACCCCTCATGCTATGAGGTGATATTTGTTCCAAGTTCAATAAACTCTTTCTTAGTTCACTGTTAACTGGTGTATGCCTCAGTCTATCCATTTCCTCAGAACTCACTTTGTCAAACCATTTTAAAGTCCAGTCAGCCAGTGAAGAAGCCATAGAAGAACAAGGGCAAACACACCTTACCTACAACACATTCACACCTTTGGTACCTCAGGCCAAATAATTCTGAGGTGGTGGCAGTTATATCTACCAAGAACATTCGGTCATTTATAATATTTTATTCTCCCTTGCCTTGAGGGGCAGAGGTGGGATTGATTGTTTGTTCCCAGGAAACAGAATCCAATAGTACCAAAATCAAAATTTGAAAATCTAAATTTAAGATTTGGAAGTGCTTTACTTTGCTTGTGTCATATTCAATTTATTTTTGATTAAAAACTAATTACTTACTCAGAGGGAAATTTACTTTTATACTGTGAGGTTGCAGAAAGATATATATGGTGTATATATACTTTCCTTTTTTGCTCAGGACAGAAAAAAAAGTGTAAAGGTTACTTTATTATAACTGAGATCGTTAACATGCTATGAGCACTCTTGTGTTGAAAATGTTGAGATTTTGAGCATTTACATGTATTTAAAATTATCTTAAAATAAAATAAAACTTGTTGATCTGGTAGGTTCTAATCATTTGTGGTTATGTGTTGTGATTCATCAACAAGTTTATGGGTTTCCGTTTCTCCTTTGCTAGCAGAAGCACATGGCAGCATAGCAGAAACAGATCTTGATAATGGACAACACGTGTAATAAGTAGGGCTGGGCAACCACGGAAAAATTTGTTTCTAAACTCGATTCGTTTTTTGGGGTTTTTTGCGTTTCGATATTTAAAAGAATTCCGAAATTTTTCTTTTAAAAAGTTCGATATTTACGAAATTTCGTAAAATTACGAAATGAATACGAAATGAATACGAATCGATTCGTTAATGGTGGACGCGACTGCGCAATACGCTAAAAAACCTCCATATGGGACAGGGGGAACTTCTGAAGCTTCCCTCTCCCTCTGTTGTTGACTGTTGGTGTGATATTTATAATTTTTTTTCACTGATTAAACAAACAACAGCTATAAAACTTGCGCCAGACATGCGGAAATAATAACGAAACGATTTCGAAACGAATACGAAACGAATACGAAGCAATTACGAAACGAATTGAAAAATTCGTTTCGTTTTTTAGATGCTCCTGAATGGTTCGTTATCGCTTCGTAACCAAAAAAACCCGAATTTTTAACGAATTACGAAATTACGAAACAAAACCGCCCAGCCCTAGTAATAAGCATAGAATCTTTCCTCTTATTAAAAAACTTCTCTGGACCTCTTCCCACGTGCTGCCAGAATCATCAAGGATCGGTCTGGATTCCGGTGATTGTGACAGCGCCCATCCAGGGGGTCTGGGGACTCGTGCCCAATGTTATGGCTTCCTCCACCCCACATGGAGGGGGGGGGAGTCAGGCAGCCGTCTTGATCCATAGATTTCTATGGAATATGGGATGCCTCCTGTCTTTTGCCACTGGCTATTTTTCGGTGGTGGCAGGGGTTTTTGGCAGTTTTGCCATAGATTCGCCCCAGAGTACTTACTTCTCCAGGGTGTGTTGGGAGTGTCAGGCCCCATGGCAAAATTTCTAAAAACCCATTGCCGCTACCAAAAAAATAGCCTGTGTTAAAAGGCCTGATCATCATATACAGCTAAACCAGGAAATCCCAAATGGATGACCCCCCACGAGGGTCTTCCTCTAGGGGCAAACCAAGAATGGGCAACTTGGAAGTCCCTGAACAGACTCAGAAGTGGAGTGGGCAGATAAAGACAACTTGGCAAAATGGCACTATCTAAAAGAATCTTCCACCTTGTGTGACTGTGGAGCAGAACAGACAACACTGCATCTGTATGCTTGTCCACTATGCCCTGCCTCATGGACAGAGGAAGAATTATTGGAGGCTGCAGATAATGCCGTTGCTGTTGCCCATTTTTGGTCAAAAGATATTTAGCTGCTTGTGCTCCTTCTATTTCTATGTTCACTAACTGGAACAGCTGGATTACATTTGAGGACCATGTGATTAATTGCTGATGTACTGTTTTATATGTTTTAAACTGTTTTAATGTATTTTAATGCTATTTGAATGTCTGTAATTGTACATATCCTATGACTTTATATGGTTGCTTACATGTAAGCCGCCTCGAGTCTCCTCCGGGGTAGAGAAAGGCGGGATAGAAATGCCGTAAATAATAAATAAATAAATAAATAAATTTTTTCCAGCCATTTCACAAAGCATGCCAAGAAACCCCTGTGATAGGTTGTCTAAGGTCACAATTACCCGAAGGCTTGCAACAAATGGGCTTCTAAGCCACAAAGTGTGTTAAAAACAGAGTGAAGAGTCATCCCTGCTGCTACAATAATTAAGAATAATCTTTGCAAGTTACAGAAACAAATCAATTAATTTTTTCAAATTGCAGCAAGCTGTTGGAGCTGAAGATTTGTAGTCCTTTCCTATTTCCCAGAGACAATGCTGGAGAATTTGCACTCTTATCTCCTACTTGGAGACAACTCATGAAAACTGGAGGCTTGTGACCAAGGCCTGAGAGATGGCAAACCTAATGTGACCATAAATAATTCATAAAAACTCATGTCATGATACACTTTGTTTATTGAACTGAGAATGAAATAGGAAACAGGAAGTAAAATTGCAACATAGGGTAATTTTTAAAAGAACATGCTTTGGCTTCCATTGTGAGACACAGCATCGCTTCTGCAGATTGAATAAAGTTTCTGTAAGTTTGCCTTCAAACCGATAAGGTCCTGATTCCTGATCTGGAACATTCACAGTTAGCAGATCTCGCCAGGCAGCCCTCAGTAACCTCAGGTCTAAGAAAACTGAAATTTCCAGCTTCAGTTATTTGCTTCTAGACTATTATTATACCTACAATGCCCCCTTGGTATCGACTGGTTTTTCCCCAGGAGATATACAGATAGCAGTTCTGAGAAAGCTTATTTCCTTCCTTCACATTAAACAAACTATAGTTTGGGGGTAAAGTGAGGGATAGAAGTGTAAATAATACCCCAGAATATCTAATAGTTTGGGTATTTTCAGAAACAAGTAGTTCCTCCAGATTGACAATTTGTTGCAAAATGTTCCAGACATGTTGTTTCCTGCGTGTTCTTGTTAATTCCCCATTTTGAAAATTTATCTGACCCTTAATGCAGAGACTTTAAATTGCTTGTGTCATTTTTAATTAAAAAATCAACAATAACTGATTCCAAAATTGAAGGGTTAGAAAACAAACTCTGCTGGTTTACAAAGACACAAAACTTAAAGAAGCCCTGAACAGAAAGGGCCTCATTTTGTATAGACGGGAAGTTCAAGTGAGAAACATCTTCCACATCTTCGTGTTGCTTAGTTACAAAGTACTGTGTCTTCCTGTCTTCAATTTGCACACAGGCTGGTTAAATCATTTCTGCATCACGGGTGGCTGCTGATCAAAATCTACGATGAAGTTTGTACAGACTATCTGGTTATGCAATGCAATAAATCTTTTCATTGCATGGCAATGAATTGTAGGAATAAAAATGTCTTCTGTCATGAAATATGTCTGCCTATGTCCAGCAACACAGATAATGCTTCCTGTCTCTAAGCTATGAGTATCAAACTCATTTTCATCTAGGGCAATATCAACCTTATGGTTGCCTTTAAAGGGCTGTTGAATCCATGGATGGAGAATCTGTGGATGCTGAGGGCCAACTATAATTTTTTTACACAGTTATTGTTTATTTTATTTATTTATTTCATTTCTCACTGCCTTTTTCCATCCCAGAGGGGACTTAAGGTGGCTTACAAATTCGGCAAAATTTAATGCCACACAGGTAAACAATAAACACATCTCAAACAAAATACAAACATATAAGCCGTTGTTGGTGCTCTTTAGTTTTTACCCAGTTTGAGTCTTCAGATGTTATTCAGCGATGACTCCCATCACTTCTGAGAATGCACCATGCAGACTGGGATAATGGGAAATACATCCCAACGGCACTTGTGGCTCTGAGGTTGGGAAAGTTTAAAGGCTGAGGAAAGGTTAAAGTCAGACATCATATCCACAAGCTCTGTATCTTAACTCAAACCCCATTATCATGACTGAACGGAGCAGCCTTCCAGATGTTACTATCACAACTCCCATCAGCTTCTATCACGATGGGAGGAATACAAGAGCTGTAGTCCAGCATCTAGATCAGGTATGGGCAAACTTTGGCCCTCCAGATGTTTTGGACTTCAACTCCCACAATTTCTAACAGCCCTTAAACTGACAGGGATTTCTGAGAGCTGAAAACCAAAACACCTGGAGGACTGAAGGTTGCCCATGCCTGATCTAGAGGGTCACATAAAATGACATGGTGGGCCTGATACAGTCTTGAATTTGACACATGTTCTCTAAGCCATGTGCACTGTGGCAAATTCCCTTAATTTGTCTCGGATTAATTCAAATCAGGTGTTGTCGTTGTTACATTAGGGTGGCCAAGTTGCTCTGTAACTACAGGTTGATGAAGACTGTTTATGGATTTCCTCCATGAACTGCTGCTTTATGAGAAGAATAAGGATTGCAGACACAGCCATATTTCTATGCAAAACAGCAAAACCTGTGCAAATATCTTAATGTTAAATGTACCTGAAGGAAAAAATGAAAACAGACTTTTAAAAAAATTATGATTTTGTGCTAACATTTTACAACTGGGTGGAGGTTGTACACAGGATGCACTGATGTGGAGATTGTTTACATGTTGAAAAATGTAGGAGAGAGGCAGACATGTGGATATTACACTGCCCCCCTCTCCTGCCTGTTCCAACAGAAGCTGTATAGAGCATTTCTGAGATCAACAGCATAATGAGAATGTGCAGAGAATAAACATACTAATTATATAGAAAAATACTGTATCAGCTATGCCATGTAAGTGAAGGAACTTCTTAGGCAGAGGTAGCAATGTTTCCTATCATCTCCGATCATCCTGACCAATAGTGAAGGGTGGTGAGAGAATTCCGCCTCTGTCTCTGCACTGAAAGTTCTGGAGACGACCAACGGCTATTAATCTACCCCATGGTTCTCTCTGGTTGTTGTGAAAACAACTCACTTTCTGTTCCTCTTCAGCAGCTTCTCCTCCGAGAAGAGAATATGCTATATCCCTCCCCCATACTTATTCATATATGTGAACCATGTTACCTTGTGGGAGTCTTTATACTGCTTCATATTCAGAGCAACAGGTGACAGGAGGAAGAACAGCAATGCAGAAACATTGTGCCATGAAAGAGCTGGTTACCTGTGTTGAAATGAGACAGCCCATACCCAATACTCATACCAACATCAAACGGAGTCAGCAGTTTTTAGGGGAAGAGGAGAACCCCGTACTGTATGGCTGGTCCAGCTTCCCCTGTGTAATTCACATTCTTACACTAGCATAAAAGGGGTGGGAGCTAGCCCTAGGAAGCCATCGCTCTCCCCCTCCCCCCAAAAAGAAATGTGGCTTTCAGAAACCACCACCACTCGTCCTTAGTATATATTTCTGTTCATTTTGTTTTACTTGTCTCCTCATCTTAATATTTACTAGTTGTTACTTAAGCATAAAATCCATGAGATGAATATCTAATTGCAGGTGAGTAAATATACCCTTAATTTTCTAATATCAGACCATTTCAATGCCAGGAGTGATTTCATGGGAAGCAAAAATGATGTGATGCTGCACTGACTGGCCCCATCAGATCACCTGTGAAAGCCTGGAGATATCTGTAAGGTAGGAATTGTGTGTGTCACACAGGTATCACACAGGTATGTGGAAGGGAGCATGTGATTTGTCACTGCTCCATGGCACAAGGGCACACATACATCCACTGTTCCTATAGTCTGGGACCAACTCATGAAGTATTGTGTAAAATATTTCTTCCAAGTGAACATGCTTATTATTATAGCCAGACCCTACTGAATTTAGCAGGCATTTCAAAAGATATAGGACTGAAGTTGTGAACTCAGTGAATAGATTTCGCCCTGAGAAATGGACTGATAGCAGATTCGGAACAGATAAAAAGAAGCAAGATTGCAAGCACTGCATATTAATATTACCTTCATACCTTGCTAGGGAATATCTCAAAGGGATCAAATGGATCCCTTGATAATAATTTTGAACAGAAGAATCATAAGAATAACATGAGGCTGAAAGGAAGGGACATTTTTAACATTTTATAAAATGTAATCAGGTTTCTTCTGGATTCTTTCAGCTGGAAGCAGACCAGTGGAAATTTGGAGTTCTTCTCAGGGATACCTGGCAAACTTCGCTAACCACAGATGTCAGGAATCAGGACTCCCACCAGGTTAGAGGCAAATGATAGAGACTTTATTCAATTTGTGCAAAAGGGGCAATTGTACAGCATGGACGCTCGAAGGGTACAAGTGTGAAAGCATAATCACAAGTAGGCATTTTTATACACAAGAAATTCCATGCATTAACATGGCTACATTTTGAAACTCCCTCTCTTTCCCTTGATTGGTCAGCACCGAGAAGCCGGCTGGCATCCCCCAGGCCTCTAATTGGTCAGGAGGTGGGTCTTAGCCGGTGCACACCATGATTAGAAGAGGCAGCAATGCCATAGCAGGGGATCTCCTCCCAGCTGGGCAGTGAGGCCCCAGAGCTTCCAATGGGCTGGTGGAGGCAGTCTTGGGGGCAGTGAGGCCAACCCTGAGGTGTTTCGCAATGGAATGCTGGGGACAAAGAAAACTCCAAAAGATGATTTGACAGGATTACACAGATCCCAGACTCTGTCATAGAAGACAGAGTCTGTCATAACAACGGGGTTTATTGTCCCAGATATCTTCCCATGCTGGGGAGACAAAGAAAGAGTCCCAAAGATGTATACTGTTAATGGAATCACAATCCAAGATTTGTCCTGGGCCTTTGTCCTGCAGATAGCTGAGATCCCCAAAGGGGAACTGTTGGGCTGTGGGCTGATGGGCTCACATTGGGGTCCAGAAAGGTCCTTTGTCCCACAGATTATGTCCCATCTCTGGTTCTCACACAGGGCATGGAATGGGGATCTGGAATTGCTCAGGAGAGGTTACTGGAGTTCATAGGTTCATGTATATTTGCGTTCATTTTATAGAGTTCAATAATAAAAAATATATAAAAATACAAAAGAGAGTTCATGTATTGTTTGGTACAGGCTTATAGAGAAGGAAGAGGGGATGAAGAGAGAGGGTGTCGTCATTGCTGAGTGCAAGATGGAAAAGATCATTTGTCTTATTTGTTTATATTTTACCCGCTCCACTCAAGTACACACCCCCATGTCCACATAAGAAAAAAGAGGAAAAAAACAGTAAAAGTAATATAGAGAGTTACATAGTAGCAGTGGTATAGAAATGGAGGTGATTTGGATACATTTTAGCTGCTCACAGCTGAGCCAGGTGTGTGTGTTCGTGTGCGGGGCTTGAGGGCTATGGAGTGTGGGCTGCTGTCAGTCTTGGAGAGGCTCGAGGGAGGTCGTGGGGACAGAGTTTACTTCCAGTTCATCTGGCCATCTGTCCTTAGGAAACTGCAATTCCCATGGAGGTTGAACTATGTCTCCTTTTTATTAGGGGTGGGGTTGGGGGTCCTCAGATACTTCAAGCTTCTCTGCTCTTTGTTCATCAGTCATAATCATCATGCTTTACGATGCACTAAAGTTCACTGCGGCCAAAATGGGGATTGCAGAACACAGGCTACATGCCTGCTCTTTTCACAAATGGGTGAGGCATGGATACCTACACAGTGATAGTTATTCCACTTATTATTTTGTTGACCTATAGTCAAGCATTCGGCATCATATTTCGGGGGTTCTGCTAACCAGTTTCTGAAAAGAAAGAGAATTTTCTGTCAGTGGCAAATGAATAGGGAATTTAGCATGTTGGATTCCTGTTGAGGAAGGAGCAGCAGCTTGTTAGAGTTTGGGGTGCAGATTCAAAACAACAGACATTATGTTAGATGAAGCTGAAAATATTTAAAAAGAACCAGTGGTGTCACCAGGGTTTATCCCACCATGACAACAAGAGTGCATGCTTGTAGAACATGCAGGTGAAAACATGTGATTGGATAATAATGACAGCGGTAACCAGAGGTCACATGCATTAGAAGAGTCAAAAAGGAAATTAGGAAAATGTTTTAACCTTGCAGGTATATTACAACAATCAATGTTAATTCAGTTTTTTAGATGCAGTTTGATGGAGTTTTTCCAAATGAACTTTTCCTGGCTTGTTTTCAAGTGAATGTTGTCTCCAAATCCCTGCTCTTATTCAACCTCACATGACCAAGTACAACATCATTTCTACACACCAGGAGGACTGTCAGAGCAGCTTAATGGTGACCTGGTAAGTTTTTTTGGAAGGGGGCCTTTGGGGGAGGGGTGGGTGTTATCTCAAACCTTTGGGCTCCAGAAGCCCAAAAGGTGCGAGATGGCTGTGGGAACTCAACCCTGAAAGTACCCGAGGGTAAGTCCCCACAGGCCCAATACACCATTAGTCCCGGGCCTATCAGGAAGGCCTGGATCTAATGAGGCATCAAATTAATTTGGGACAAAGCAGGGTTTACCTGCTCTCTCCCAAATTAATTTGTTTTCATCGCATTTTGGGACCTGTCTGGTAGGGCCCTCAAAGCCAGTTATGCAGCAACAAATCAAAGCACAGAAAGAAGGTGATGGCAGCACTGGCTTGTGTAGACAGCTGGATGATTGTGAATTAGAACCGGTCCAGTTCACCACACCATTCCCAAAGTTATGACTAATGCAGGGCAAAATCTAGATAACACAGTTTACCCTGTGTTATGAGCAAACATTGTCTGGACATCCAGAAGAACTTCTGTCCTTGTGTTGGCAGAACTGAAGACTGACAGGTCTCAGGTTCGAATCTGGGGAGAGTATGGATGAGGTCCCTCTGTCAGCTCCAACTCCCCATGCGGAGACATGAGAGAAGCCTCCCACAAGGATGGTAAAACATCAAAACATCCAGGCATCCCCAGGACAACCTCCTTGGAGATGGCCAATTTTCTCTCACCAGAAGCAACTTGCAGTTTATCAAGTCGCTTCTGACACAAGAAAAAAATGTAGAAAGAGCCAAATTTTATTTCCCGCTTCACTGTCAAAGAGCGTGTGATTTTTTAATTTAATGTTTTATACAGCTTGTAAGATCAGGAGTACCTATATTGATTTAAAAAGCCCAAGCTGTGGAAAGGTACTGAAGCATGTTACTCACGGGTAGGAAAATGATTTCCCATCTACCCACTTCCACACTTTTTCAGCTGCTTCGTACTTTAAGCCAATCCAAATGTCTTTTCCCGTTTTCTTTTTCTTTTCCAGAAAGGTCTAAAACAAAATGAAAACAACATGGCTCAGCACGAAGATCCCCAAGGAGAACAAGGCAGCTGTGCATTACACAAGGCTCCATCATAAAGAGAACAACAGTAAGAAGCATAAAGGGAGTTACAGCAAGAAGCTGTTCACTTTTGATTACATGCAGAAAAAGCTCTTTGATAAAATCTATTGATATTAATATATTTCATTTTTTGTCACACTGGCTAAATGTTGTTGCCCTTGTAACTTTTTGACATTGTTCCACTCTCTCTCGGGCAGCATTTGTCAGGTTGAAAGATGGGGCTAGTTCCAGGGACCAGTACCATGTTTGTGTGTGTTGACTATAACTGTTGTCTGCAACTGTTTCCTGCATTCTGCCCACTCTTCAAGGACTAGCAGTGAATGGTTGGTAGACTAGCAGAATACCCTGGGGGTATTTATGGGCTAAAAATGGGGCTGTGAGAGATTAGACAATGGACCTGTGAGGTTGCTCACAAATTATACTTTTCTCACTTCTATTTAAGAATACAAAATTGCACTTTACACCATGGTTTAAATAGTCCATAAGACAAACCTCTCTCAGCCCCTATGTTGGCATTAAAATGTTACAATTTGTATGTATGTGTGTATGTATAATGTTTATATTCTGCCCTTTATAGTGATACTAGTTTAGATGGGTTAGGTCTTTTGTAATGCTATTTATTATAAATAGTCATTGTTCATTTTTGGATTTTATGAATGGTTCGATTAGAAAATGCATCAGGTTATGGGTAAACTGCAACTCCCATCATCATCTGTCATTGCCTCTAAACTCTGCCAGTCCTTAAAGTTGGCCATGATACGTATGTGTGCTACATTTGGTCCCGATCCATTATTGGTGGGCTTCACAGTGTTCTCTGGATGTGGGTGAATCGCAACTTTTATTGTTCTCTGTCACTGCTCACAAACCTCACCAGTACTTAAAACTGATCATGGTGGGTATGTGTGTCAAATTTGGTTCAGATCCATTGTCGGTGGGGTTCAAGTATGGATGAAATATAACTCCCATCATCCTCTAATTGATGTCTGTCCCCCAAACCCTGTCAGTACTTAAAGTTGGTCCGGGGTGGGGGTCCGTTCCATCTTCGGTTGGGTTCACAGAGCTCTCTGGATGTGGATAGACTTCAGCTCCCATCATCTTCTTTCGTTGCTCCCCAGACTCTGCCATTACTTACAACTGGACCCAGGGGGGTGGAGGGTGGGCTAAATTCATCACTGGTGGGCTTCACTGTGGGTGTGAGTGAACTGCAACTCACATAGTCCAGGGTCATCCTCCCAAACCTCTCCAATATTTTTGGTGGGTCATGGAGACGTCAAGTTTAATCCAGATTCGTTGTTGGTGGAAATCACAGGGGTCTCTAGATGTAGGAGCCATCTTGGAAATTACATACACGCATAAATATTTTCACTTTTAATAGAGAGATAGATGGTAGATAGATAAATCAATGGATCGATGATAGATCGATAGATATCTCAGAGTGATGTATGAATAAACTAACATAAATAATTTCAAACAAATCAATGGGTAGGTGGGGAGGGGAGAGATACCAAAACTAAATTATTGCAGATACCTAGGGCGCACTGTATTTTACTCTTGAAAACAATGTTTTGGTCTAGAAATTATTACAAAACAGAAGTTGCAATTTGCAATATCAATTACATGTGTATAGATGGAACACCCTCCAAAAGGAGATTAGACTGGCTCCTGCTTTAATGACTTTTAGGATGCAGTTGAAAATATGGCTCTGGAAGCAGGGATTTGAAAATGGCTGTTTGTAAACTAAGAGATGGAGGTTTTTTATGGGATTGATTTTAATTGGGTTTTGCTGCTTTTACCAACAAGAGCAGGTTCTGTGATGTTTTTAGTGGTGCTATATGTCTTAATTGTTGTAAAGTTTTAATATTTATATGGGTGATATTTATGAGTTATAATTAATGTGTTTATTGGGATTTATTTTTCTTCTATGTATTGTTTGCCTTTTTTTATTTGTTTGATTTGATTTAACCTTTTTTGGATTGTAAGTGTGACTGATATTATGCACATTGTTTCCTCTTGTTGTAAGCCGCCCCTTGGGGAGAAGCGGTGAGATATAAATAAATAAATTTATTATTATTATTATTATTATTATTATTATTATTGATATTTTCTGAATACTTGGAGCTGATGGTGTCTGTAAGAATAGTAATCCACTACTTAATCATAGAAAAATAGAGTTGGAAGAGACCACATGGACCATTTAGTCCAATCCCCTGCCATGCAGGAAAAGCACAAAGTATCCCTGACAGATGGCTATCCAGCCTCTGTTTAAAAGCTTCCAAGGAAGGAGCTTCCACCACACTCTGAGGCAGAGAGTTCCACTGATGAACAGCTCGTACGGTCAGGAAATTCTTCCTAATGTTCAGGTGGAATCTCCTTTTTTGCGATTTGAACCCATTGCTCCTAGACTGAGTTTCCAAGGCAGCAGAAAATAAGTCTGATCTGTCTTCCTTGTGATACCCTTTCATATATTTATCGATGTCTATCATGTCTCCTCTCAACCTTCTCTTCTGCAGGCTAAACATACCTAGTTCTTTAAGGCACTCCTGATAAGACATGGTCCCCAGACCTTTTGACGGTTTTAGTTGCCTTCCTCTGGACACTTTCCAGCTTTTGAACTGTGGTGCCCAGAAATGGACACAATATTCCAGGTGAAATCTAACCAAAGAAGAATACAAAGGCACTATGACTTTCTTCGATCTAGATATTATACTCCTTTTGATGTAGAATGATCCAGGCTTAGCACAGCGGGCCAAACTACTAGATGCAGAAGAAAATCCTGCCGATCAAAATGTTGGCAGTTTGGGCTCTGGTTGGGATGAGCATCCACTGTTAGCCCCAGCTCCCTGCCCACCTAACAGATCAAAAGCAGAAATGCGAGTAGATAAATAGGTATCACTTTTAGCAGGTAGGTAATAAAGATGCAACAGCACCCACACCCTGGTGGCCAGAGTCGTGCACAGCCTCCAAGATGCTGGAAATAAGATGGGAAATGTCTTTATCTCTGTCTGTCCTTGGTAATTGTATTGACTGCTTGCCGTATGTGTGTTCTGTAATCCGCCCTGAGACCCCTCGGAGAGATAGTGAGGAATATAAATTGTGTGTGTGTGTGTATGAACATATTTAATATTTTGCTTTTCTCTCAGTATGGAAAGAGGTGTCCCCTTCTGCTACAGTCTCAACTTTTCCTATTTTCTATATAAGAAGAGATAGGAAACACCCACCTGTTTCTCTTTATGATCAATCACTACGAGATCAGCACTTTCCTTTTGGCAAAATTTCCTGCTTTCGAACCATGTTTTCCTTTCTTCTGAGAAATAGTAGCATTTCTCTTGGAATTTCTCCCAGCCATCTGAACAAACTGGCTTGCCTGGAAATTAGGAAGACTTAAAGTAATGCTATACAGCTCGAACAGTACACATCTTAAGGGATTTACTGATGGGCTTGCACCTAGAGTCAGTTGGCAGCATCATAGCTAGACATCCAGCCCAAGGTCACATAATACCCAGAGGTTGTGTTGACTTACCCAAAGTTTATGAAGTATTGTCACCTAAGAGTCGCTAGCCCAGGAAACAGACCAAGATCATTCCTGGACCAACACTGTGGTCCTTCAGTTTTTATCACTCACCTCCATAATTCACTATAAGATTTGTTTAAGAATTATTTTCTACAATAATGTTTCAAGGGGAGCCTACAAGCCAAATAATAAAATATGTAATTGACTGAGCAATTTATTGGGTTTATACCCCACCCTTGTATGTAATCATAATCATTAAGGCCAAAATATGAATTGGAATGAGGAAGGTAAAAAAAGGATTGTGCTTCAGATGTTCACTTACATCTATGGCATGTCATCACAAGAGCGACTGTTGCCATTATTAGAGAAGAGACCAACACAATGCAGAATATGATGAAGGGTTTCCTTGGGAAGGAGCGCAATTTGACATCTCCAAATATATACAGTCCTTCAAAAAGAAAGAAAGAAAGAAAGAAAGAAAGAAAGAAAGAAAGAAAGAAAGAAAGAAAGAAAGAAAGAAAACTTCCATGAGTTTGGAATTTACAAAATAGTCATATTGAGACTCTATCTAAATACCCATATCTCCCCAATGAAGATTCATTTGAAAGGCTGGCAGATGATGGACTTGGTTTAAAAGTCTGTGCAGTCTGAGTCCAGTCTGAGTCCAGTTGTTAAAAGGCATAAAGCCATGAGAGGGAGTGCAAGCTGTGTACCAACACTTGACCCTTGGCCAACAAACTAAGTAGGCAACCTATTCATTCTTTAGAGGGGGAGGAGTGAAGTACAAATGAAATAATCACTGGGGAAAGAGTATTCTGAAGTCTGGCTAGACTTCTACAAAGCAAGGGTTTTTCTCCATTTCTGCTTATACTTTCTCCTTTGAACCATACCCATTTTGGAGCTTTAGGAAGAGTGGCAATGCAGATAACAATTGTATAGACCATATACACTTGAAACTGTAATATCAACCATATTGCAGCTGGAGTAACCTACTTCACATGTCAATATGTAGGATATTTATTTATTATTTATTTATTTACTATATTTCTATCCCGCCTTTCTCAAGCCCAAAGGTGACTCAAGGCGGCCTTACAACATAGGCAGCTATTTGATACCGTAACCATATACAGTATAAAATATATAGGATAGAAGGCATAAAAGACGTTAAAAAACGGTGTTCTAACTCTACATCAAAACTTTAACTAGAGATTAACCTCTTTAGCAGAGATTAATTGGTGCTATTTATTTTCTGCCTCAGGCAACATACTGGATTGCTCTAGAAAGAGATGCAACACAAATATACCCCTGACACAATTTGTGGAATTGTACTGAATCTTTCACCTGGATCAGCATTTAATTCCTCTTCTGGCAGTGTCTTCATCCACGTGCTTGACAATGGGATATATTCATATTCCTGTTCTGAAGCATTATTCCAGCCCTGGTCCGAAGCCACAGATTCTAGAGATGGAAAAAAAAAAGCATTCCTGAAGGATTGTTTAATTAGGATGCCAGCACTGAACCCTCAGATGTTGAATGGTCCTTCTGAACACTGGAAAACTACATGCCCAGCAATATTACTGTCTTCAAATGTGTGTACATAAATGCCTTCAAGCTGCCTGTTGACTTATGGGGATCCAAGAATATTATGGGGTTTCTTCTACACTGCCATGCAATCCAGATTATCAAAACAGATGATTCACATTATCTGTGTTGAACTGGATTATATGAGTCTACACTGCTATATAATACAGTTCAAAGCAGATAACCTGGATTTTAATGGCAGTGTAGAAGGGGCCTTAGTCAAAGAAGACTCAGAGGTGGCTTTGCCAATTCCTTCCTCTGAATTATGGCACCTGGCAGTCACTGAAGATTTCCCATTCAAGTACTAACCAGGGATAACCCTTTTTATTAGCTTCTAAAATCATGATTTGGTGTCTAGGGCCTCTTTTGCACTGCCCTATATCCCAGAAACTGATCCCATCTTATATGCTTTCAACTGGATTATATGAGTCTCCACTGCCAGATAAACTGGGATAAGAATATAATCTGGGATCCAATCCTGGGATATTGGGGCAGTGTGGAAGGGGCCTATGAGAGGCTAAACGAAAATGGAATTTCTTATTCAAAGAGCTAAAAAATAAAGAAGTAGACAAATGGCTTGACAGCATTTGTGCCAATAACTCATATTTTAGAAATAGAAAATTATATCTTAATGCGATCATGCTGACACTACTGTATACATTTTCTAATATTTCAGGAAATCTACAAAATCACTTTAAAGCATGCCTTACCTTGCTGAAAAATTGTGTCTATGTTACCTAGTGGGTGCTGTGGTCAACCTCAGTTTAGAAAGGAAGCTTTCTAGAGAAGTATGCATGTTTCTTCTGAACCTAATGTGCAGCACCAGGACTAGAGCAGCTCCCCGAGGTTTTCTTCTCACCCCACTTCCCACTCCTTCTATTACCTTTTTTCACATTTTCTGATGTGGAATGTACTTCACGGGTGTGAGAGGATTTCTCTGGTGTAGTGTCATTCTGGTATTGCTCATTGTGGTAGCCTTCATTCTGGTAGTCCTTATTCTGATCATTCTGGTAGTCCTTATTCTGATCGTTCTGGTAGTCCTTATTCTGATCATTGTCATCCATTGCTATGGGAGGCTGTGTGGAACAGTCATACTTCAGGCAGATATTACCCACTGGGACCGGATGTGTAGGCTCTCTCTATCGTGATCAGTTTCCCTTCTGATCATGATAGAGATAACCAGCCACAGGAAAAAGAACATACATATGCATCGTCTCAGATATGTAGCTGTTCAGGAGAAGGGGAAGGGCTCAAAATAATTGCAAAGGTCTGCTTCCAATGGAACTGTCCTGGGTGGGAGTTCATCTGAATTTCTTCTTCTGAGGAGGGATTTGTAGCAGAATGAAAATCACGTGTAGTTCACGCTTTGACCAGTCCACACACTGCCTTGCCAGAGAAAAGATATGTCATGCAAATGAATAGTAAAAAGCAAGAAGTTTACTCTTTGTTATGCAGAGCAACATATGTACAGTCATATGAACAGTTGCATTGATTCACACAATGTCCTTTGAGAAAGATTTAAAATGTCCTTAGTTGTCCATGTGAAAGACCTTCTCGCAGCAGCCCAGAAGCAAATCTGTCTCTGCAAGCTCCTGCACGGCTAAAGACTGAAAATGCAGCTATTGCCAAAACTCCCAGGCTCAGCTAGCTTGGTTGTACATGACCCAACCAATCAGCTTTGTGCTTTGAATTTTCAGTTAACACACACTCACGAACTGAATTTTGCATGTTCCAACAGGATTTTCATCAAGAGGAGGAAAGAACTACATCTGTTTTCTCTGTTTGCTGTGATTGCAGTACTTATAAAAATACCTCTCAGCTGATGATTGAGTTTTTTTAAAAAAAAAAAATACTGTGATAAATGCAAAGACACATTTAACATTGGCTGGGCAGCTTCCAGGGATCTGGGAGGTTAAATAGCAAACACAAGAGCTAGATCCCAACCTTTGCGTCGGGAATTCAATGTGATAATCATGATAATAACAACAACACCAAAAATCCCTCTCTTTAGAACACGAGGGTTCCATTTTAAACAAAAGTCTGTGATAAATATATCATTTATTTTGAAGCCAGTTAAAGACTTCTGGATTTGCTAGATTAAAAACAAGACACATGCTCACATACACCTTAGTTGAAAGAAGAACCTTTAAATATAGTTTTGCCTCTGCAGTGGTGCATTGCAAATTTTAAATGAAAGCAGTTTTTTCTCTGACTCTGCTGCCATATGACCAGTGCCACAAAAATAGCCAAGGGGCACTCCCTGGGCACTGGAAGCAGAAATGAAAATGTGGAAGCAGAAACGAAAATATCTATGATAGATTATCTCACAGTCGTTATCCACAAAGTCTTAGCCCTGAGGAAATGTATCTCCAGAAAAGCTTAGGGGAGGTCTGTCAGACCCTGGGTGCATCTACATTGTAGAGTAACACAGCTTGACATCACTTTCACTGCCATGATTCAGTGCTATGGCATCCTGGCAGTTATAGTTGGTATAGTATAATTCAGCACTCATTGGCAGAGAAGGCTACAAACCTTGTAAAACTACAACTCTCATGATTTCACAGCATTAAGCCATGGTAATTAAAGTGGTTTTCAACTTGCAGTATCGATGCATCCCTAGTCTCTGTGTGCATGTCCTTTGATGACTTGATACCCAAGTAATTCTCAGAACAGAAGTCCTGGAAGAGGGATGGCCTTACCAGCTCACATTCCCTTGTATCCAGCTTGACAAAATACTTTGCATAGTACCTACAGTGGTACCTACATAATGACATGTTAGATAGGAATGGCATAGCATTTCTAGTCATGGAGAAAATATTGTTTGATGAACATGTGGAATATTGATGGCATCTGGGTATGACTGTGAATGTCGCGATGCAATACCTAAGGGAATACTGTGCTGAGTACACATGCCCAGTGTGGAACACATCTCAACACATTAAAACAGTGGATGTGGCTCTTAATGAGACATGCTGCATTATCACAGGATGCCTATGTCCCACACCACTGGAGAAATTATACTGTTTTGCCGGTATTGCACCACCTGACATTCGCTGGGAAGTAGCATCCAATAATGAAAGGACCAAGGCAGTGACATCTCCGGCCTACCCCCCGTTTGGATATCAGCCAGCACGCCAATGCCTTAAACCAAGAAAAAGTTTTTTAAGATCTACAGAGATACTCACAGGAACACCTCAGCAAACGAGAGTCCAAAAGTGGCAGGCTAAAACCCGGAACCTCAAACCATGGCTGATACTGAATGAGAGACTCCCTTTGGGCACTGGGTGATTTGGAAGGTGCTGAACAGACTTTGCTCTGGCATCACGAGATGCAGAGCTAGCCTTAAGAAATGGGGTTACGAAGTGGAGTCCACAGTATGCGTGTGTGGAGAAGAGCAAACTACAGACCACCTATTACAATACAGTCTGAGCCTTACCACATGCACAATGGAAGACCTTCTCACAGGGACACCAGAGGCACTCCAAGTGGTCCGCTACTGATCAAAGGACATTTAGTATAATGCCAAGTTTTTAAAACTTTGTTTCTGTTCTTAAATACATTACAACTGTACCCTTGGTTTGCTTCTGATATGATAAATATCTAAGGAAATGTGGTAATGGCTGAGTCATAACCATGTGAAGATTATTGCAAAGATGTTGGATCAGCTAGTGTCCCTTACTGATGGCCTATTAGCAGACGGCTATATAAGAAGGATGAAATAATTCAACTTTTTCTCTCCTGTATGACTCGGTTTGAGCATCTGCCAGTGTGGTATGTGACAATCTGATGATTTTGGTGATTAGCTAGAAAGAACAAGGAAAGAAGATCTGCATATCCTGGCAGTTGGACTCCACTGATAGATGGGCTGAAGAACATGTTTTGCTGTGAAAGGCCTTTGTATTTTTGCTTGCTTCTGGGACACTTTCTATCCAGCTTGCAGTGGTTCAGGGAGGTTGTGATTTGGAAACTATAAATCACTTCATGACCAGCATGCCAAGACATGGCAGGAGGAAGGATGGGGGTGTCATTAGGGCTTTCTCAGTTCTCCTCCTATTGTGCCATCCAACTAAGCAGCACTTTGAATTGTATCTGGAAATGGACTGTGATACACCTTTACAGTCACATGCCTTGGTAATTAGATATAGCTCAATCATCTAAATCTACCTGAAGTTTCTAAACATGTGTCAGTGGCGTGTGCTGCAAGCTACAGCGCTCATTTGTACTAGCCAGATGTATGGAGAGTTGATTGTTTTTATTCCTGCAATTAAAACTTGTTTTTTAAAAAATCTAGAAGTCAGACTGGTATTTACAGGAAAATTGGAGTTTTCCTTGCTTCTTCCCCACCCTTTTTTATTCCTACTAATTGGACATTTTTTCAAAGACCAATACTTCCTGATTTGTTAGTCTTCCTCCTTTTGTTTGCTTCACTCTCCTGTATTGTTGGATCTGAGTGTGTGTATGGGAAAGACTGTCCATGCCCATAAAGATAAGGGAGAGGAAAAATAGATGACCATCCTTACTCTCCTCGTTATTTTGGGAGACTTGGGGATGGAAAGAGAGGGCAGAGAAAAGGTGGGAAAAGGGAAGAGATCATCAATAAGATCATCTATTCAACATGCCACTTTTTGTTCTCTTTCACAGGAGTGCTGTGACCCTAATTCCTGTGAGTGTCGAGGGCCGACTCTATTTAAGTAGTCGTTCCTTGATACCTTCCATGCTTTCCCAAAACACATCACAGCCACCTGCAGGTTATGACCCCCAGAGCTGAAAGAACTGAAATCCAAACAAGTAAAATACAATTTAATTTCCAAAGTCTCTTATTTTTACACATCCAGACACACTCAAATAAAGTATCATAATGGGGACTGGACACACTTGACAAGCATGTTTGTTTCACAAATATATGGATGCACCTTTGTGCAGTCAACGCGGCTCCATTTGTGCTTGTTATTATCTTCTATCTTTGATGTAACACAATGGCCATCACCTCTATCCTCAAATTCTTCCAGTCTCCTCAGGTTTCTGAAAACGAGAATCAGCACTTTGTGTGAGCAGCATACTAATTGGGGATTTGGCATATGGAGCAGGTTTAGAAGTTAGGAGAAAAGTAATTTCTGGGAATCCATTTTGCTCTAAATATGCAGCAGCAGTTGGGGCCAAGTAAAGAAGAAATAGCACAAAATAGTCACATATTAATGTGAAAAATAAGGAAGATTTGGCTTATACCACTTTAAATGTCCTGAACGTACCACAAGATTCTATACTGTAGGACTTTATCACATGAGGAAGGTAAAGTGGCATTTGGCAATGGTTCCTATCACAGGGTACTATATGCATCTGACTGCTGGTCTGCCTCCTTCCCTCAATTAACGGATAGCTGCCAATTCCATCCTGTTCCCATCTCCTACCTTGTACAATGGGGCCATCCCACTTCTGTCCCAGTAGCAAAGTGATGTCAGGGGCAAAATTCTCCCCCTCCCCACTCCTCATCATCCCACCCCTCTTTAGTATTACCAAGCTGTTTACTATTTTAAAAAATAGCATAGAACATGAAAACATGAGTACTGGCTGTGCTGGAGAAATGCCTTATTCTCCACTTTGTTTCGTACCATTGCTATGCCACTCTGGAAGGCAGTACTGAATATTCTTCTCCCATCCCATCCCATGTATTCAGCTTTATACAAGAATATATTGTTCAGGTTAACCATGCAAAAATGAGGTTGGTAGCTGCAACTAACTTAATAATAAATAAACATTTGCTTTTCACATGATGAAGACATCAAAAATGTTGTGCATGGTCCATTTACCTTCCTGGGTCACTTCTCACAATGTGAAACCAGGACAGTGATGGGTGCATTACAATGATATCAGGTTGTTATCGATTAATGAGTACAAACAAAGCAATTTTGAATAGGTTTTTCTTTTCTAGATCCAAACCACAAAATTGTGCACCTGGATTGGCTGAGATAATGACCCCTTTGCTTTGTAATGGATCGATGTACACAAATGTTGTTTCATGCACATTATTAAGAATATTGTGTATAAAATTACTTTCACAATATTTGTATAAGGTATTTAGAATTCCGGGAGCCCCCAATGGTGCAACACGTTAAACCATTGAGCTGCAGAACTTGCAGACCGCAAGTTCGGCGGTTTCAATCCAGGGAGCAGGGTGAGTTCCGGCTGTTAGCCTCAACTTCTGCCAACCTAGCAGTTCAAAAATATGCAAATGTGAGTAGATCAATAGATACCACTCCAGCAGGAAAGTAATGGCGCTCCGTGCAGTCATGCTGGCCACATGACCTTGGAGGTGACTTCGACAATGCCAGCTCTTCGGCTTAGAAATGGAGATGAGCATCAATCCACAGAGCTGAACACAACTAGACTTAATTTCAAAGGGAAACCTTTACCTCTATCTTTTATTTAGAATTTCATGTTTAGATTTGGGTCTCATCTCCAAGATATCACATTATGTATGAGCAAGTATTTAAAAAATCCAAACATAGCTCACTTCTGGTCTCAAGCATTTCAGATAAAGAAAACTCAACTTGTAATTCTGTTTTATGATATATGTCTATGTTCATGAAATCTATCTGTCTATCTATTCTATCTATCTATCCATCTAGCACAGGCACGAATGTACAAATTGTTTGTCACTACAGTATAATTTTGACCACTTGGCCTTTGGCAATTGTTATTCAGGCTCCTAAATTGCATATGAGTATTTTCAAAAGACCTCTCCTCTGCTTTCCTGCCATCTATGAAGCACCAGGAGCCCCTAGTGCTGCAGTGGGTTAAACCTTTGTGCCGGCAGAACTGAAGACCAACAGGCTCCCTGTCAGCTCCAGCTCTCCATGCAAGGACTTGAGAAGAGCCTCCCACAAAAATGGTAAAACATCAAAACATATGGGTGTCCCCTGGGCAACATCCTTGCAGACAGCCAATTCTCTCACACCAGAAGTGACTTGCAGTTGCTCAAGTCACTCCTGACATGAAAAAAACCTATAAAGCTTTACATCTCTAAATATCAGGAGTCCTGCCTGTTAAGAAATTCTCCCCAAAAAAGCATAGCATTCAAAAATACAAACAGGATACCTAAATGAGCAGTGTTGTGGCTGTAAAAATATTCTTGAGCTTATGAGGCAAGGATGCTAACTAATTGCAGAGTTGAAGAGTGCAGACTTGAGCAGTGTGAGGCTGACTTCCATCACTGCCAAACCAACAATTCCTGTTTTCTACATCATCCAGACACTGACCTTCTCAAACAAGGATAGCATTCATGCATTTGTCACTTCTTATCATCAATAATGCTATTTGGTTTTTTAATATATTTTTTATTTTACATGGAGTTCTCAATCCTATGCCTCAGATTCTCTCTCTTACATATTCAGATTAAAGTAATGTAATATTCAAGGAAGAATGTAACTTACTGAGACAATGTGCTTGTCTCATTTACCCACTTCCATGTTTCACCTCCATGATAACGTAAGCCAATCCAGAATTCTCGTTGGACATTCATTTTATAATTCAGAAAGTCCTATTGAAAAATGGGAAGAAAGTGGGGAGAGAGAGATATAAAACAAGAACTATTTGTAACATTATGTAGAATAATTTGATAGTGGTGTCTTGCACAGCATGCCTTCTCCTGGAAACAGGATATAGAAACATCAAGGAGAGGTTTAGCCTAACCTTTTTTCTCATGCATTAGTTCACTAGACAGAAGGATTGCTCTGGTGCACATACCTTCTACAAAGCGGTGATCAGAAATAATATTGATAACTGGCAGTTATTTTTCTACCTCGTTCTTCTTCATATGGAACACAGTATCCTAGCCTTGCCAAAAATCTTGGGAATCAGATCTTTAAAAAGCATATCCAAAGGAAAATCAATCCAAAAGAGATTATGCATTTGGAGTGCATTTTATAATTTAGAAAAATGAAAATCAGATATGTTTCTCCCTTACCTTCTGCTCAGTGATCCAAAATGCCACCTTATAGGTGCAGGTGTTAAACACCACATACAGCCTGAAGTATGACATATCACAGTGCCCTTCCAACCTCCTACTTAGCAATATGTAGAAACCAAGCAGCAGGATTATTCTGCTCATTGTGCATAATACCATATTTCACCACATAATAGTCGCACCTTTCCCCTTTCAAAATTGGGGGTGATGCAATTATTATGCAGTAAATTATGGGGCCTCCTTCTCTCTCCAACTGCACATGCCGATGGCAGAGAGCTATGGGGTCACCTTTGACTGCTGGCAGCTGAGGGAAGCTTGATATGTCTCCCCAGTAAGCATGCAAGCGGGTGTGCCTTCACCTGCCCACACCAGCCAGGGAGAGCTAGGAAACTGATCAGTTGGCAGCAGATGTGGGAAGCCAAGAGAAGCCTCCCAGCTCTCCCTAGCAGGTGCGGGTGAGTGATGGCTCAATCAGATGGCGGCAGCTGAAGTAAGCGTCCCAGGCTTCACCTGCCCACAAATGAGTGGGTGCAACTATTATGTGGGGAATATAAAAATCTCAAACCAAGACCTCAAGAAGGTGGTACAACTATTATGTGATTAAATACTGTAATTTGGTCTAGGCTCTATATCTGTGAAGAGGCCTTAGGGAGAAATTGCCATCAATAGGACAGTAGCAGCTTCTTCTTCTTCTTTTTTTGCAGAAAAATAAGTATACCATACTGATTTTAGATTAAAATCATTATTATGGAAAATGGAAAAGAAGACGAGATCTTATTTAGTTTTGTACAATCAGTGTTAGGAGAGTCGGAAGGCAATGTATATTTTAATTCTATGTTTTTCTTTTCATTTTTTGGTTATTGTACCTTTATTATGTGAAAAATAAATTAATGAAAGATAGCCACAGGGGCAGTGGTTAATGAGACCCAGCCCTTGTCTTGACAGTTATACTCCCCCTCCTTCCCTGGGAGAACAAAAACTTCACAAACACACACAGCAAACACAGGCTGTAAGAAGATGGAAAACGGAGTTGGATAGCAAAATCTTTTTCCAAGCAAGCAATTGGCAAATGAGCATAACATTTCATATGCTCTTCAGCCATCATGTGGAAAGCTACAAATTTAGTAAGCTGTCTTCATCCTAGAATAAAAAGAAATGTAAGCCCTGACATGCATGGTTAAGCTAGACTTTCCCCTGTTCTACTCATGATGATCTCTGCAATCTGGGTTTTGTTGCTGTTGGGAATCTGTGTCTTCAGTCTGGGTTTTTTTTTTCATCCAGCGTTTGGCCATACTTCCCAAGGTTAGGGACACTGCTGTCAACCCTTACATCAGTCCCAACAAGTTCCCTTATGCCTTATGGCTCTGGTTTTGTTGTTTGTTTGTTTGTTTGCTTTAATAAGCTCTCACCTTTAAAAGGTGAGAGCTTTCTCACACAGAGGTTTCCTGATGGGATCGGTGTTGTCGCTTGTGTCCCTTTCCAAGTCCTGTGTGATGTTACCCCAAAGCTTACATGTTAATACTTTGTGACATGAAATTTAGTGCACAATGCTGCAGACACCATTAGAGTGCCAAATTCAAGCTTATTCTCCAAAATATACAAAATGACACATCTTCAAAGATTTTGGGATCCAATTATAATAAAGCTTTTATGGAAAGATAGCTTGACATCTACTCAGATGTCTCACTCACTCTCGGGTTTGTCTGCAAGAACAGCAGACACAGATATCCTTCTGTGCCCCATTTTCAGCATTGCAATTTCTTATACAAGTCAGAACACCAGAGACTCACCTGTTCCTGTTTATCCCCAATTATTATCAGATCTCCTCCTCGGTTTTGGCAAACACTTCTGCCATCGTCCCATTTCTTTGCTTCTTTGAAGATGAGATAACAACTCTTTCCGACATCCTTCCACTCAGATGGACATTTGGGAGAGCCTACAATGAATTGAGCCTTGAAAAAAGACAGGACAGGGAAAGTGCATCCTAAATGTCCCAGCACATTTTCTCCTGGCATTAGATACCACCACTGATGAATATTCAGCTGATGACTCTTTGGTCTTATCTATTGCATTATGCAGTGCTTTCATACAAGAGCTTTCCCTTTTCTACCAAGCACTTCATAGTCATCCAAAGTCATTTGTATAATTCAGGTCCATTTCAGAGCAAATTCAAACCATGGTTTTGGGATGTGCTAAAAGTCTGCAATGCCTGACTCTTTTCTGGAAGTCCAGAAAATGGACAACTATGTTGAAAGAAAGGAGGACATTTACACATTTATATTCAGCTAATTCTCACACAATTCAGCACACAGAGTGGTGGTGGGAGGAATATCCTATGGGGTTACAAGCATTGCTGCCTCCTTCATGAAAAAAGGAGCATGAGAAGCAACTGGGCAAACAGAAAACCAACTAAGTAGTCAGTTACCTCTCTGCCTATCCTCAAGTAGTCTTTGCCCTCCCATCTTTCTTTGTACAAGATTTAAAAGATGGGAAAAATACCCATGTCATTTTCTCTCATTTTCTGTGGCTGCTTCTATACAGGCAGATTGAAAGGCATTTGAAGTAATTGTGTATACAAAATGTGCATTCCCAATGTGCACTGCAACACGCACTAAGCCAGAAATAGAGTATTAAAAAAAAAACACTGCAAATTCTGGAACAAGCCACAAAATCCATTGAAGCCAATTGATGTATCTCCCACGCAGGGCTCAAATCCGAGATTTAAAAATGTGGAGCTCCATTAGAATAGGGCCAGCGCTGACACATTTTACAAACCCAAAAATATAGCTGACTGGAAGGTAGAAGAAACCATTTAGTTCCCATGGGAACACCCACTTTCTATCATTTTGTCTCCCCTATGCTTTGGTATAGTGCTGATCCCCAATGATCATGGCAATGCACATTAATGTATTCTGGTGAACTAGGTAAAAAAAAAACATTCCTGGCTTAGAATCAGTCCACAATAATTGAATATTTGTGGATACCATCTCAGGTTCTTGGGGCGAATGTGCAGGTGCTCTGCAGTGAAACTGGTTCCTATTAATTCACTTCCTAACTCAGTTTAAGTTCATTCACAGCCATGTCATCGGATGCAATTGATACCATTTTATCATCTGATTTCTTCACAATTTGCCAATTTTACTTTGTTATAGAACCTCATTGCTAAATTAATATAAATTCAGCATCCCTTATGCACAATAACAAAATCCCAAATCCCATGAAATCTAAAATGGTTTACATGGGTAAACCATTTTAGAAGCCTTTATTTTCTAATGGTTCAATGTACACAAACTGTCTCATGAACAAAGTTATTTAAACTATTGGATGAAATCAGTATCATACTATGTGTATAAAGCGTGTATGAAACATCAATGAATTTCATGTCTAGACTTGGATTCTAACTCCAAGATCCCTCATTATGTAAATATATGTAAATACAGGTATTTCAATATTCAGAAACATCCAAAACACTTCTGGTCCCAAGCATTTCGCATGAGGGATACTCCACCTCCATCAGTTGTGGATGCGAGTGAGGGAACGGAGGAGAGGAGATGGGGAACAGACTGAGTTCATTCTTTTAAGTGCACAGAAATAGTGTCCAGGGAAGGTTTGAGCTTGGGAACTGGACTTACACTGCAAGCTTGCCATCCAAAGGGCTGCTATCACCAATATCAGGGAGCAAAACAGAACCACACAGAAGATGATGAAGTGTCCCTTGCCAAAGGGTTTTCCCTCCATTTCATCCAGGAATAAAATTGGTGCTGTGAATAAGAATAATTTTGGAAATCACAGGAAGATCTAAAATTTTACACCACAAATTTACAGAGAATTCTAGAAGGCTAATAAATTATACATTATCTGTGTGAGCAAGAGAGGAAACTCTTGGTTGGGGCAGTAGAGTTCTAGTCACCCATATACATGTTGCAGGTTAAGAACAAATGGGGGATAAATAATAGCCACCAGAGTTCCACCAACCAACTGAAGTAATCATCATCTTTGTAGCAATCCAGCTGGACTTTTAAAAAATATATACTACCTTCAGTATGTCAGATGTTATCTTTCCCATGTTCCTATATGGATAAAAAAGACATATCTGTGTAATACAGAATCTGACATCCTGAGGTATGTACATCCTTAGGGGAAAACATGCCACTCTTATAGTTATAGGGGAAATCTCATGTAAACAACAAACATATTTTGCTGTTGCCTATTGCTAAGCAGAACTTCTAGGAATCCAGGCTGACGTTTCCAGAGTGTACTGCTCATTGTTTTGTTGTTGGCCATCTTTAAATGCTACCGCAACTTACCATCTCTTCACACTGCGCATTTTTGCTTTGTTGCATGGTAAGGATGGGGCCTGCCATGCGCCATCACACGATGCATGGCAGACCCTGCCCATGTTCCTCCCAAAGTGCAGTGGAAGCACTGAAAGCCACTTCCTCCACCACTACAGGGAGGAAAGTGTAGTTTGGGTATTTCCGACAAAGCTACCCAGCCTTCCCCCCCCCTTTCCTAGTATAATGGGGGAAAGGGGGGGGAGGGGCAACCCTGTCATGTTCCCACCATGTGATAGGGGAAGGAGGGAGGGTGTGCTGAGTGCCACAAGCCATCCCATGTGCCTTCCCTTTTGCCAGCAATTGCCAGCGCAATGGCATGGGCCAGAGGGGCCATGTTAAGAGGTCATCATGTTTTGCGGAAAGCACATAGGGATGTTAGACAAACCACCATAATTCTCAGATTCTTTTGAATTGTATGATTTTTGATTTAGACTTGAGCTATCAATATCAGAAAGTCCTAAAGTACAGAGAGAAACTAATTCCAGAGCATACCCAGAAGACAAAACCAGAAAAAAACATCCTTACTAATATTTCTCCTTCCAAGGGTGATTGGTTCTCAAAGCTGTAATACATCTTTTTTTTTTCTTCAGTGCAAAACATAATAACAACTGTTGCAAATTCCTCTGCCCAGTTTTCTTACTCTCTAGGAAGTAAACTCCCCTTTAGCTAAATGAGGTGGGTTCTAAATTTGTTTTGTGCTTTGCTATTGACAGAAATACACACTGTCAATAAAACAGAGCAGGGGCATAAAATGTATAACTGTCACAGAATTGCCCTTCCTGTTATTATGCTATGTGACCCAAAGCACAAATATTCTGACCTCTGCACTTCATTGTGCACATCCTCCCCCCTCAAAAAAAACAAAAAAAACAAAGCAAAACTTTGTACAACAATCAGTTCTCCTCCCACCTGCCAAGTCAAAGGGTAGACTGTGTGTGATCTTGTGAAACTATCCCACAACATCTGAGAAAATACCACTGCCTCCACAACTATTTTAAAAGTAGTATGGTGCCCTAATATGATTCTGGACTTGATATTTTCATTTGTTTCCTTGTTTGTTTGAACTTTCCTAGCGTTTATATGAAATCTTGAAATTTATAAATAATAGTTTATTTTAAACAATGTAGATTATGTCACCACACTGTACTACAAGAACCTCTTTACCTGTCAAATGCTGTGCAGCTTTGCCCATATTCTATTTAGGTTATAAAGTGGTGATGACAGACAGATGACATACACTAAAGATTATCACTGTCTGCACGAAACCAAAACATATAGCTATCAAATAAATCCACAATTCCCTGAACAATTTTAATGTTGCACTAGCCCACAATGTCCGTTTCTTATACGATATACTATTTTAGTTACATTCACTTGCTTTCCAAAGTATTTTAGACAAAACAAATATCATTTCCAGAGGTGTAGTAATTTTTTCACCTGACTCAGAATTCACTCCATCTTCCATCAGCTTCCTCATCCGCAGGCCTGAAAATGTGAAGGACTCATAGTCCAGTTCAGAAGCATTCTCATAACCTTGGCTTGAAATCACTGAATCTAGGAACAGAAATGTTATTCCTAAGGGATTGTGAGTTCACTGGAGATGCCAGGCAGTGACCCTCCAGCTGGAGAGCCTTGATCCAGAGAAAGGTTAATATAGTCCTCATTGTGTCAGAACTGGATTCTCCCACCACAGTTCACATCACTTCACATATTGTGCTGTTTCTACACAAAAAAGCATTTTTACATAAGAAAACTATTAAATCTGCATATCGAGTATGTGTGACACACACAAGCACAGGAAGATTTTCTCATAATAATCTACCATCGGCCCTCCATATTCACAGATTTTGCATTCACAGATTCAGTCATCCATAGCTTGGAATTTTAAAAAAAGCAAACTTTAATTTGGCCACTGTATATAAAGAATACTATTTTACTCAGACACTTAAACATCCATGGATTTTTGTATCCATGCAGGGTCCTAGAACCAAACCCCAGGAGATACCAAGAGCTCATTGTACTTATAAGCTGTCAAATTGTTGCCTATTTATGAGCTTTCCATTAATGAAACAACACAGCATGTGAAAAAGTAGCTAGGAAGCAGTTTTGATTCTGCTGTGTTTCTTTTCGAGAAGGTGTAAAGCTACTGACACAATACTGGGTGATTATTGGTTTGCTACTCCTGGGATGCATCCACTTGTCTGCCGATAATTAGTTGGCTATCTATATGCTTTGTAGATATATCAATTTTATTTTTATTGTGTAACAACCTGGAAGGAAAATTGAGTTAATTAGCATTGTTACCACTTGATATGCAACACTGAAGTTGCAAATGTTGCATAAACAGAAATGAACTGGTACTTTTTGTTTGCATAGGTTTTCACCCTCTTTGCTGTAATGTACTCCAAATAAGACAGAGGTCCCCATATCCTATCTGGGAGACCATTAGAGTAAATATCCAATAAAATGAACTGAAAATTAATAAAAAGCAACTAAAATATGAATTATTTTGAATAATCTCTATTAAGGTATTTTAAGTTGTGCATAGGTTTCCAGTTATCACTCCTCCAACCTGAACTCTGAAAGTACATACACTTTAAAGACAAACCTAATGTCTGTAGGTATGCATTTGGGGAGAATATAATTTAAAAAAAATATGAAGCCTACATTAATCTTGGATTTAAATATATGGGGGATCGAGTTAAGCATAATACTTCTAATCTGGCCTGAACACTTACCTAAGTACGTCCTTTTTCTGCCTGTGGCATCAACATGCCTAGAACTAGAACGGTCCTTTGAGAATGTCTCATCATCCTCCGCATCAACTGTTCTTGCATGTTCAGGCCCAGACTGCACTTCTGGGATCTGAGACAATTTTGCAAAAATGCTGTTATTATGGTATTCCTCATTCTGGTAGGCATCATCCATGGCGGTATGAGGCTGCATCAGTAGTAGCTGTTCTTGGGAAGGATGGGGCCCGATGCCTGGGTTTCCTATCATAATCAGTTTCCTTTCTATCTGATAAGGCACAGAAGTTAGTTTCGTTTAGTATGTAAAAGACATTTGGCTCCTTCAATTTGTTCTCAAATAATACGGAGCCAGTATTGGTTTGAGCAGTGGCAACACAGTCACCACAGGTTGGAAACTCATAAACGAATTTTACTGGTAACTATTTAACTTGAATGCCAGACACACATATCAAGGTATAAACATTTTGGATTCTTCAACCTCAACTTTATTTTCCGTTGGATATTTCTCACATGCAATTTGACCTTAGGGTTCAATGGAGCTTGCTGTGAAGATGTCCAGTTGCACTAAAAGGAAGCCCAGTCTGTGCCATCCTAAATTCAGAGAAAGCCATCATCTTGCAATTGAATTATTGTTCTGATGAACCTGCAAACATTGTGAGTTGGTTTCAACCTAATAGGAGGCAACTAGGAGCTAGGTCCTTTGCCCAGTCACCTCTGAGTAAGGTTAACTTGTTTTATCTTTACCTGTCCTATCAAAATGTCATTGAGCAGGAGGAGGAATTATGTGGAGTACATGCAAGTTTCTATCAATCTATCTCTTCGAAACTATATGACTGGCAAAGAACTCTGAAGCAACCTACCGCCAAACCAAAAAACTGGTTCGACAAAGAGTGCATAATGATAAATAAACAGATTCGCTCACTTTACAATGGCTATCGCACCACTTCAAACACCCTCCTTCTTATAACAATTAGAGAGTCTAAGCAACAGCTCCAGCTCCTTATGGGCCAAAAACATAAGGCACGCATCATAGCTGACTGGAAGCAGCTGCTGGAGGCATCACAATCAAACGACACCAAGAAATTCTGGTCAATAGTAAACAAAACAAACTACCCCCACGAACCATCAAGAGCAGATATCTCCCTAGAGAGATGGGCCGAGCACTTCTCGAAAGTGTTCGCTGGAATAAACCCTCCCCAAGAAAACGAGGACAGTGGAGAGCTAGCGGGTCCAAGCTGGGAGCCGGTTACATCTCAGGAAATCATTGTCTTGATACACAACCTAAAGACAAACAAGGCCCCAGGTAGCGATGCCATTATCCCTGAAATACTGAAGGCAAACCCACTGTGGTGGGCAAATCTACTAGCAAACCTCTTCACAAGGATCAACGAAACGGGGTACATGCCAAAGGCATGGACCTCCTCCATAATGGTCCCAATATTCAAAAAAGGAGACCAAAACGATCCAACGAACTATCGGCCCATTAGCCTGCTCTCCATAATAGGGAAGATGTATGCCAAGCTCCTGAAAACTAAGCTAGAATCATGGGTCAACCAAAACAACATAATTGGCCCAGAACAAGCAGGATTCTCTAAGGGGAAATCAACATTAGACCAGACTCACATCTTGGCCCACCTAGCCAACAAATACTCAAAAAATTGCCCTAATAAGCTAAACGTGGCCTTTTTGGACCTGAAGGGGGCATTTGACTCTGTGAATAGAGAAAAGTTGTGGGAAAAACTAGCAGCCCTCAACATAGACCCAAGACTCCTCTTCTTGATTAAGAAATTGCACAACCAAAACCTCTGCCAGGTGAAAGACCACAAGGGATGCCTGTCAAACCCGATCCTGGTTCAAAAGGGAGTCAAACAAGGGTGCGTACTAGCCCCACTCCTCTTCAACATCTTTTTGCACGATCTCCCTACAGCCCTGGCTCAAGTTGACGGGCATAGCCCCAAGATTGGCCCAAAGCATGTTCCCCTTTTGCTATTTGCGGACGACGCAGCCCTATTATCCCTCTCTCATGTGGGCTTAAAAAGACTCCTGCATAAATTTGTTGATTTTTGCGAGGCGAACGAACTGCAGGTGAACTACGACAAAACCAAAATCTTGGCGTTTGGGAAAAGCATCAAAAGACAAGTCTGGAAGATAAAGGGCCACTATATTGAGCAAGTAAAACATTTCAAATACCTAGGTCTCTGGTTTAGCAACAACTTGTCATGGTCCACCCACCTAAAATATACACTGGCCCGGGCCAAATCGAGTAGCAGTGCGACCAGGAGGTTCTTCCACTCCAGGGGTAATCAATATATCCCCCTAGCTCTGCAAGTTTTTCAAGCAAAGGCAATGTCACAACTACTCTATGGAGCGCCCATTTGGTTAACCCCCAATAACAGTGCCATCAGATCTTTTCACTCGAAATTCCTCCACAAACTATATGGTGCCCCCAACTGTGTCCCGTATGCAGTTCTTTGTCTTGAATCTGGGCAATATTCTATTGAGGCTACTATCTGGCTAATCGTCATTAAATTTTGGCTATCTATACACTATCAAAGTCCCAGCGACTCTCTGACTCAACTCACCTTGAGCGAACTCCACCACTCCAAATGGTGCTCAACTGTCCTAGCAAAGATCGGGGAATTGGGCTACGACAGCGATTTCCTGACTCTACTATCTTTTTCCGAGATTTTTACCCTCATCAAAAGGAGGCTGCTAGAAAGGGACCACAACCAATTGTTGAGCTTGGCAAACAAATCCTGCTCTCCTATTAACTTGGCAATTCCATACACACAGGGAAATCCAGCCTTTTACATCTCAGAGCTCACCAACCCCTCTTACAGAAGAGCCTACATGCTGGCTAGATTTAACATCATGCCATCGCCGCTCCATAGAGGAAGACTCAATGGCCTCCCGAGCGACAAGAGGGTCTGCCTCTGCAGCACAGGACAGCTAGACTCCATACCGCATATTCTCCTGCACTGTCCACTCTACCAGGAGCTAAGATCCAGCCTGCTAACACAAGCTATAGATTCACTGAAGAACCGCAGCGATTCTGACAAAGTGATTTTGCTTTTAAATTGCCAGGACTTTAGCTGCTGCCTTTCAGTGGCAAGATTCCTGAATGAAGTCTGCAAACTGAATGTGTAGCAAACGAGAAGCCCTTTTTTATTACGTGTACTATGTTTTATACTCTCTGCCATGTTATGCCAATAAAGGCTTATTGTATTGTATTGTAACACGCAAGTTTCAGATTCCAAAGAAGTTTAGAAATAGAAGCAGGTTAGAAAGTTTAGATGAAGAAAGGACACATGAGGTGTTGGGAGTGTAAACATTCAGCAAGGCAGTAGAGAGAATGATGTATTTAATGAATCTACTAGTCCAGGGGTCCTCAAACCTTTTAAACAGAGGGCCGAGTCAAAGTCCCTCAAACTGTTAGAGGGCCGGATTATAATTTGAAAAAACCAAACAAAACCAAGAATGAATTCCTATGCACACTGCACATATCTTATTTGTAGTGCAAAAAAAAAAAAAAACAACACTTTAAAACAATACAATAATTAAAATGAAGAACAATTTAAATAAATATAAACTTTTTAGTATTTCAATGGGAAGTGTGCACCTGCTTTTGACTGATGAGATAGGATTGTTCTTATTGTTGTGTGCTTTCAAGTCACTTCAGACTTAGGTTGACCCTGAGTGAGGGCCGGTTAGATGACCTTGGAGGGCCGTATCCGGCCCTCAGGCCACAGTTTGAAGACCTCTGTACTAGACCATCCCAAATAAGAATCTCAGTGTGAAGAACAATTCTGAAAACAATGAATGTACAAGCAGATAGATCACTTGTCCATATAGCCTTCCTGTCTCCTTCCCTGCCTCAACTTGCCCTTTTTCTTTTGTCTGGGAACACTCCATAACTAAGCACTTGTCTTCAGCCCGCCATTACTTCTTTTGGGGAATATGCATTTACACTGCGGAATTAATGCAGTTTGACATCACTTTAGCCTCAATACTATGGAACCATAGGACTTGTAGTTTTACAAGGTATCCAGCCTCTTCTGCCAAAGTATGTTCGTGCCTTACGAAGCTATAAATCTCAGGATTCCTTAGCACTGAGACGTAACAATTAAGGTCCCTTCTACACTGATCCCAGATTATCTGCTTTAAACTGCATTATAGGTACCTCCACTGCCAGATAATCTGGGCTAATCTGGGATCAGATCCTGGGATACAGGACCGTGTGGAAGGGGCCTAAGTGTGATAAACTGCATTAATTCTACAATGTAGATGTACCGTGATGAATGGCCTACCTGTAGGCCAAGAAAAGCGCAGGAATTAGACCCGGTTTTTTTTTTTTGCAGCCATTTTGTGTGAATGGCGTCTGGAGGCAGCCATCTTAGGTTAGTCATTTCCTAGTGGAGGCGGAGCTTAGAAGCAGCCTGGGGGGAAATGTGGAGAACCCTTGTGATTGGCTGGGAGAAAGTGGGCGGAGCTTAGTTGAAGTGCAGAAAAAAATTGCCTTGATCGTTTTAAAATCAGACAGTTTAGTCGGGGTCTGAGTGTTGAAGAAGAAAGTTAGGTTTTGGGAGAGTTAGGAGAAGAGAAGTTAGAGAAGCCAAAGTGGTTAGTTAGAGAATATAGATAGCTATTAGGAGGAATAGCTGGTATAGAGATTATTATTATTATTATTATTATTATTATTAACTTTATTTGTACCCCGCTAGCATCTCCCGAAGGACTCGATGCGGCTTACACAGGCCGAAGCCTCAGAAACACAGTACAGCAAACATAACTCAACAGCAAACAAAAGCAAATCAAAATAGTTAAGCAAAATAACAACAGTAGTAACAATACATCAGGACACTTTAAAACTGGGCCGGCCAGAGCAGTGGGTACAGTTAAAAGTGCTGAGATGGCAGGAGGAACGTAGGATTAAAATAAGTGCAGTGTGCAGCGATCTTAATTATACTAAAGTGCTTCTAGGACTTGGGGATGGGGAGTTCCTAATCTGAGAAGGCACATCGGAACAGCCAAGTTTTTAGATTCTTTCTGAAAACTGCCAAAGTAGGGGCCTGTCGAAGATCTTTTGGGAGGGCGTTCCAAAGCTGGGGGGCCGCCACAGAAAAGGTCCTGTCCCGTGTCCCCACCAAGCGCGCTTGCGACGTGGGTGGGATCACGAGCAGGGCCTCCCCAGATGACCGGAGTGAGCGTGTAGGTTCGTAGAAGGAGATGCGGTCATGCAGGTAGGGTGGTCCCAAACCGTTCAGGGCTTTGTAGGTGAGATATAAACAGATCCAAAGGGAAAGGACTGTTTGAAGTATTAGGAAGTAGGAAGTAGGAACTCTAGTCAGAGGGAAGTTTCCTGAGGGAGTGAAGAGTTGTTTTTGGAACCAAATATTGAACTGTTAATTCAGCACATTCCAGCTTACTTAAAAGCTCTAGTCAAACAAGAACTGAAAATCCCTTATTAAACTTGGTGGTAGCCTGTTTCCACATTAAAGATACCTCAGAATATTGTGTATTGCGGGCAAGGTCTCTGCAGCCTCCAAAGATTTAAGTCATTTTAAATAGTAATCTATTACAATTGGTGACACAGCGGTGGGATCCCCAAACTAATGGGGATCCCCTCTACGTAATAGATCTTCCCCTCTCTTCTATAATCTTTTACACACCCCAAGTCTTATACCAGTTCTTGCATGGCAACTGTGAAAAACTTGTGTTAGCAATTTCCAGGAAGTCTTAGTCTTCTCAGAAGCAGTAGGTGAACATGGATATTACCGGCATGAAACATTGGAATTATGAAAATACAACCCATATATTGCACAATGGCAATATGTAAGGTTGTGAAGCCAGATCTCTGCTAATCTGAAGTTTGTTTTTAAAGAAATACATTTTTATAAACGGAAAAGCATTTCTTTTTCCAGCAATTATAAATATTCAAAAACTTGATATATTTTAAAGGAGAAAACTGCAAATTATGCACTCCTGCATTCATTGCAAAAGTGGCATGAATACATTCTACTCTGGTACCCATTTTCAAGTATGAAACCTTTTCTCTGAAGCACAATGAATATTTAATCAAAGCATGCCTAATGGAATATTTTCTAAAGAATCAAAGAATCTTACACATTATTTATTGGGCTCTACCTCCCAATCCTTTAGTGTTGAGGAAATGTATTTCAACAGTTCTATTATCACACCTACCTGGCATTTGCAGGAAACGAACATGAACAAAATCCTGTAATTCAGCTCAACTCCAAAATACCTATGCACAGAAAAACCTATACTGTTACCTATAATGAAATATGCATTTTTCTGTGCATAAGCATTTTGATAACAACTATACAAAGTTATTTTCTGTGCAGTTATTTTGCTCAGATAAGAGTCTGCGCTTATCCCCTCCTTCCTCTCACAGATGACAGGAAGGAGATTATCACTCCACCACAAGATAGGCTGATTTCCATGCATGTTCAGAAGTCTGATATTTACTGAACAAAACGGGGGGGGGGGGGGGGATTTTTTCTGTAGAATTTGGAAGAGAGTCAATGTTTTTTTTTCCAGTAAGATTTATGATGTTACACAATGTTAACCAAGCTACGACAAAAGTTTTGTTGCATCCTCCAAACATTTGTCCAATGCTATTTACAGAATTATTTATAAAGTGAACCACATTTGTCACTATTTCACTTGAATTCATTTTTAAAACATTAATAGGACAGAGTTTGCATGCTTCCATGTGGTATGGTTAGAAGGAGAGGAGAGGGATGGCATAAAATACGATTAATATCTCAAATCAGCTTTATTCCTTTCCAACAAGAGTGAAAGTCTATGGGAAGAAATGAAAACATTTCCCTGGATTTGGAGTAGAGCTAGAAAACCATTCCCTCCTGATGTTTTCGGAATTAACTTTTCCTGACTTCTAGTACCTCATTTGGAAAATCTGATTTGCTGAGATCTAATTACTACCCCTTTAGACAGAAGGACCATGACAGAACTTACTATAAGAACAGAAATTGCAAAACCTCAATTAGATACAGAGCCATCAAGTCATACAGAACCTAACAAAGAACTTAATTTAATGATTTTTGAAATGAACTCTTTTGCATTAACTGAATGAATGCTAAACCTCTCAATTAATGATCTGTACTTTGAGAACAGGAAAGGTTCATTTTCAAAGAATGCATATACATTACTAAACACAAGTTCATTTTCATCCAGACAGTAAACTCTCTCATATATGATTCAGTACAATTTTGTGAAAAATAGTGCCCTTCAGAACCACAAGTAATCTATTGTGTCTAGTACAAGAATGACATTAGTTCATTTCACTAACTAATGAAGTCAAGTTCAAAAAGAAAGACATTTGAAAGATCAGTAAAGACACATTTTACAGCACTTTTACTTGGTAAGTCAGTTCTTCAAGACATGTAGAACCTTTAATTAGTAGGACAATTTTGAACTAGTTTTAAAAGTGCTGTAGAATACCTTACAACAAATTAGGAAGGTTTTTTATAATTATTATACCAAACCATGGATGAAATCAGTTCTCCCAATGTAGATATATCCTTTGGGATACTTTATTCTGAAATTCTTTACTTCCCTTGAAATGTGTGCCAGTTATCTGGAATAACCCAGATTAGGGAAGGCCAATTTACTATAATTTGTATGAGCAGATTAGAGCCTAAGCAAAACACCAGGACCTATACCTTTCTCCCTTGCCACTTCGAGAAGAAATTCAGCAAGTTAATTCATGCTGAGTATACATACCAGATTTCCTTTTCGGATTTCTGCGCTGTCAAAAGTGCAAAGTGAGCACTACAATTTTAACAATTCCTCAACTGCTAAACAAACCAATTAAAAATCTAGATCGTTTAGCTGGCCAGAAAATGGGCACGTACAGCTTAGATCAGCCCTATAGAACTTACTTTGCCATACTACCTTCAGCTAATTCCTACAGCCAAAGGAGCAAGTAAGCAGCAAGGAAGAGTAATAACTGACAGGGACTAGCTAAGAAGCAACAGAATGGAGAAAGGTTTCACAGTTCATTTCAGCAGCATATACCTTGGTTAATATTTTCTAATAGCAAGTTCAGTGGGGTAACAATAATAATGTGCAAGGAAGCAGCACCAATGGAAGCCTGACATCCAATTGAACATAGCTTAGCCCTTCTTAACAGATGATATAACTCTTGGCAAAAGAAGCAATTCCATTTGCTATTAAATCCTAAATTTCTAACAAGAAAAAAGAATAGATTTCTGGAAACAGAAGTGGTCCTAGATAAACACAGTATAAACATTCACTGTCAGCATTACTCTGGACCTTGTTGCTTTGACTGTATAGTGTCCGAACATAGCTAGGGAAATTATTTTTGAATACTAAGTACATATGTACAACAACTCAGATTGCTTCACACTGGATGGAGTCAGCGGCCATCCAAAGCTTTGTCTCGGGCAATAACTGACTCGTCAAATTTGATCATGAGAGTGGTGCCCTTGTGCCAATGGGCTGTGACTTTGGCAGGGAAGCCACTGCAAGTCAGCATGGCCTCCACAATGCCAGCTGTGAAGGAGGCACAGTTCAGAGTGCTATTCTCCTTGGGAACTGAGATGTAAGTGTTGATGAGAGGCTCCTTCTCGATGATGTAGTAGGTCTTATCGTCGTCATTGGCTTGTTCCAGCTTGTCAGCCTCCTTCCCAAAGAGAGCCTTCCACACAGTCACCTTGATGAAGAGCAGTATGTTAATGACTTTGGTCTCCCGCTTGCCGTTCTTCTCCCGCATCACAAGCACATCCAAGATACGGGCTCCCACCTGCTGACCCAGTTCAGAAAGTTTGTTCTGCAGCTCTGAAACTGAGTACACCCTGTTCTGGCAGTACTGCACAATCTCAGAAAACAGCAGTGAAAAGGCACTGAGGCTGATGTCTGTCTTGGGCCGAGTTAGTGACCGCTCGAGGATAGCAGACTTCCCACGGGTAAAGCGTGCATCCATGGTGCTAATGAGAATAAAAGAAGTTATTGGTATAGGAAACACCTCACTGAGCCAATGTAGTCCTTTTTCTTAAGGGTCATCCCATGCCAAGTGGTCTAAAATTTTAAAAAGTTCCCACCATCATGTTCTCCAATTTTGTCCAAATTTTAGCTCTAGCACCAGTCAGGAGTTAACTAAGTCTAACTGCTATAGTTGCTGATCTAGACCTCTTTATCTGAAGAGTAGTCAGTCAGTGTGTGTACAAAATTCAACATTTGGGGTCTAATGAAATTGAAACTCAATGTATAAGAATGGCTAGAAAATTGGAATCCTGTACAGTTTTTTCTGCTGATTCCGATGAAATTAATTTTAACATTATGGATGCAAAATACAGTCAAACAAGTTGACTCAAAGTGTGCATCAAAATGTGTTGCGACAAGTTTTGACCAATATTCAGACTGCAGCAATTTCCATACAAATGAAGATACCGACTTGAAATTTTGATCAAACATTATGTTTGTGCTGGACATAGTACTGCCAAATTTGCAACTACGCAGCATCTATAACTGCCCTACAGGATCTCTTCAAATTTGGCACTGCAGGATCTCTTCAAACTTTGGTAAAATCTACTAAAGTTTCAAGCTAATTATTAAAGAAGAGTCTATCTGTCTATGCTTGTGAACATTATCATATGAATGAGAAAAAATTGCTCTACAAGAATGATATGTTTTTGTTTTGCAATGCAACCATTAAGTATACTCAGGTCAAAATAGGTTACATATTACATTGAAACCAGCATCCCCATCACCATGGGGCCACGCCCGATAGCCATGCAGTGGATGCATAATGCATAAAATGCACAAAATATAACATGCTTTGATCTAATGTGTGGTAACGGGTGACTACTAAATCACGTAGGGCCAGCCTAGGTCCCAATGTCTGCCACAGAACTAGTGAGTCATCATCTCCCAGCCTACATTACCACATAGGTAAAGGTAAAGATTTCCCCTGACATTAAGCCTAGTCGTGTCCGACTCTTGGGGGTGGTTCTCATCTCCATTTCTGAGCCGAAGAGCCGGCGTTGTCCGTAGACACCTCCAAGGTCATGTGGAGGCATGGACCACTGTTACCACATGGCATGGACCACTGTTACCACATACATTTGACAAATTCTACCAATATATTTTCCTGGAGAAAGCATCAACTAAATGCAGAACAATTTTTTGCAGCATCACAAGACTAACAAAAACCATTTTGTACGCAACTTGTGCTTTCCCTAGGATTAACATAGCCCCGATCTACACTGCCATATAAAATCCAGATTAACTGCCTTGCACTGGATTATATGGCAGTGCTGAAGGGACCTTCGTTATCTCCTCAAGTTACTTGGGCCTAAAGCAGTGATTCTCAACCTGTGGGTCCCCAGATGTTTTGGCCTTCAACTCCCAGGAATTCTAACAGCTGGTAAACTGGCTGGGATTTCTGGGAGTTGTAGGCCAAAACACTTGGGGACCCACAGGTTGAGAATCACTGGCCTAAAGCTTGCTGCTAGTAACCTGATTGAAAGAAACCAGATGTGGTGGCATGGATCTGCAGAGATACCAAACTGCCGGTCCCTTTATTCCAGTGGTCCTCAACCTGGGGTCCCCAGCTGTTTTGGCCTACAACTCCCAGAAATCCCAGTTTACCATCTGCTAGGATTTCTGGGAGTTGTAGGCCAAAACATCTGGGGACCCGTAGGTTGAGAACCACGGCTTTACTCTGTCCTGGGCGCTATAGTTTGGTGCGGCACCAGCACTTTTTAGCAGAGAAGGGAAAGGCATTTTAAAACTTCATCTCCTATAACACCATGGCACTCAGGTAGGGCTGTTAAAGGGGTGTCCAACTATACTAACTCCACAGTGTGGATGCTCCCCTCCCTAAACAGGATAAAACTGCTGGTAGCGGAGGAGGAAAAGATATGCCCCGAGTCCCCCAGCAGCCTCCCCCGCCCACCATTCCTCTCTCTCACCCTCCGGCCGACGTGATGTTTGTGTCACCGCTACTTCCGCCTGCGACGCTCGCTTTACGGCTGCCGTAAAATGGGAGGAGTCCGGCGGAGGGGGCAGGGGCGTTGCTATGGGAGACGAGGCGGTTCCTTAGCTGAGTTAGGCCTTTGCAGCACGACGAAGGAGGGACAGTCGCCTTCCTTGGGAGCTTCCAGGCGAGCCAGAGGGACAACGCCAAGCGGAAGGCTCTGGCAAAGCGGTGGAAGAGAGAGGGGTCCGGCGACGCGAAAGAAATGTGGCTTGGGCGGAGAGTGGGAATGTCTCCATAGCAACCAACGTAGCCGCGCGCAGGTCCTTGAGCCGGTGACCAGCTAGAGTGGATTTCCGGCTTTGAGTCTGTCGATGTTGGAAACGCGCATGCGCACTGCGACTAGTGCTTCTCGCTGTTTTGGGAATAGTGACATCACTGCACGGTTTAGCCCCGCTTTAACTTCTCTGGCTCAGTGCTATGGACTCATGGGTGTTGTAGTTTTATTAAATCTTTAGCCTTCATCCTGCAGTGGATCTCAATCCTGGGTCCCCAGATGTTTTGGCCTTCAATTCCCATAAATCCTAACACCTGGTAAACTGGCTGGGATTTCTGGGAGTTGTAGGCCAAAACACCTGGGGACCCACAGGTTGAGAATCACTGTTAAAGGGTTCTGGTAACTCACCAAACTGCAAATCCTATGACTCCCTAGCATTGGGAGCAACGGCAGTGGAAATGGGGTCAAACTATTTCAATACACTAATAGACAGGGGGCAGTGGCAACAGTGATGCATTTCAGCCAAATACACACAGCCCCTGTTGGCCCTGCAGTAAAATGCAACAAAAAAAACCCTCAAATTATCTATCTATCTATCTATCTATCTATCTACCTACCTACCTTTATTGGAGTACCTAAAAGGTGCAAACACGTCATGCCAAGCTTTGCTTCATTATCAAGCAAAGATGTTGAAAATCATGCAGACAAAAAATGGCTGTGGTGGATATTTTCTGTTGGCAGTTCATATGGTCTCCAGGGATCCCAGTGCAGAGGGGGACTATTCTGCTTCTTGAATGGAGACCAGGGGGAAAGACCAAAGATGGCAGCTGATATACTGTAATTTCAGCAGTATTAAACTAACACTTCTTTATATTCAAGCAACAAAAGCTACTTCATTGATTAAAATGAGTTCATATGTTATTACCTTCTATTTCCCTTGCTTCCTAGTCCCCACTCTGTGTCCATTGCTATATAATGCAGTTTGAAACAGCCTTACAGAATCAGTTCAGACTCAAAATGCAGTTAAAACTGTATTATATGAGTCTACACTGGTCATATAATGCAGTTTAATTCTGCATTATATCTCAGTGAAGATGGAGCCTAAGAAGAGAAGTGTCCTATGGCTACATTGCGATCCCTCCAGACCAAGCATCCTCAGACATCAGTCCTCCGGCTGTTTGGGCCTCCAACTCCCAGAAGCCCCAGCCAGCTTGTTCAGAAGTCAGGAATTCTGGGATTTGGAGCCCAAACAGCTGGAGGGCCATCATTTGAGGATACCTGCTCCAGACCATCTTAACTGATAATAGAAGTAACATCTGAGACAAAATGTACGCTTGTGATGCCACCATGGTGGCTTCTGTAGGATTCTCGACATCTTTCCCAGAAACAGAAGCCTTGCATTATGAATTTTGGACTTTCCGGGTGACCCAGTAAAGGTACTGTTTTGTGGACAGCCGAATAAAGGACACATAGAGGCTTAGCATGTTCTTCGGCTCCATCTCGTGGCCAAAGTCTAATTGGCAAAATGTTAAGTTGACATTTCTACATGGATAATATCTAGGGAGCTGCAGTTTATTGCATTCAAAAATTCAGAGGGCTTTAAGTGGCCCTCTGAATGTTTGAATGTCCATCAATCGACCTGGCTCCAAATGAAGCATTAAGCATAAAATTTATCCTATCCATCCTTTCAGATGATGTTTTTGTTGGCCCATGTTTAATCTGGGATGCAGGACTTGAGTTTCTTGTTTGCCATTGTTTCTCAGGCTCGTTGTACAATAAGGAGTGTTACTAAAAATACAAGCAAATGAAGCCTGAGTTCAGCAAAGGACAAGAGGGATCCCCTCACCTCTGCAGGAGTCTACCGTATACCATGCAGCTGTGGACAAGTCTACATAGGGACCACCAAACGCAGCGCCCAGACACGCATCAAGGAACATGAAAGGCACTGCAGACTACTTCAACCAGAGAAGTCAGCCATAGCAGAGCACCTGATGAACCAGCCTGGACACAGCATATTATTTGAGAACACAGAAATGCTGGACCACACCAACAACCACCATGTCAGACTACACAGAGAAGCCATTGAAATCCACAAGCATGTGGACAATTTCAACAGAAAGGAAGAGACCATGAAAATGAACAAAATCTGGCTACCAGTATTAAAAAACTCTAAAATTATAACAGCTAAACAACAGAGAGGAAAAAACCAGGCACAGATTAACACCTCCCAGCAACAGATTTCCCAGGCTTAGGCAGGCCTTCAAATGCTAATGAAGGTGATCAGCTAACATTCACACCTAACTGCAGCAGGGAAGAGCTCCTTGCCCCACCCCAGCCATTCCACAGATATATAAACCCATTTTTCCTACTTCCAACAGACCTCACACCTCTGAGGATGCTTGCCATAGATGCAGGCGAAACGTCAGGAGAAATGCCTCTAGAACATGGCTCTATAGCCCGAAAAAACCCACAAGAACCTAGTGATTCCAGCCATGAAAGCCTTCGACAATACATTGAAGCCTGAGCTGTTGGTAGAAGTTTAGAAACTGAAACTGTGAGATGTCTGATCTCAGTTTAATCAATCATCTTGTCTTCTATGGACGGCTCAGACTTAATTTGTTCTTGAGAAGTAAACAAGTTTATTATGATAGAATGCAGTGGGAAAAGAGGGAGGCCCTGTCCACAGGTGGATAGACTCAGTCAAGGAAACCACTGGAGTGCCTTTGTAGTTTGGTGAGGCACAAGCACTATTTGACTAAGGGCCCTTCCACAACCCTATATCCCAGAATATAAAGGCAGAAAATCCCACAATATCAGCTTTGAAACGAGTTATCTGAGGGCCCTTCCACACAGCCCTATATCCCAGAATATCAAGGCAGGAAATCCCACATTATTTCAGTGTGAACTCAGACAACCCACTTCAAAGCAGATAGTGTGGAATTTTCTGTCTTGATATTCTGGGATATAGGGCTGTGTGGAAGGGCCCTTAGGCCCTTCCACACACCTGAATAAAATCCCACATTTTCTGCTTTGAACTGGAAAAAATGGCAGTGTGGGCTCAACTCATTTCAAAGCAGATATTGTAGGATTTTCTGCCTTTATATTCTGGGTTATATGGCTACATAGAAGGAACCAAAGATCACAGAAGACCTTGTAAAAATACAACTACAACAATTCCATACATTAAGCCATAGCAATTAAATTATGTCCATTTTCATTGATTCTACAGTGTAGATACATTCTGGAGATTGCTCATACATTAGGTTGCTATCAGTCAAAGCAGCCCATCTGCCATTAACAAAAAAAATCAAAATCAAAATTATGATTGGAGAGATCATAAGGAAGCACGTCACTCCATTATGGTGATACGTAATCTTGGACAGGCTACAAAATATTTACGGGCACAGAATCAGGCTGTTAATTCATTCCTGTTTGAAGCTTTTGTGAGAATAAGGAATGACTAACCAACTTCTGCATTTTCCACAAAAGGTCATGTTTCGAGGAGGCTGACAACAGCTGCTGCTTTTGTTTTCTAATCTCAAAATGCTGCTTTCTGTTAGAAGCCCGAACTTTGAAAATATATTCTAGTCAAAACATTCACATTATAATTCTTTTTAAAATATATTTTATTTAAGTTTTAAGTGCATGTGCAAAGAAACATACACATACAACATTAGTTAAATTAATACATTTAGCCACCACAGACATACTACACATCTTCTACTTAGCCTGTTTAAATCAAATTCAGGCACAATTCCTTGTTGCCTTCAAATTGTGAATTGTTGTGTCAAAAAGTAATATTCCAGCACTGCAACCGATGTATTGGTGGTCAATGTGTTGGTTATATCTATGTTGTAGTGGTGAAATGTTGACCAGAATTTTACGAAGTCATCTCCCTTTATCTCTCTTCTGAACATGAATTAAATCTTATCAATGTTTATATATAATTCAAGTATTTATTTATTTATTTGCCTACTTATATCTTACTTTTTCCAGATGAAACACAATTAAACAGATTATTAAAACAGTATTGCATGGTTGCTGTTTTTTTAAATGCATGTGGGCATGAGAGGTTCAGCAACAATTAATCAAAAGCCCAATTTCCAACTACCCAAAAATGACTAGAAGGCTTTCTAAATAAAAATGAATAAACTGAGGATGAATTGTGGTAAGACTGAGGACCTGTGAATAGGAATGCCCCATTTCTAAGAATCTGGATTCTCCATTACTAAAAATTTTCTTGCCATATGCATAAATTCTATACAAGTTCTCAAAAATAATTTCTTAACTCTGGAGAGCCAGTTTCTCATCTAGTCACTGTTGACAGGCACCAAACAAAGAAAAGGGAAGGGGTGTAACGACATTACTGAAGGAAGCTACAATAAAGTTGAACAATATTCACTCCATGCATTGGCTTATTGGGGAAAAATTGAAAGGATTTCAGAAGGAATTTAATGTGTGCTTTATGGAGCATCATACTAGCAATAAGTTTACACCATTTCCATCCTCCATGCACATTCTTCAGTAGAGAGTTGAGTGGTCTATCTTCTCGTAAACCAGAATTTGAAACAGCTTTGCCAGATGTCTCTTTTGTAGATACAGTGAAGTCAGAAAATAATAATTTATTTGCCGCCTGCATTGCCACAGAGCAAGCCTTTAAACAGTCTGCATTTAGTTAGATTTTGGGTTTTCTGCTAACATTGTTCTATCTTCCATCTCACTTGCTCACAGCTAGCTCCTCTGAAACAAACTGTATTCACAACCAGTCATGCCATTTTCACATTCAACTAGAAGTCCATTCTTTCTATAGAATTGTAACACTATTATTCCACTTTAATTGTCATGGTTCCGCTAGAGCAGTGTTTCTCAACCTTCCTAATGCCATGACCCCTTAATACACTTCCTCCTGTTGTGGTCACCCCCAACCATAACATTATTTTCATTGCTACTTTATAACTAATTTTTCTACTGTTAAGAATCGTAATGTAAATATCTGATATGCAGGCTATCTTTTCATTCACTGAACCAAATTTGGCACAAATATCTGATATGCCCAAATTTGAATACTGGTGGGGATGGGGGGGGGGGGTTGATTCTGTCAATTGGGAGTTGTAGTTGTTGGGATTTCTAGGTCACCTACAATCAAAGAACATTCTGAACCCCAACAAACTTGGGCCAAACTTCCTACACAGAATCTCCATGACCAACAGAAAATAATGTGTTTTCTGATGGTCTTTGGTGACCCCTCTGACATCCCCCTCATGACCCCCCCCCAGGGGTCTTGACCCCCAGGTTGAGAAACACTGTACTAGAGGCAAGAGAGCACTCTGCTCAAGAGCTCTTAGGGCCCTTCAACACAGCCATATGTCCCATAATATCAAGGCAGAAAATCCCACAAAATCTGCTTTGAACTGGATTATCTTGAGTCCACACTGCCATATATTCCAGTTCAAAGCAGAAAATGTGGGATTTTATTCAGCTGTGTGGAAGGGGCCTTAATATTTCCCATTTCATTTCCAATCTCAGTATTTTACAAGAGGGAACTATGGCAGTTAAAATGACACCCTAGTGCTATATAATGTAAATAGACCCTAGGGATTGATTAGTACCAATGCTTAACCCATTATATAAACTGGATATATAGCTATAACTCAGCATCACAGGATAAGCAGATTGATAAAAGCAAGACATGAAAACATGCCCGAGATTTCTAGACTGATTTGTTGGGTGTTAAACCTTAAACTTGAGATAGCAGGAAACACTGCAAGAAGCCATCCACATCCATCAACCTTTTGGGGTAGACCATGTTAATAAATCCCCCACCCCACAAAAGCTCCAATTCCTAGTCTATGACAACAGAATGATTAAAAAATTGCTCCATCCCAAGATCATTATCATTCCATCTAGCTCTAAAGTGTGGCCAGCAATATGAATGGGGCCAAATAGTACTTGGAACAGATTAATGATTGTCATGGCAGCCATGAAGTCTTGAACCACTCCCAATGAAATAGCCTTAGCATGGATAAAATCCTCCAGCTCCACTAGCTGAAAGAATTCTAGCGCCAATTCCGTCCACACGACTTGCTCAAGAAGGAAGGCCATTGTGCAGTGTGGTGGGCAGCACACAGACAGAATTAGTGTTCCACTTTAAATGGAAATATTCAAATGGGATAGGGTATCTGATCAGTGGGATGGTGTCACAGTAGACCACTGTAACTCTGCCTCCATACCTATCCACCTCAGGTCTAGCAGGAGAAAATATAATCCCCCAACATCCCCCAACTTCCCTTTCTATATTTTTTCTTGTTTATTCAGAAACAGAACTGAAAATAAAGAGTCACAGGGGTTCGTGAGATATCCAGTCCATTTAAAAAAAAAGATCATTGTCCATACAGTGACATTATTATTATTTTTTTAAAAATTATCTCATGAACCCCTGTGACTTTCATACATTATAATCCTGTCCCCATTTTTCTCTTGTTTTGCTTTATTGACCTTTACTGACAGGGGAATAATCTGAAGGAGCTGGCACAGGAATGATGTTTTGGGAACTACATTGCCTGTGGTTTCTCAGCTACAGGAAGAGCCTGTGAGGGTTTTTTGCAAGATGCAGCAACCGTTGAGATCCACTCCATTACAAATTGATCACTGTCTTTGCGGAAATAGACACACAGCCCACTTGAGAAATACTGCTAAATGACTCAACTGTCCTGCCACATTGGAGCTGCTCCACACCAGGGAAGAACAACACATGGAGTCCCGTAGGCCAGGTAAGAACTCCGCTAGGAGGGAGTTTGGATCACATTGCTGTGAAAGAGGTCTTTATAATATTATAACTTCTCTACACTTTGTTTTGATGCATTATGCTATTCACTCCCATTACTGAAGCAACTTTTACAAAGTGAGACCAAAACTTAACCAGGGGGCAGAAAAACTTGCCTAATGTCTGGGAACAGAGATACAACCTATGCAGAATAGAGCAAAAGCTATTTGCCCCATTAAATCTGAATAAATCTAAAGGGGTTGTGGGAATAACCTAAATATGTCTAAGGGCCCTTCCACATGGTCATATAACCCAGAATATCAAAGCAGATAATTCACAATATCTGCTTTGAACTGGGTTATCTGAGTCCACACTGCCATATATTCCAGTTCAAAGTAGAAAATGTGGGATTTTATTCAGCTGTGTGGAAGGGGCCTAAAATACTGTGTAGAGAGAATGCCTTTTCACTTTCAGTGGCTTGGCAACCTGATTGTAGGGGAGAATGATGATCTGGATTGGTAGGAAGCTAGCATTCAGTCCTAAATGAGACTTCTCATCAGTTTTCCTGACTGACCTGCTTTTAATTCAGCTTAATGTTAGAGAAGCAGTGCTTTATCCAGGCATAACTTGCTGTTGGGTGCCCTCAAATTGTATTTAATTTATAGTTATCCTTCAGTGGGATTTTCGTGGCAAAGTTTGTTCAGAAAAGGTTTGCCTTTGGCTTCCTCTGAGGCTGAGAGAATGTGACATGCCCAAGGACTTCCAGAGGATTTACATCAACAAATGGCCACTAAAACCCTGGTCTCCAGAGTTCGTACTCAAACCAATACATCATGCTGGCTTATAGGACTATCTTCAGTATTGGTTTTAGCTTCCTCTTTAGTGTCTTTCTCAGAATTATTGCACTGCTTATGGGCAGATCGTCATAGTTCACGGGGGTTGACAATTGCACTTCAGCAACTCATGCGGTAGATCATACATTCTATCACATGGCCCATCCATCCGCCCCTCGTTTCCTCTTCAGCAGTCATTATGGATGTTACACTATTCTATGTTTTCTGGCCCTTGGTTGAAAAAAAAAGGAACAATGATGTCATTCAAATAATGCTTTCTACATTTTGACCAATTTGTGTGAGAGAGCGTGTAAAGTGAAGAAAGGATAAAACCAGTACCCTGGACAGAGTGCTACATTTCATCTGGATTCAAATTACACACTAGTTATGAATTTATCGCACAAGGGGGGCAAATCACAATTTCAGCAGAACAATTGTGTCTTTATATTCCTCGCAATTTTGCTCCTTTCCCACCAGTACCCTATCAGGAAACAGCCTGATTATTTGTTTACAAACACAAATAATCTGTTAATTATCTCCTTTGTAAAATAAGTGCTTTCCAGGTTGTACCCTACTGGGAGAATGAGAGGAAAGAAGCAACATTATGGGATAAATTCAAGCAAAAGATGCTGTTCTCCTACTGTGATTATTATTTGCCTTTTTCATGTGATAAATTGCTCTCAGTCTACCATGAGATGAAATTATAATGAGCTAGTCTTATATAAATTTGCCTGTAGATTGAAGAAATCATGGAGTATTAATGGGGGTTGTTTAAAAAAAATGCTATTGCATAATATCTGAACAGCATAGCCAGTGGCAATGGGAATGGGAATTATGAACCAACAATATTTGGAGAGCCATGGGTACCCTTGGCTCTCTTTCATCTGTCTGTCTGTCTGTCTGTCTACCTATCTATCTATCTATCTATCTATCTATCTATCTATCTATCTAATGTTGGCTTCATAGTAACCATGATGATCTATCTTTATTTCTGTCTGGATGGTATTTATTTATGCCTCTTTAATAAGGCTTGTCAGACAAGTAGATATAACAAAGAATGGGATAGGAGTAATGATGCAAGAGCAATGGGCAAAAGAGTGTATAAGCTATCAGTGCTTATGTTTAAACCTGGAATAGGCACCTTATATCAAATCTGTCCATTTTAGCCAGCGTTGTTCCAGACAAGTGGTTTCCAAACATAGCTTCCCAGATACTATCAAATTTCATCCCTCAGTTCGAGGAAGCCCAGCCAACAATTCTGAACCCTATAAACCAGCAATATTGGATGAGTCACGTTTTGGAACCCATATTCCAAATGGTTGACTCCTAATGCTCCTGGTCCAAGAGACACCAAGTAGCTATGATGTCCTGCCTTCATTGTTGTGTGATGAAAAAATCAAGAGAGTATTGCAAATGACATCTGGACTACTACCCATAAAAATCCCATGAACAATGCAGGTAATTGTACAATAAATGCCTGGTATCTTTACTCATCAGGGGCAATTCAAAGAAGCTTGTACTGTGGTGGTGTGAGCATGAAGGAAATGACTGATGAATGCAAAACTCACACTTTCAATTTAGAGGAAGAATCTAAGCAAGCCACTGCATTGTATGTTGTCTTTAGAAGGCTGTGAGTGCTTGTTAAGGCAGAAGGCAGAGGAAGAGCACATTCCAGATGGATAAACTGTCAATTATGGATGTCACAACTTCCATGAATCTGTAAGACCTGAGAAGAGCTGTGGACGAGAGGGTGAACTGGAGGCCTCTCATTCATGGGACTGAAGAAAAACTGACAGCAATTAACAAAAGCAAGCTCTTAAAAGCTTTTTAAAAATGGTTTATTGAAGTTGTCAATATATATTTTTCTACTTTCTTACATAACAGAATTACATGCAGAAGATTTCCTGTTTTCGTTATAGGAAATAACTAAAACAGGATAACGATTATCATTAAAGTATTTTATATTAAGATGATAGTGCTGACATTATAAAGCAATATTGTTAGCTTGTGAACTTATCACAGACTTAGCCATTGATTTTTGTTTTGGGTCATTTGTGGCCATTTACAGATAGACCACAATTAGAAAAGTAACTGTGCTTCTAGGTATTATTTCTTTAACAGAAATTTTGATACTAGAACCAGAAAAAAAAACATGGAAGGAATACAGATTATTTTTTTTACATCCTTGAAAAAGAACAATTTCACATGTTTCATATGTACACGTGAATTGAAACCAGATAAATCTTCTTGGACCTTAGAGGCCATTTGAAAACATCTTCCAAAATGTATTAAGGGATTATTTTCTTCCCTTTCATCACGCTTCACATTTCTTATTATTTCAATTTTTCATGACCAATCTTATAAATCTATTCCATCTAACATGCAGAAGGCAATGACGGGCAGGCTTTTCTGCTTTCTCCTGTTCTTTCTGTTTTTAGTTCATACACGCTCAGTTAAGGTGTCTGAAGGCAGCTTCTGTTTACCTTGTTTGCTGTAGGCAGCCACATATTGCTACCATAGGATTAGCTATTGCAGATTCTAATCCTTTCTAGCTCAAGGTCTTGTCTGTTTATCACACAAATGCTGCAGACATGAAGCTGCAACCAAAATCAAGTCTGTGTTCTTGACGTTACTCCTTCACCTTACTTCCAATACAATGCTTCTAAAAAGCTTTCCAGCCTCTCAGCCAGAGGACAATGAAGAAAGGAAGAGACTGGGTCTGCATAAAAGCACTTTGTAAAAGAGACTTGTTAACTGAGGTATGAGTGTAGTTGGGCAGTAACGTTTATATAGGGCAATAATACGAAAAAGGTCAGTGGAAGGATTACATTTCTGATCTTTCCTGGCAGAGCTGTCAGAACTACCCAGACACATGCAATAGTGGCCATTGCCTTACCAGTGTTCTAAAACTCTTTGTGCCTAATGGTCATATGAAGGAAGAAATACATGTATTTCTCATGAGATATATACACCATGCAGTTCCAAGACAATATATTTTAGCATTTTATTTTGATAAGATACCACTGAAAATCTGAATGTTCCCTTTGTCTGTTGTTTTAAAAAGCAACAACAACAAAACCTTCCTCCTTAGAGCTGAGACTACAAAACTGATCTGATTGTGGGATTTGGACTAAACTCTATGGTACTGGTTGCCACACATTTAGGACCAGTTTGCATATATACATAGATCATCCAGTGTGATTTTTAAGATGCCATAGGGAGAAGCATCTCTGTAAATAGGGAGTTGATGCTGTATATCAGGAATTGTTATTTTACCAGTGAATCTGTTTATATGAATTGCTATAGGTTCTGAGGCATACTTACCTGATGCTGTGGTTCATGGCAGTTTCACATCTGTGTCATGGGGATTAAACAAGCAAGCTTTACTTTTGAAGACCAGAATTTCTCAGTTGTTCCTTTCTCTAGGGTCTGAGGTCAGTATTGCAGATTCTGAAAGGGATTATGAGAACGTTATACCTTCAAGTTTCCTAAGATGGCAGCAACAAGTCCCAGAACAAGCAATGAAGGCCAAACCAGGTAAGAGATTATTAATAGCACAAACATTCCTGGGCATCAGATCCATAAGTCATATTTTTCTAGCTTGGAGATTTAAAAAAGCTTTTGCCAAACAATGTGGAAAATCTTCAACATTCTCATCGGGCCCATCCAGACAGGCCTTTAAACTGAGATCTGCCTTGATTTTATAAGAGGCATCCAAATGACGTCTCCGGTAAAACCAAGGTTTCCCTGCTTAGGGGTGTTTTCTGTTTTCTCAGAATTGCTGGGGTTAGAATGTGCAGAAGCCGATAGGCTCAGATGCCATTCACTAAGGCATCGTGGAATTTCAGTCCTCCCACATCAACCCATCTTACGTCTTTTTTTATCTCAGCTCCTGCAGTGTTTCCCAGCTATTGCAGTGGTTACATTGGTTCCTGTTTATTATTATTTCCCTTTCATTATTATGTGTGCTGGCTACATGTGTCCTACTGCTTTATACCAGCTATCTTGTGCTATAAAAATCACTTTGGTTATTTACAGATGTGCTCAAACCCACCACACATACTGACAATACAAGACAATACAAGAGGATTGGCCTCCTTTCCATCTTGCTGTGCGCTTTCCTGTTAATAGCCATCCCTGCTTTTGTCCTGGCAACCTTGAAATGTAAGTTCGGCAGTGAATTTATATGACATTATCAAAAATGCCATTGTTAATATTCAAGCTAATCCTGTCATTCTTAAACTATATGCCACATTGTGAATGGATCACAACAATAAACTGAGCAAAGCCCATCTGTACCTAAAGGACAAATCCATGAAGCAGATTGTCATCTATACTGGGTTGTTGTAGGTTTTTTCAGGCTATATGGCCATGTTCTAGAGGCATTCTCTCCTGACGTTTTGCCTGCATCTATGGCAAGCACCCTCAAAGGTTGTGAGAGTGAGGATGCTTGCCATAGATGCAGGCAAAACATCAGGAGAGAATGCTTCTAGAACATGGCCGTATACCCGGTGCTGCTCCGCAAATGCTCCGGAAATCCTCTGCTCCGGCCGCTCTGCCTGAGTGGGAGGGAGCAGCCTCCCAGATGGGTGCTCTGCAGAGCAGAGCGGCCGGAGCAGAGGTTGTCCGCCATGGGCGGAGCGGCGCTGGGTGGGCGTGGCCAGGCCAGGCCGTGCGGGCTGGAGAAATGGCCTTGGAGGGCCGCATACGGCCCGTGGGCCGTAGTTTGGGGACCCCTGGTCTATACTGTTTTTGCTTTCTTTCAATCAAGCACAAATCAAGATGGGTCATGCTATTGAGTCTCTGTGCATTCCCTGAGATAATATCATTCATCTACACAGGGTGCAGAGAAATGGAGCAGAATTAAGTTCTCTCACTTGGCCCAAAAACAGAGACTCATACAGAAATGCAATGGATGGGTTCCTTTTGAGACAAGGAAGCACTTACTCTGTACGCTCTGAGACTGATTTTTAGATGCAGGAATAAAGCATAACTTTGTTGTTACCTGCCTTCACATTGGCTCTGTCTTATGGCAGCACCATTACAAGTATTTCTTAGCAAGATTTGTTCAGAGGAAGTGTGTCATTGCCTTTGTTTTAGGAAATCCAGGGATTTTCATGACTGAGTGGGGATTTAAACCATTCTGGTTCCCTTTTACCTTCAACTTTAGGCCTCCTCCCTCCTCTGCTAAGATGTCATTTAGCCTTATGGCTGCAGTGAAGCATTTTTGATTTTAAAGAATTAAAACCCTGTGGAAGGGATGATCAGGATGGGAGCCATAGCACAAAGAAGGAGGTCTGGATTTTCTCTCCCCCCACACAGCAGCACCAAAGAAAAGGCCTTCTGTTACAACAATGTTTGTTTGTTTAAAGCATTTATGTTGGACGATTCCACTAGTCTGGCGCAGCAACATCTCAAATAATGACAACAAATCATTTTAAATGCATGGTTTCTTTGTATGGCAACTAAAACTTAGTGAAAACATTAGCCAATATACAGCAAATAAGCAATGGATAAAAACATCTTCACTGATTTAGAAGACTGAGGAAGGTGTCCTTGTCCCTTCAGGCTTTGTTAGACGGTTAGATTGTTGTTACTACCTGTTTGCAGTAATTGTTGTGGGTCTTTTAAAAATATTACTTGTATGTTGAACACATTTTTAGAGTCATTATGGAAGCATGTGGGTAGCTAGTTAGTGAATTCACACTTGGTTATTTGAGCAGAATGAAGGATAGACTCAGTAAGTTGGAGGATCAAATGGACATAATGAGGTGAGTATGAAGATAAATCTAGGTCAGCTGCCTAAAACCTCAAATGTGGCTTTCTTTTTTGTGGATGAAAAGAATACTTGCCTATTTTCTTTGAATATAAGAAGCATGTTCCTGTGCTGCGTTGCTGTTCTGTGTGCCTTCATGTCATTTCCTACTTAGTTTGACTCTTAGTGAACTTCTGATTGGATTTTCTGAGACTGAAAATGTGTGATTCACCCAAGATCAGCCAGTGAATTTTCACTGCCAAATAGAGAGCCGAACCCTGGTCTCTAGAGTCATAGTCCAACACTAATACCTCAGAACTAGTAACTGGGCTGGTATAGAGAAGATTGTGTTCAGAGCCATACAGTCCAAAAGAAAAGGAACAGATCAAGCCTTTGTTGTGTAATACATCAGCCTGATATAATGATCAAAGACAACATATCTGTACCCAGGCTAAGATCAAATAAATAAATATCCATATTCATAGTATTGGACCCACATAATGGAGAGTCCAGTGGGAACTGTGCTGGTGTGAAGAAGTGCTTATGGTAGTAGCTGAGGCTGGTGGTGCATGTTTATTCTGGGAAGACAGAATCCTCCCAATGCCATGTTATCTTATCCAGGTTTCTGTGCTTTGCAGATATTCCTCGGTGTCCAGGTGACTGGCAAAAGTTCCAGACAAAATGTTACTACTTCTCCAGTCATCAGCAGACCTGGCAAGATGCACAGAGTATTTGCGTTAACCTTGCTGGACACCTGGTGGTGGTCCATGACAATGCAACTAGAAAGGTAAGCTACTCGTTTCGACAGGATAATTGCAGCACAATTAGAGTGTGGATACATTTTGTGGTTTGGATACATCACTGAACCCATTCCTATTGTCTAACCTACTCAGAGTTAAAATCCACCTTACTCATAATTCTTATTCTCACATGGCCCTTGACTTTTGCTCTCTCTTGGAACACTCCTAGAACTTTTAATTGCTCAAAAATTATAGCCGAGATTAAAATGTATTGGTTTTAATCCTATTTTTTAAAGACAACAATTGATGGGAAAGCAATACTTTCTCGTATGAGCATGCTTTAGAACTATGTTTCCATTGTTGATACCTTCTTCATTCTTAATACTGTGCCTCTAGAATTTGCAAGCTCTGATAGCTGCACCTTTTACACAACCTCTGTCTTTAGGTCATGATGTGAGTTTTTAAACCATTCTAATATTACTTTGGTTGTGGGGAAGAAATCCTTGATTATTTCACCTTCACATGAAAAGATGAACAATGCTGCAAGAGAAAAGTAGCATTCTTTCACTGTATCCATCTCATATTCCAGTTCACCAAAGTGTAGCAGAAGACTTATTTTATGAAGATAGAAATGCATATCTTGTTTGCATGCATAAAATGTTTACTGCAGATGAAATGTTTTCTGTCCAAAACGCAGTGTTTTGCAAGAAGACCAAAATTTAACATTTTGGTATTGGACATTCCACGAAGTTGAACATTTTGGTCTCATCAGACCAGAGAACCTCTGTTTACTGTCAGTTCCAAATGTCTTTTTATAAATAGAATTTGATATAGTTTGTTTTAGCAGTGACTTTATTTTGTCTTCTGTTCCATAAAGTTCAGCATGGTGGAGTGTCCAAGTGGTAGTTGTTCTATTTTTCGTTTTTTCCCCTCTCAGCACTAGATTTCTCCAACTCCTTCACAGCTGTGTTTGCAAGAACTTCAGATTATGTGTCAACTCACAGCAATGCCACTAGAGAATGAATCCACTTTAAATCGGTTTCTGCTTCCTGGAGAATTCTGGGTTTTGTAGTTTTGTAGTTTAGTGAGGCTGTTAAAGGCTCCTCCCTAAGCTATAATAAACCTTAGAATTCTATTTTATTAGGAGCCAACAGTGGTGCAGTGGGTTAAACCTCTGTGCCGGCAGGACAGGTCGCAGGTACGAATCCGTGAAGAGCGCGGATGAGCTCTAGCTCCAGCTCCTCATGCAGGGACATGAGAGAAGCCTCCCACAAGGATGATAATAACATCAAAACATCCGGGCATCCCCAGGGTAACGTCCTTGCAGACACCCAATTCTCTCACACCAGAAGCAATTTGCAGTTTCTCAAGTTGCTCCTAGCACGACAAAAAAATAATCATTTTATTAAAAAAATATTTGACAGTATAGCTTTTTGTAAATTTTAGTTGTTTCTTCCCATTCTTCTGGTTTTATTGTTTGCCCCTTGGGGAGATAGGGCGGGATACAAATAAAGTATTATTATTATTATTATTATTGTTGTTGTTGTTGTTGTTGTTGTTGTTGTTATTATTATTATTATTGTTATTGTTATTATTATTGCCCATTGGGTCATTGGTTTTTTTTACATGTTCATCAACTGTAAAGTCTTTCAGAAGGAACTGGTATAGTTTTCCTAACTGTTTGCCTTTTATTTCTAGGAGAAGGTTCCAATGACTCTCAAATTCTTGTATACCTTTTTTATCATCTAACCAATATCTTTGTTGAAGTTGGTAATAGTGAAACCATGCCATTTTTAAATCTTCTTTCTGTAGATCCTGTCGTGTTTTTAATTTCTGTGGTGCCCCCTTATCTAAAAATTGTTTATAAGTTAAATAGTCTCTCCTTGGTGTTCTTAATTGTGGAAACGCTTCTTACGGTTTTGTCCATTCCAGTATTTTATTGTAAAAAAGTATTTTATATTTATTCCATATTCTTATCTATGAGTTCATTATATTGTGTTTCTTTAAGTTAAAATCCAATTTCATTTTGTCATATATCAAAAATGCATGCCAACCATACCTTAGGTATGAGACCAGATGTTTTAAAACTATTTTCTTTGGGTGGATTTTTTTAGCCCTAATTATTTATTGCTCAGATAAACCTCATCAACATTTCTACCTGTTGGGACTTGAGCAATTAATGTAGACATTGATGTGACCTTTTATGTTTCCATTTCTTCCTGGAAGTTTCTAAATCATCAACAGAAGTCTAGCTACTGGCTTGGCCTGAGGACATATGCCGAAGGAGAATGGCTTTGGGTGGATGATACACCTCTACAGGACATGTATGTTACATTTACTAAGGATGTTTTATTAATATTTGCAAGCTCATTTTTATGACAGATGAGCTGGAAAGACCCAAGATGGGGGAAAGGGTCTGTCGTTACCAATTGGGAGGGAAATAAGTGCATCCTTTATAGTATCTCTTACATGACAAATATAGAAGTACATGCCCAATGTGGAATGATTTCAGAGGAAGGGTCCTTCCAGACAGGGCAAAATCCCAGGGGGAACTGGGATATTTAATCCTAATTCCTCCTGGGATTCAGGGCCCTCACCAGCCCCAAATCTTGTGCTTTTGCTGCTGTGGTAGCTACATGCCCTTCCAGGTCAACCAGAGGTTGACCCAGGAGGGCATCCAGTCAGCCATCAACCCCGTTTTTCCCTAAAACTTACCTGAGGGGCCTAGTAAGTTTTGGGGGAAAAACAGGGACCAGGTAAGCTTTGGGGGAAAATGGGGGACTGGGAGGGGAGAGTGGGGATGCCATTCTGCTCCTTCAGGCTCTTAGAGCCTGAAGAACCAGGATAGAAATGCGGATTGACACCAGGGATCGTGGAATGTGGTCCCAGTTGTCAATCCTCATAGGCCCACAGGCAAGGTCCGGATCTTTCCAGGTGTTAGAGTAAACTGGAAAATCCCAGTATACTCCAGATTCATCCAGAATACACCCATCACCTGTTGTGGGATTTGGACCTGTGTGGAAGGGCCCAATAATGTCACACATACTGTAACAGAAAATTATTGTGGCGACAGAAAGGAGCAATTTATGGTCCTGCAGATATTCTTAGACAGCATGAAAACTGGGACACATGTAGCTAAGTAGCATCAGAGAGTGGCAAAAGGAAAAGAAAATTTACTAATGAGGAAGGAGATACAAGCTAGTAGCAACTGCAGCAGTTTGCTTTTGCCTAAGCCTACTAGGAAAGGCAAGAATCTGCCACTCACCTCTCGTTAATTTGAGATCAAATGATACATCTTGGCAATGTGGCCTCAAACGTTTCTTAACTAGTATTTCTCTGCAGCTCATATTATTTTTCTTTACAGATCCGAGAACAAAGCTTCTAATCGGACAACTAAATGCATGTATGTCGACCACACAAATAATACAAGCAGAATGACGCAATCTTTTTGCAGTTATTCCTTCCATTACATTTGTGAAAAACAGCAAGCATAAGAAACATTACATTTTGTTATAATTTGCAGAGTTTTTTTTAATTTTAATTTGTGAAAAATTAAGTAGTCTGTAAATTATCATTCTCTTTAATGGCTTCTTTTGAAAGTGTGCTCTCCCAGAGATTGCAATAGTGAATATCAAATATAGAGAAAGCATGATGTAGGTTACAGAAATTGTGTATCATCTTGAAGGACTCCCCCGCCCCCTTTCCCATTTGTGGATTTACTTAGAATTGCAGGATTTGTTCACTGGATGCAACTACCCTTCCAACTCTTCTGTCCTTCCCATAGACAAGCCTTGAACTACATGGCAACATGATTTACACCAAGATGCAAAACAAGTCAATTTTAGTATCAGCCCCTAATCCTTCTCCAAAGACATGTACATTAGGGTTGCATGCAGAATTCATTTCCCCTGTTTCATCCATTCATCTGGTATCTTTGGTACTCCGGGAGCACATAACAGGTAGGGCCCTCCCCCGTACAAAAACCCAACCGACACAAAAGCAAGTGGGAGCCAATCTCAGCTCCTCCTTCCCTATTCGGCTTGTGCTGGTACGTCTGTACCAGGAGCTCCAACTTTATTTTCTTTCTATTAAGTGTTTGCATGCATTCCAAAGTTTCAGGGATTCTGCAAAAGGTGCCTTCCTTTGGTTTGCAGTCATAGGGCAAGCCACCTGTCTATCATTGTTAAGTTTGGATCCGCCCCTTCTCCCAGGGAGATGGTAGGGAAGAGGGGCCATTTTTAATTAGTCTTAGTGAGGAAACCTAAGTTAGAGGACGTGGACAAGCTTCACCTGCAGAAAAACTTCATTTCTCAAGACATTCCGGGGGGAATTCCCAAAGCTCTGGCTGGGAGCTTGCAGCCTCTCAGCCTTACAGTATCTGAGGGAAACAGCCCTAAAGTCTTAAGAAATTCCGGAGGGAAAACAGCTTTACAGACCCAAAGAACTCCAGCTGGAGAATCTGCAAGCCTTTACTGGCAGGGCTACTCGGTGCCCAAGATGCAGTTTGGATCCGGTTATAGTTCCCACATCAGTAAAGCTTAGATAATAGACAGCCTGGGAGAGGTTAAAAAAGGGTTTTTCTCTCAAAGTATAAGAACAGTTAATGAAGACAGTTGCCTGTCCCTTGTGGACAAGATTAAGGAAGCCACCAGTTGATTTAAAGCCTTGAAGCATTTGTTTGACTCATTGAAGATTTGAGAAATATCTGTTTAATTTGTTCAATAATAAAGGACTTTGTTTAACCTTTCAAGCCATCTAAACACAATTTCTTCAGGAAAATCCTTGAGGGCCTCTTTTGTGGCACCCTGGCTTCCCGCTGGGCACATGGTGCACATCCTATTTCAAAAGACAATTATTACAGGCCCAGTGTGTGACAGAAAATGGCTCACAGTTGAATCTTTTTTATTTTCCTTTATTTTCCTAATTGTTTTTATTTAGTGGGACTGACTGGGAGTGGGGATCTGAGGGAAGGTGGGTGAGGTGCGCGTGCATGCATGCCTGTGTTTGGCGGCTTGGAGAGTCACTCTTTTAGCTTCTTTTCCCCCTTTCCTTCCTCTCCTTCAGAAAATACTTTTTAAAATTATTATTATTATTATTATTATTATTATTATTATTATTATTATTAGTAACTCCAGCAAACAGAAAGAGAAACCTACTTCTCATCTAGAGTAGAAAGTAGAAACAACTAAAGGAAGCAAAACCCTAAGCAGAAAGAAGATTGCAGCCTTGCAGGCAAAACAGGGGATTTTTCAGGTAGTCCGGGGAGGATACAGCTCTGCTGAGTTCCCAGGTCATCACTCTTCCCTGGGCCTCCTTAAAATGCCTCTTGGAAAGCTGCTTTCCAAGCATGCTGGTGCTGTTGAGAGAAAGCATGTGGGCCTGCCTCACCTGCAGCCAAGCACCTCTTCTCTAGGGTAGAAAAAAGCTTTAAGAATAAGAAGCCTCCTTAAAACACACGCCTGCCTGCAGCTGAGCGCCTCTCTTCTAGAGTACAGCTTAAATGCCTAAAATGAGGGGAAGGGGAGCCTAGGATGCCCTCCCCCCATAATGGGCTGATAGAAAACTGATCTTTCAGAACCCCGAGAGCAAAAACAGTTATCTGGACCCCCATCGAAACAGTTATCGGGACCTCCATCGAAAGTTGGGACACTAACCAGTTCATGGTTTATCCGGATTGCACTACTCTAATGTACCTTCAGATCCATTGTCTGGTTTTGAGGGCTTTAAAATGATATTATTTGTGGCATTTGAATTGTTTTGGAACAACAGTATATGTCATCACTAATGTCTCCACTATATGACCAGAAGTAGTGGATACAGTGTGAGCAAATTCAGGGAGGAGTCAAAGTGGAATGGGGGTGGGTGGGTTTGGGGTCCAGATCTAGCCCAGATTATACCTGTGAGCTGCAGGTCCCCATCCATGGATCTACATTGTGGCGTAGATATTGTCCAACACATCTTATGAACTATTTTAGTGGCTTTAACCATCTCCACTGAATACTCACCCTTTTCCTCTGTACCACCTTTTTGTAGTTGTTTTTACAATGCTGTTATATCTCATTAAAGTTGATCTCACTTTTTTAATAGTCCTGTGTTGGTTTCATTGTTTGCTGCATTATTTTTTATGCCTGATTTTACTTTCATCTTTCTATTTTATATCTATTTTGATTGTACTTTTTAATGACTTAGGAAATTTTGGGCAGTCTCAAACAATTTCTTTTAAAAAATAGCCAAAACATACATACATAACAGTATGCAGATATATTATATGCTTTACATTGTAATCCACCATGAGAAGTCTGGAGTCTTGAAAGGTGGGTAAGATATGCATTTAATAAAGATCAATAGATCTTATTCCAATAGTCATTCTTTAGAGATGTATGAATGTTCATAAAGGAATTTGTGGCTTTTGACGCAACTTACTGGAACAACAAATTAATATAAAACAAATAGGCAGCAATCCAAAAAGGCAGATTTTCCCCTATCTCTCTAGTTTCCAGCTGTGGTGGATGCAACAAACTGTGTGTAAATTATGTCTATCTGTCTGCAGTTACCATAGTAGGAAACTTCATGCACATGCAGAGCTTTTGAAGTTCATGACCAGAAAAGTCGAGCTAGAATATGATTAAAATATATTTATATTTTATAAGACTTCAGAAAGAAATGAAAATCCTCTGTGGATCCACTTTTGGTTAACAGGTGTTAATTGGAAAAGAGAAAGTGGTAGCCATCCTGGCAGAAACTATCCACCCTTCTGAGAATAAAAAAGGGTGTGAACAAGAAAGCGAAACCCATGAGGGGAAAAACTAAGTTTCAAACTGAGCAAGCTATTTAAGATAAGGTTTCATTGACAGGTTCAATAAAATATACATTAGGCAGGAGGCACAAACCACAAAATTAGTAACCAGATAGAAAAGTATTTTTATGTTAGGGAAGGAGTCTCAGAGTCTTTATGAGCAGTACACAAAATTTTCTAAATGTGACTTGTTTTATTTATGGGCAAATCTATATAAATAAAAATGTAATGTTCGTTTGTGAGATTAACAGAACTCAAAAACCACTGGGGGAATTGACACCAAATTTGGACACAATACATGTATCAGGCCAACAAGTGATCATCACTCATAAAAACACYGAAAAACACAGCAGAAGAGACTTAAAAAGCCAAAAAAAAAMCATTACAACACATGCTCAAAACCACACATATATACTCAAACATATGTATATACGCAAATACACAAACACACATATATACACACAATGCACATATACACAGACTGGGCCACAGCAACACGTGGCAGGGGACGGCTAATCTATATATATATATATATATATATATATATATATATATATATATATGAATGCTCTGTTCATTTTGAGTGACATCATAACTCAAAAACCGCTGGACTAATTGCCACCAAATTTGGCCACAAGACACCTACTAACTCAAGGAGTGACCATCACTCAAAAAAAAAAAAACAACTTTCTCATTATTTTCCAGATCACCATACTGGGCCTCAGCAACACATGGCAGGGGATGGCTAGTGTTGAATAAAACTAATATCTAACTTGATTCCCATATGTTTCAGTGTCTTTATTCTAGAATGTATAACACATGATTTATTCCAATATCTACACAGTTACTAAGAAGAAGTTGCCTAAAATCTGAACATCTTCCATAAAAGTAGCTCAGTGTGTATCCAGGCTGTCTAAAATGACCAGAAAGACCCTAATTTTGTTCCTTCACTTACAATGGTAAGAGATTTGACAGAGCTATATTTTTACAATGTATTATGAACTGGGGGAGAGACGGGAGGGGAAAAATAATTTACCACCTGTGATAAAGTGTGTGTTTTCATGGTGAACAACACCCGTACTCTCATGGGTAATGGTTAACCTATTATTTGTCTGTGTGAGGTGGCAGTTCAGTGGCTGAGTTTTTTTTCACATGTAGAAGATGCCTAAGCATCTGTCTATGGAGTGCAAGACTTGGTTAGCTATTTTCTGCTTGAAACTCAGCACAGCAGCTGCCAATCTGGACTAGATCTGGGACTGGACTAGATGAGCAAACCATCTCACCTGGACATAATCAACACTTCTGTTTTTACCCATTACTGCAGCAGCTGACTCATCCCATGCGGCACATGGCAGAGTTGTCATTCTCTTGTCTTCATGCTAGTTCTTTAAAATCCCAGCATTTTCCAGTCCACATTTGTGATGGTTCCTGAAAACCACTGTGGTTTTTGATACTATATTGATTTAGGTATGTGCTGGCTAATATTATGACTAATGATGTTGGGAGTGCCTGTGGTGCTACAGAACCAGTTTAGCAATCTTTCTTCCTCACTTGCCTATTTGGTCTGTATTAGGAAAATCATGTGTGCTCTTTATTTTCTTTCATTTGATGTTGGCAAATAGTCAACCATTAACATATGTTCCATCTGCCCTGATTTGGCAGAGACAGTTCCAATTAATCCTCTGCTGTCCCAGTTGTTCAGCTGCTTTAAAAGAGTCATTTTTTTTCTCTTCTCTTCCCATTTTCTTTGTCCAAATTTATTTTAGCTGGTGCAAACTGAGTTCAAAGTGCAAAAGTAGCTTGTGACTAGTACCCCCTGAAGGATTTTGGAAAGGCTGAGATTTTACTACTGTGCTTCCCTTCAGCATCATACTCATGTATGATCTGGATTGATTCACTTGTATCTTCTTTTCTCTGCCACAGCCTATCACTCCATTCACTTCCTGCCTATAGGAACAAGACAGGGGCAGAAAGAGGTTGTTTGTTAACCAGCTTTTAAAAAGTAAAGAAAGAAAGAAAGAAAGAAAAAAGAATGGTTTCAGCCATGAGGCAAGTTAAAAAAGCAAGACCTGAAAATTAAATGAGAAAATATCCATTAAAGACACAAAAGGGGGTGATATATAATTAAAGATGCTATAAATGGTGGAAGCCTGTAACAAGAGGAGAACAAAAGACCAAAAAGGCAATTCTGAAATTGAATTTGAAATAGAAAGGGGTGTTAGAAAGGATAGCAAACCATCAGTAATAAGAGAAAGATGAGAGCAAATCTCCCTATGGTTCAAAGAGCAAGGTGAAATGTTAATGGAAGTTAAAGTAGAGGAGAAAATTTTTCAATTTTGACTCTGATACAGTCATCACCAAATGCAGAATGCAACTGGATTATTCCAAAATCCATGTTTTAAAAGATGGAAATGTGACCAATAATGCCCTTCCTCAAATATCAAAGAAGTAGGACAAATGATATAACACACATACCCACACCTATATAGCACTATATATGGTAATGCTGGTACTGATGAATATGCTGGAAAGTACAGTCATCCTTCCACATTTGCTTTTTTGACTTTTGCTAATTTGATTATTCACATTTAGATTAAAATGTTCTCTGGGTGATCTAGTGTGATTCCATGGTGGGCTTCCAGTAGAGTCCTACTACACTAGCCCTATTTCATGCAAATTTTGGGGCCACACAGGAGCCCAAACCCTGTCATTTTGGCAAGGGGGTAGCCAGACACCCACTTGTGCTGAACTGGTGTTGGCATAAATGGGCATGACCACCCAACTCCCTCCCCTACCTGGATCCCATTTCCCCATTTAAAAGGTAAAAGAAGCCTCCTTCATGCAGGCTTCTGAGGGCACTGTGTCCTATCTCAGTGATGCAATGGAGTTCTGGAAATGGGAGGGAGGAATTCCCCCTTCAGAGTTCTGTGCATCATTGAGAGGGACAGGCCTGTGAGTATATACAGCACATCCCAAAAAAAACTGCTTGTATCACTTATTCTCATACTAAGCCGTTAAATGGCAGTAGAATACTAGTCTCAGCAGGGCCACCAAGAAATAAGAGAAAGGCACCAGCATACTTGAAGGAACCCCAACGTTGGATAAATGTTCCAAATGTTAAGGGAAAACAATACAAGAACAAAGCAAAGAAACAAATAAAGCACAGCAGAATTATACCAATGAGGACTGAGTATGCTCAGTTGCCAGAGACTACTGATTGTCTCTTGTGGAGGGGAGGGGACAGAAAAAGAAGTCGGTGTGTGTGTGTGTATGATATGGAATGGATCTTGGCTATTTGGAACACTAAAGAAGATGACTATTCTTATCATATCAATAACCCAACTATTAAAAGCATTGTAAATGCCAAATGCTCTCCTTTCAAGGGGAACTAAATCTTATAGTGCTGCCTCCACAATGCCCCCCCCCTTTTTTCAGGAAGTGGTGTCACATATTCACATGACAAAAAAACCTAACTTAGCATGCATAGGAACAAAAACTCTTTTATATTTGAGGCAGAGGTCCCTCCACTACCACCATCAATTATGTTGCGCAATTAGTATTAAGGAAGTGAGAATTGTGGTGGGTTACAACATTGTTTGTTCATGTTTAAGTTAAGCAGATTTTTGTTAACCTGCATAAAGCTAAGGATGGCTGTCTTTTCTGAAGGTCCTGCACACTTTTTAGTCATAGGCACTTCTGCCTTGGCACCTCAGAGTTCCTGAAAGAGTTCCCTTGTTGTTAGAAGAGGTTGGTATTATTCCTGAATGTTGTCCTCATTTTGTTGCCTTGGAAACTGTGGTCCTAACTTGCTAATTGTAGCTCTTCTGTCCAATGGCAGAAGAGTGATACTGACAGACAGTTTAAGTAAATGCTTATTGTTAAATCAACAAGTGTGCCATTTGAAAAGCTAACTGTATGTCATGGATGAAACTTCAATAGAAGGGCAAGATTTTTCAATAGGGTTGCAGCATGCTCTTAAAGAGAAGGAATATATTTCCAGAGTAGGTATCATGCGTGGTTGTAGCATTTGTTAATTCTGCTTCAACCACTATGGTTACCTCCTATAGAATCCTAAGATTTGTACTTTGGGGGACATTTCAAATTCTCAGCCAGAAACTGTCCAACTACAAACCCCAGAATTACACAGGATGCTGTGGAATGATCATGTTATGTAATTTCAGGTTCCAAGGGAGCATGGGTTCAGGGGCTCGATGTGTCAAGCTACCCAGGAGGCCAAATGAGACAAACAGCATGAAGAAAAATTCAGAGGTTTATTCTCAATGGCCAAAG